GGGATGCTGGGAATTGAACCTGGGTTGGGCCACGTGCAAGGCAAACGCCCTACCCACTGTGCTATTGCTCCAGCCCCTCTAGGCTTCTGTTTATAAAAAGATCTTGATAGAAAGATAAAGGGTACAATAAACATAAGATGCTAAAAAATCTAGAAATAGAGATTTTTAATTAAAAAAATTTAAAAATAGATGAGGCTCCTAAAATTTCAGTACTGGGAGGAATAGAGACATTACTGGTGCCTGCTTAAGTAATTTGACGATCAGCGGGATGACAGTGATACACTGAAAGTGATACAGTCTACTTTCAGCATGCATCTATCATCCCAAGCGAGCCCTCCAACCATCATTTCCTTAGTGGTCCCTTCTCGATCCCAGCTGCCTTTTCCCCCAGCACGTGAGACCGGCTTCCAAGCAGTGGAGCGATCCTCCTGACCCTTATCTCTATTATTCTTTTTTTTTTTTTTTGCTTTTTTGGGTCACACCCAGCGATGCACAGGGGTTTCTCCTGGTTCATGCACTCAGGAATTACTCCTGGCAGTGTTCAGGGGACCATATGGGATGCTGGGAATCGAACCCGGGTCGGCCGCATGCAAGGCAAACGCCCTACCTGCTGTGCTATCACTCCAGCCCCTATCTCTATTATCCTTAAGGTTCCAAATACTATTGAGACTGACCCCCCATATGTAGGGGGACTACATATGATCCCCCTCCAGGAGAGACCCCTGAGCACAGAGCCAGGAGTAAGCCATGATCAATGCTGGGTGTGCCCCCAGACAAAGACGAAGAAAAGGAGATTCAGAATTTTAGATTATCTTTTAATGATTTTAAGAGTTGGAGGCAGGGATGCAGGTCAGGGCTAGAATACTTGCTTTGCGCGTGTGAGATCATCTGCATTGTGCATGACGTCATCCTGAAATGAACAAAGCAGCCGGAGTTAAGTGACGAGGGTCCTGTTTCATTAGGGGATGTCACAATGCGGCTTTAACACAGGGAAATGATTCACTGGGCGCGATTATGTTTTCACACACTGAGAGAGCTACAGAAGAACAATCTCCTAATTGGCACTCTTCTCCTCCTCCTGACACTCACTTCCAATAAGGTTTTATTTTGCTTTTTCTTTTTTTTGGTAGTGTCAGGGATCAAACCCAGATCTCAAGCATGTAAGACATGTGCTTTGGCACTGAGACACCTCCCCAGCCCCCAAACTCTTTCTGTTTCTGTTTTTAGTGACAAATGATGGCACCCAGGGCCTTGTACATGCAACTCCATAACTGGATTCTGTCTCTGATCTCACGCCTGGATTCATATATTTTTGGGTTTGGGGGTCACACCCAGCCGTGCTCAGGGATTACTCCTGGTTCTGTGCTCAGGTGTCACTCATGGCAGGATTGGGGGACTGTATAGGGTGCCAGGGATCAAACCCAGGTCGGCTTAAAGCAAGGCAAAGTGCCCTACCTGCTATACTATCACTCCAGCCCCTCAATCCTCCGTTTACCTTTTCTCCTCTTTTAAATCTTCTATATTTTTTTCTTTTTGAAAGCTTAAAAAAATATATTTTGCCCCCCAGCAGCTGTCCTCAAACCTACTTCTGGCACTATGCTCAGGGATCATTCCTGGCAGTGCTCAGGGGACCCAGGCCCAACCTGTAGTACTAGCTCTCTGACCCCATTTCCTGCCTCTCTTGAAACCAGTCACCGCCTCCTTTATGGCTCTCAATGTGCCATTTTGATGTCGGTGGGCCCCATGGGTGACTTATGTGAAGTGGGGAGGAGAAAGACGGTCACTTTCTCCCCACCTACCTCTGCCACCTGGGACTCAGGATTACTGGGTTCTTGTCTCACCTCACAGAAAGGAATTTCAGGAGTGGACAAGCAGTGAAACAAATAGATTTTATTTGGAGGATTTTTAGGTATGGAGGGAGAGAGAGGGAGAGAGTAACGTACTCGAGAGAGAACACGGGCTTCTCCAAGGACGGAGAGAGAGCCCCTGCACACATCCTAGCATTAGACAAGAAAGCATGAAAGTCCACATCTCAAGAGGGGAGATGCGGGCGACACATGTGCTCGGGCACCACATGTGCTCGGCCACGTGGCACAAGCAGCACATGGGCTCGGGCAGCATCTGCGCGCCCTTCCTTTGTTCCAGGTGGCCTTTATAGGGTTTCTCTAACCTGCCCCCACGTGGCGCTTCTTCCCAGGTAAAAGTCCGTTGCTAAGGAGGTTACCAGGGAGGTTGGGAGCAGTGATGGTCTTCTTTGGGCTGAATCCCTAAAACTTTAGGGATTAAAGCGGAGGTCCAAAAAGAGGAATTTCAAGGGGAGGAGGCTTTCTCCTCAGGGTCTGCAGATGGTCTTATCGGGTCTTTGTTTTCTGTATCCTCAAGGTGGGTCAGTCCTAGAATTCTTCTTCCATGGAACTTTGTTTCATTGCAAAGGGCCTTTCCCTATCTACCTGCCTACATCAATTTTACTTTCTTGTTTTCATTTTGGGGCCATCTCAGCTGTGCTCAGGACTCACTTCCGGGAAGGTTTGGAGGAGCACATGAGACGCTGGCCACCGAATCTGGGTCATCTGTGTGTGAGGCAAGCACGTTGCCCGCCAGACTATCTTTTTCCAGTCTTTCTGCATTCTTTTTTTTTTTGGGGGGGGGGTCACACCTGGCGATGCTCAGGGGTTCCTCCTGGCTCTGCACTCAGGAATTCCTCCTGGCAGTGCTCGGGGGACCATACGGGATGCTGGGAATCGAACCCACGTTGGCAAGGCAAACACTTTACCGCTGCACTCTCGCTCCTGCCCCAAGCAGAACTTTAAGTGAGAAGAGGTTTTAAATATATACTATTGGTCCCTTCATCAAATATAATCCAGCATCTCACATGCTAAAGGTCCGGCAATTCCTCAAAAAGCAAGTGAGGCTGAAATAGCCAAACAACATGTCGGTGGTAAATGAAAACTTTGGTAAGTGAATTTGGTGGGTTAAAGGGATAAAGTGACCTAGTGTCCCGGATTACTTAGCACAGTACTCAGCTCCTCCCTTTTGTCCTGCTAAAACTGGTCCAGATTCCATCTGAGATTAAGTTTCCTGCAAATTCTTGCCATCTGCAAACTGGGAGGCTCTTACAATGTGTTTTCAAAGGCTAAGAAGGCCAGAAGCTTCGGTCTAAACAGAGGCAGTCATTTCCGGGGCTTTGTTCGTTTTGCTCTGGGACCATACCTGGCAGTGCTCAGGAGCCACTCCAGGTTCAGCACTGAGGGTAGGGGGTCATGGGTGGGGTCATTCCTGGTGGGGCTCTGGGCAGGCAGAACTAGGGCGTGACACAGGGTTTCTGCAGGAAGAAGAGCGTGGGCTCTAGCTCATTGCATTTCTCTGGCCCAGCCAGTACTTTGCTGATTCCTTACATTTTTTTTTCCTTTTGTTTTTGGGCCATACCTAAGTAGTGCTCAAGGACTACTCCTTAACCAGTGCTCAGGGTAGCATGCAGTGCCAGCACTGAACCCAGGCCTCCGTATGCTAAACCTATACTCAGACCCTTGCCTATTCCTCTAGGCAAAGCGGCACTCATGTTCTGTTGCTGCTGTTATTGGGCAACACCCAGTAAGGCTCAGGACTTACTCCTGGCTCTGTGCTCAGGGATCATTCTTGGCGGGGATTCGGGGACCCTGTGCGGTGCCAGGGATTAAACTTGGGTCAACTCTTCCCCCTACTATCTCGTAAGCGCCAAGGCAGTACTTTTTTTTAAAGGGAATTCTAGAAAAATGTCAATTCAGAAATTAAATTTGAATAGAATATAAACAGCCTATGTAAAATTACTTTTGGGGAAACTCTAGATTTTTATGTCATGATCTAATGTATGAGTGGCCGGCAGTACCGCTCAAGTCACTCCTGACAGGTTCAGGGGACCTTTAGCTGTGTGTGTGTGTATATATATATTTTTTCTTTTTGGATCACACCTGGCGATGCTCAGGAGCTACTCCTGGCTCTGCACTCAGGAATCACTCCTGGTGGTGCTTGGGGGACCCTATGGGATGCCAGGGATTGAACCAGTTTGGACACATCCAAGGCAAGTGTCCTATCTGCTGTTTTTTCAGGAGCAATCCACCTTCAACTCTATTCTGAGGCTGGAGAGACAACATAGGCCCCCAAAGGGACCGAGAGCTGGGTCTGGCCCAAAATACGAAGGAAGAGAAAAGACGGAAAGAAGGGAAGGGAAGGAAAGGGAAGGAGGGGGAAGGGAGGGCTTGATCCCTGGAACCCCCTGCTGCCTTCCAGCGCTCCTGGAAGCAACCCCTATGGCCCAGTTGCAATCTTTCTTTTTTTTTTAACCGTTGTAAACTCACAAACTTTTGCGCTTGGGTTTCAGTCATCCAGTGAATGAGCACCCATGCCTCCACCAGGGCCTATTCACCAACAGTGATCCCAGGATCCCTCCACCCCGCCCACCCTGCCTGCCTCTGGGGCAGGGCATTCCCTTTTGTTCTCTCTCTCTCTCTCTCTCTCTCTCTCTCTCTCCCTCCTTTTGGGTGCTGGGGCTTGCGGAACCAAAGAGCAGCACCACCCCATCGCGAGAAAGGAGCCCGGGCGAACGAACGAACGAACGAACGAACGAACCGAGCCGAAGCCCAGCCAGGATCCCGAGCGCGGGGAGGAGGGTGGAAGGGGTGGGGGGGGGAGGGCGGGGCTCCCGTGGGCCCGCAACGTCACAGCCGCGCGACGGCGCCCGGAGAACGTCGCGTGCCGAAGTGCACCCTGGGGATTGTAGTTCGCGGGGGTGGGGCGGGGAAGAAGAGAGCGCGGCGGAGCGTCGTTCCCCCGCCCCTCCACCCCGGGGCGGGTACGGCGCATGCGCGCCCGGGGCTGCCGGCAACAAAGACGGCGGTGTGCGCGTGCGCGCCGGAAGCAGCCGGGGCGGCGGCGCGCGTGCGCGTGCGCGAGGGCGGCGGCGGCGGCGGCGGGTGGCGGCGCTCGCGGCCCTGACAGGCGGTCGCGGGCGGCGCGGCGGGGCGGGGCGGGTGATGGCGGCGGCGGCGGCGGCGGCGTCGGGCGCTGTGGATGCCTCCTCCGTCGGGCCGCGGGAGGAAGCCCGGCCCGGCCCCGCGGCCTGAGCGCGGCCCGCTGCGGCGGGGCGTCGCGCTGCTGCGCCTGCTCGCGCTGCGCCTGGGGCTGCTGTGCGTGTGGCTGTGCCGGCGCCTGGGCCGCGCGCTCATGGCCGCCCGCCGGGCCGCCCGCGCCGCGCCGGGACCCGCACCCGGACCCGCGCCCGGAACTGGACCCGGACCCGGACCCGGACCCGCACCCGCACCCGCGGCCGGGGAGGCCGAGGCGGTGCGCGCGCGCCACAAGCAGGCCTTCGAGTACATCTCGGTGGCGCTGCGCATCGACGAGGACGACCAAGGTAGGCGCCGGCGGGTGGGCGCCAGGGCGACCCCCGCCCCGCCCCGCCCCGCCCCCGCCGCGCTTCGCCCTGGCCTTCGGGGAGGGGGCGCCCGCTGCGGACCCCGGGCCTCGGACCCCGGGCCTCGGCCTGCCCGGCGGGCGAGCGAGCGAGCGTCCCCGTCCGTCCTGTCCTGCCCTGTCCTGTCCTGTCCTGTCCTGGCGCGTCGCCCGGCCCCCGGTCCGGTCCGCTGCGCTGTCCCTCCGGCCCCCGGTCCGGTCCTCTGTGCTGTCCCTCCGGCCCCCGGTCCGGTCCGCTGTGCTGTCCCTCCCTCCAAGCCCTGGTCCTGTCCCTCTGTCCTGCCACCCGGCCCCCGGTCCGGTCCTCTGTGCTGTCCCTCCGACCCTCTGTGCTGTCCCTCCGGCCCCCAGTCCGGTCCACTGTGCTGTCCCTCCCTCCAAGTCCTAGTCCGGTCCTCTGTGCTGTCCCTCCGGCCCCCAGTCCGGTCCACTGTGCTGTCCCTCCCTCCAAGTCCTAGTCCGGTCCTCTGTGCTGTCCCTCCGGCCCCCAGTCCGGTCCACTGTGCTGTCCCTCCCTCCAAGTCCTAGTCCGGTCCGCTGTGCTGTCCCTCCGGCCCCCGGTCCGGTCTGTTATGTCCCTCCGGCCCCCGGTCCTGTCCGCTGCGCTGTCCCTCCGGCCCCCGGTCCGATCCTCTGTGCTGTCCCTCCGGCCCCCGGTCCTGTTCGCTGTGCTGTCCCTCCGGCCCCCAGTCCGGTCCGCCGCCCGGCCCCAGCCCCCTCGGCTGTCCTGTCGCTTTCAACCCCCCGTCTTCCCGCTGTGCTGTCACTCCAGCCCACTGACCCTTCTGCCTTTTCCTGCACGGAAGGAAGCCCCTTCCCCCGCCCCCCATGGCCCGTCGGCGCCCTCACTCGCATCCTTTGCTGCTGCCTTTCTTTTCGGCCGTGCTGGGGTCGCTCTTGGCAGGACTTGGGCCGGGACCGTGGGTGGGGCTCGAGGGTGGAGGCAAGCACCTTCCCGCGTCCTGCCACGCTGGCCCGGCATTTGGTCATTAGCTGTTTTTTATTACTTAATTGTATTTGGGGCCACGCCTGGCTCTGCTCAGGAATCACTCCTGTTCGGGCGGGGACCATGCGGGGTGACGGGGATTGAACCCAGCTGCCTTGTCCATGTGCTGTCTCTTTAGCTTACCGGGTTCTTTGTTGTTGTTGTTGTTGTTTTTAAGTGAAATTTGCAGTTCTCTTGTGATACTTTGTTCCTCCAACGCCAGACACTGTTGTGGAATTTAGGTTCGTTAAAACCAATTTCCTTTGTGGTACCTGGACAGTAGGATACAAGGAGAGAAGCGAGTGTTCCTCTTGATGGGGTGCAAGGGACAGGGTGGAGGTGAAGAGCATTTGAGGAAAGAGCCATTTCCGAGACTCCCAGGCGTTTGCAGAGGGAAGTGCTTCCCCTTCTTCACCATCTCTCAGTCACGTCCGATCGTCTCCTGGGAGAGATGACGAGAGCACCCTGTCTCTCTAGAGAAGTTCTGGCGAGAGCAGCACCCGTCGCGTTGGGCGCTGTGAAGTTTACTGATCAGGTTGAAGTGCTGAGGGTTGGACCTGGCGCAGCCTTAGCTGCCCTGTGGGGGAGATTGCTTGTAATCAGCAAGAGAGTACCAGAGACAGAAGGAGCATTTAGTTGACGCTTGGTGATGGGAGTGGGGGAGGGACATTGACGGTAGTTTTAAAAGAAACATCACTTTTGGGGGAGGGGGAATGCTGGGGATAGAACCTCGGTTTTCATTTGTGTGTGTTTATATTTTGGGCCACACCTGACTCTGCTCAGGAAGTGCTCCTTGGGAGAGTGATACGGGATGTCAAGGATCGAACCTGCAACTCCTCCCTGTCCTCGCTGGGCTATCACGCTGGCCTCTCGGAGTCCTGGGTGTTAGCCACACCTGCCGGTGTTAGGGGGTCCCTCCCAGTGTGGTCCTTGGGAGACCATGTGGTTCTGGGGATTTAACCCGAGCTTGGGTCGCCAGGGGGCAGAGCCGATCCTCACCTGAGCTGTGCCTCGTGTTTGGGGCCACACCTGCGAGTGCTCAGGGGCTGTCCCAGCTCTGTACCCAGGCTGTGCTCCCTCCCACTACTCAGGTGGTGCTGGGGATTGAACGGCCCCAAGCAAGGCACACACCCTAGCCCCGTCTCTCTTGATTTGAGCTGATGTCCCTTTGAGTTCGGCGATTGACACGTCATCTGCCAAAATAAATTAGTTTTAAGCAAGCATGTTACAGATTTATTTGCCCTTAGCACTGAATTTTTACCCTAAAAACTGAATTTACCCTTAAAATTGGGCTGGAGCGATAGCACAGCGGGTAGGGCGTTTGCCTTGTACGCAGCCGACCCAGGTTCGATTCCTCCGCCTCTCTCGGAGAGCCTGGCAAGCCGCCGAGAGTATCTCGCCCGCACAGCAAAGCCTGGCAAGCTCCCCGTGATGTATTCGATATGCCAAACACAGTAAGTAACAAGTCTCACAATTTGTTGTGAGATGTTACTGGTGCCCACTCGAGTAGATCGATGAACTACGGGAGGACAGTGCTACCCTTAAAATTGGGTCCCTTAGTAAGGTCTTGCTCTGTTGTTCCCTCGCTAACTTCGTTTCTGAATCGACTACGAGCACTTTAAGGCCGGCGGAACAGCGTGGGGCTTTAGAGCACCTGCTGTACAAGCCCCTGAACACAGGTTCCAATCCCTGATGTTCGGCTGCTCTCAGCAGGGCTTGGGGAATCTCTGCCGTTTTAGCCTGGCAGCTGAGCCGTCTGGTATCCCTGACACCACAGTGATTGCTGGATGCGTGCAAGCGCCAAGAAGGGGCGCAATCTCGGGCGAGCCTGGCAGCTGAAAAGGTGTGAGTGCCGCAGCTGGGTGTTGTGATCTCGGGCAGAACCGTGTGAGGCCAGAGAGTAGGTGGGGAGGACACTTGCCTTGCACCCAGGTGACCCAGGTTCGGTCCCTGACACTTCCTATGGTTCCCCAGCTGGGAGAGCTCCAAAATCACAAACATGTGAGTGCCACCACCATAACGCGTGTGTCTCAGCTGAGCCTGTGAGCATGTGACTCCTGGCAGGCTTGTACAAGCCCAGCGAGGACCAGGGTTGGAAGTATGCTGCAGCCAGCCAGGCCGGCAGCCACCGCTCGTCCTGGAGCATCAGCGGGCATGGAGCGGAGTGAATCAGAACTTTGTCATTTGTTTGGGGACCACATCCGACTGCGCTCAGGCTGATTCCTGGCCCTGTACTCAGCGTCACTCCTGGCAGTGCTTGGGGACCAGATGTGGTGCCGGGTAGCGAACCTGGGTTGGCTGCGCGCAAGGCTAGCTCCCTGATCCCGATCCCTGCATCCTCTCAGGCCAGCGTTGAGAAAGTAAACGGGTGGGGCCCTGGGATTGAGCCCCAGAACGTGCGTCGCGCACACACACACGCACAGCCACTTTCTAGCCAGTTTCGGACTCGGTGGTGTTGGTTAATTTGGTGTGTTGAAATGATAAAGGCTGGGCTGGAGTGCGCACAGAAAGCGCATTGTTCTAGACACTCTGGGAGCAGCCCTAGCACTGATGGGTGTGGCCCTCCAGAGCAAAAACAGAACAGATTAAGGCCTAGTGAAAATTGGCTTTGAGGGACTGGAGAGGTAGGGTGGGTGGGTGGGTAGGGCGTTTGCCTTACTTGTGGTTGATCCAGGTTCTGGGTTCAATCCCTGGTATCCCAGTGGTCCCCAGAGCCTGCGAGGAATTGAGTCCTTGGAACAGAGCCCGCAGTAAACCTGGAGCACTGCCTGGTGTGGCCCCCCAAAAAAGTACCCTTATTTTAATGAAGTAATACACAAATATGGTTTAAGCAGTACTTTTTAGACTTTGTTATTTTGGAGGGGGCCCACAACTGATGGTGCTCAGGTCTTCTTCCTGGCTCTGCGCTTTATTCTGGCTCTGTGCCTACCATATGAGCTGTTTGGGATTGACTCTGGACCTATTCTGTGCCGGCTCCCTAAGCGCTGTACTCTCTCTTGCCCCTAAGTATAACATTTTTTTTGGGGGGGGGGGATTGAATCACAGTCGGCTGTGCTCGGGGCTTATACCTGACTCTGCACTCAGGGATCACTCCCGCATCACTCTGGGGGAACTATTTGTGGTACAGGGGATCAGACCTGGGTTGGCTACCTACAGGGCAAGTGCCCTGCCCATGGCTCTGGCCCCTAAATAGTACTATTTTGAAGTGTGTGTGTGTGTGTGTGTGTGTGTGTGTGTTCAGAGCTTGCTTCTGGGTTTGGGCTCAGGAGTGTCCCCTGGCAGTGCTCTGGGGACCTTGGCAGTGCCAGGGATCTAATCGGGTCAGCCACGTGCACGACTTAGCCCCTTAACCCCTGTACTACCTCTCCCACCTCTCTCTCTCTCTTCAAAAGCGTTCCTTTGGTTTGGCACCACACCTGGCAGTGTTCAGGGGACCTTGTGGTACCAGCAGTCAACCCTTGGCCTGTAGAGTGTGTGCTCAGGCTTAGTGTGCTCTCCCTCTGGGCCTGGTTTCTGTTGGTTTGTTGTTTGGGCCGCACCCACGATGCCCAGGACTTACTCTTGGCTTTCCACTCAGGTATCATTCCTGACAGCCGTGGGGGGGTCTAGCCCAGGTGAGCCGTTTGCAAGGCAAGTACCCGGCCCTCTGTACTACCTACTTTGTATTAAAGCCTCTGGCCCTATTTTGAATTAGAGCTGAGATTTGTCTGAAATTAGTAAACTGTTTTTGACCAGAGATGGAGCTCAGTGCTAGAACTCATATCCTGCATATGTGAAACCCTGGTTTGATCCCACCACCAGCAGCACACATAAAATGAAAGCACCCTTTATTTCTGGGCCTCGTCTGGCCGGACTCGGGCTGCTGCTGGTGCAGTGTAGGAGCTGTTCCCTGCTGGGTTGGGACGGCTGCGTGCAGAGTAGGTGCTCTCAGCCCCTCACCCCTGAAATCAAACTATTTTAAATGGGAAGAGCTGGAGCACGCATGCTCTGCATGCAGGAAGCCTGGTTCAGTCCCTCCCACCAGCTCAGCCCCTAGGGACAGTCAGGAGTAGCTCCTGGCATCAGCAGGTACGTTCCTTCCAAGCCACAAATAATAAAAAGAGAATAGCACCACGAATCCTATTACCCAATGGAAGGATATGTGAAAAAATTTTTTTTTTGTGAAAGCATTTAAAGGATCCCAGGTCTGTGTTCTAGATACTGCTGGAGCACCAAGAGACAGGATACTGAAAAAGTTCTTGCCTTTCATGCATCTGACCCAGGTTTGATCCCTGCCACCTCGTATGGTCCCTTGAGCCCTGTGAGAAATGACCCCTGAGTCTAGGGTGGTTCAGAAATCAAAAACCCAACAACAGCGTAGCTACCACTTGATTAAAATTTACTCCTCCTGGCCAGGGATGTTCTGACATTTGTTAAGTGATCAGTATTTATCTATTCAGGGTATAGTGTATATATTTTTTGTTGTTTTTGGACCACATCCGACTCTGCTCAGGTGTCACTCCTGTGACCATATGTGGTGCTGGGGATCAAACCCAGGTCTGTCGGCTGCATTCAAGGCAAACACCTTAACTTTCTTTACCGCTTCCCTAGCCCTCTTACTTTTGGTTTGATTTCTTAGTTTGTTTGAAGAGTGGGCGTTTCTTTCGGGACCACACTCAGACTCAGGAATCTGCCTGGCTCCGTGCTGAGGGGCTACTCGTGAAGGCGCTTGGACAGCGAACCGACCCGGATCAGATGTGGGGCTCCCCGTGTGGACCGTGTGCTCTCGCCCTTCGGGCTATTTCCCAGCCCCCAGCCCTCTTTTGTTGCGTGTGAACATTTTCTTTGATTGTCGGAGTGTCCTTAATCAGTCACCTGTGATAGCCATTGTACCCACGCGGAAACAGATTGGAAAGTGAACTCAGTAGCCAAGCCAGGAACTGTGTCGGTGAAGAGACTGACCTACATGTTCTGTCCTTTGTAGGAAGCATGTCAATTTTACAGCGCTAGCCGTGGGCCCTGTGCAGTAATTACTACAGGGAGAAGAGGAGATTGTGATGGTGGTACTTTGGATAATCACACCATGACAGCAGTTTTTATGGCTCTTCCTCAGGAGCCCGAGGCCTCCGTAGTACAGTGGTGCAGGTTTCTGGTGTGGTTTATCGTGCTCGCTTGTCGGCTCGACAGTCAAGGCCTAATGTGTGTGTGATGCTGAATGAGCTCATCTCTCAGAACGTTCTTTGTGGTACCGAGGAATTTGGCGTCCAGGACAGACGCTGTGTAAATATGGTCCTTTTCTGAGGCTGGAGAGCAGCTCAGCGGCGTGAGTGCGTGCTGTGCGCTGGGTGGCCCGGCTCTGGGCCGGGAGGAGCTTCTGGAGCACCACTTTGGTCGCCCCCCAGCCTCTACCACTTCTTCCTAGTAGTCGTACTTTGAATTTGGGAGTGTGCGGAGGTGGTTGGGGCACGCTCAGCTCTGCTCAGGGCTTCCTTCCTGTTTCCTCTCTCCTGCCTCCGTGTGTCGCCCCCAATAGCACGTGCCGGAGAGGCTTAGTGTAGTCTTCACGCTCATGAATATTGATAAACAATTGTTTCTCTCTTAAAGCAGGACAAAAGGAGCAAGCCGTGGAATGGTATAAGAAAGGTATTGAAGAACTCGAAAAAGGAATCGCCGTCATAGTCACAGGCCAAGGTAAAGTGAGGCTTATTTGGTTTAGTAGCGTCCCAAATTATGTTCAGGTGATTGTCCTCACTCCAGATTCATTGTTAAATAAAGATACTTAGCACATTTTATTTTAATTTAATTCAATTTTTTTGATACTTAGCAAATTTTGCAATATTTTTGTTAACGTTTGTATTCCTAGCGTTGATACTTTATGACTTAGGCCACATGAGCTCGGAACCAGCGGTAAGCAGTCACCAGGAAACTCTTTCCTCTTTGGACCCTCTGGTGGTGATGTTTTTGTCCTATTTGAAATCCTCAGTTTGAAACCTGGCCCTGTCTTTCTTGTCAAGGCAGGGAAGGAGTTGTTAACACACAGACTGCCCCTTGCAGTGCAGTTGCTGGAGGGGTGGTCTAACAGATAGGGTGCTTCCCTTGCTGCGGTCGACCCAGGACTGATTCCTATCCCAAGTGCCTGCCAGGCGTGATCCCTGAGTGCAGAGGCAGGAGTAAGCCCGGAGCACTGCTCCATGGGGCCCCTATATATGTATACTTAAAATAGCATTTTTCCTGTAACCTCAAAGTAAAAATTGGAATTTAGCACTGCTTTAAGTATACAGGTAATGTTTATTGTGTACTTTGTTAAAAGTTTTTCAAAGATTTCTATTAAATGAGGGAGATAGTTACAAAGTTTGTCTTGGCTTTCAGTTATACACTGTTGCAGCACCATTTCCCCAACCCCCCCCATCAATGTCCCCCAGTTTTCCTCGAGATCCACCCCCAATCCCCCAGGCTGCCTCTGTGGCAGATTCTTCTTTTTCTTTTTTTTTTTTCCACATTTTATCCCTTTCAGGCTCTGTGGTTTGCAATACTGTGACTGGAAAGGTATCATGTGTATTCCTTTACCTCCTGTCAGCACTCAGTTCTTATCCAGAGTCACAGAGTGATCATTTCCAACTGTCGCTGTGTACACGTCTTTTTTTTTTTGCCCACACCTGGCAGTGCTCAGGCTTACTCCTGGCTTTGTGTTCACGGGTCACTCCCGGAAGGCTCAGGAGACCATCTGAGGTTTCAGGGATAAAACTGTGGCTGGCTGCTTGCAAGGCAACACCCTAATCGCTGGATTATTGCTCTGGCCCCAGTTTATAGCACACTTTATATGCGTCCAAGTATCATTGTAAGTTCTTCATATCTACATAGCTACATAACCTTTTTTTTTTTTTTTTTTGCTTTTTGGGTCATACCTGGTGCTATTAAGGGGTCACTCCTCGCTTTGCATTGAGGGATTACTCCTGGCAGTGCTTGGGGGCCATATGAGTGCTGGGCACTAAACTTGGGTCAGTCACGTGCAAGGTAAACATCCTACCCACTATACTACAATTTTGGCCTTCTTTTTTTGCCTGACCTGGCAGTATTCAGGGCTTACCCCTGGCTCTGCACTCAGGAATCATTCCTGATGGTGCTTGGGGTACACCAAATAGGGTGTCAGGGATTGAACTGGCTTGGCTGCATGCAAGGCAAGTGCCCTGCCCACTCTACTCTCTCTCTGGCCCATGACTTTATAAACAATATGTATAAATCTCTGTCAGTTGCATAGAAGAGTTGAACAAAATGATTTATAGAAAAATAATATTTAAATAAAAGTGTCTTTTTTCATAGAAAAATGCCAATTAACGTCTGACTGATTATCTTCTTAGTACTTAGAATTTGAGCTTTGTTGACCGTCTTACCGTCTTACTTATTTATGGGTTTTTTTTTTTTTGCCATACCCAGCAATGCTCAGGAGTTATTCATGACTCTACAAACTCAGGAATTAATCCTGGCAGTGGGGACTGTATGGGGTTCTGGCCACATGCGAGGCAAAAACCCTTCCTGTAGTACTATGGCTCCAGCCCCTCTTAATCTAATTTAGACTTGGCTCTAACAGTGATGTTAATGTCTGTGACCAAATTTCATGCTCAGGTATGACAGAGTGATTTTGTTACTTGTTTTGGGACCACATCCAAAAAGTAAGCAGTATTGGGACTTCCTTCTGTCTCTGTGCTTAGGGGCCACTGCTTGGGATCAAATGTGGTGCCAAGAATTGAACCTGAGTTGGCCTCATGCAAGGCAAGCTCCTTGCCCGCTGTACTATCTCACCAGCCAAAGATTTTGATTTTTTTTTTTATTAGTGAAACACCACGAGGTACAGTTTGTAGACTTACAAATTTTTGTTCTTGGGTTTCAGTTATACAGTGATCGAGTACCCATCCCTCCACCAGTGCCCATTCTTCACCACCACGGATCCCAGTATCCCTCCCACCCCCCATCCTCCCATCCCACCCCTCCTCTGTGGCAGGGCATTCCCTTTTGTCTCTCTCTCCTTTTGGGTGCTGTGGTTTGCAAAAGAGGCATTGAGTGGCAATCATGTTTGGTCTATAGTCCAGCCAAAGATTTTTAAATGTGTAGGGAAAAATAAGCCTCAGAATGCATGAACTACATGGGCAGTCAGGGATGTCCCACACTTGGTCTGAAGCTATCATAAGAAATTTGAACATACCTTGTATTATTTGGAGGTAATTTTTCATTATTTTTTATTACAAAGACTGAGTCCCCATGATATACTTTGCAGCAGTGTTTTTATCTTGAAACAGAGTCAGTTGGGACATGTGGCTATTTTAACTCTTTATTTTTGTGTTTCCTTTTCCTCAGGTGAACAGTGTGAAAGAGCTCGACGCCTTCAAGCTAAAATGATGACTAATTTGGTTATGGCCAAGGACCGGTTACAGCTTCTAGGTATAAAATAATGAGTTGAATTAGTTGGAATGAGAAGTATTTGAAAGAGTGAAGCTGTAAATGTCAATGAATATGAATCAGTGATCTTGAAATTGTGATCTCTTCCATTTTCGGGTTTGTCTTTGTGTTTTGTTCACATATGCTGTGCTCCGGGGCTGTTCCAGTTATGTGCTAAGGGCTTGCTCCTGGCCTCTGCCTGGGCTCGGGCACTGTTGGGCTGAGACCCAGGCCTTCTGCCTATAAAGCATGTGCTCTCTCTCTGCTCCTAGCCCCTTTGTGAAAAATACTTAGTAAATTTCTTGTTTTGGGGCCTTACCCTGCGGTGCTCAGGGGTTGTTACTCCTGGCTCTGCACTCAGGAATCAGTCCTGGCGGTGCCAGGGGACCATATGGGGTTTTCGGGATTGAACCCGGGTCATCTGTGTGCGAGGCAAGCGCTCTACCTGCTGTGCTATTCTAGTCTCTAAAAATATTTGTGTGAGTTTGATTTACACCAAGTAGATGATTGTGGTGAACTCCTAACGATCTATCATTCAGCCTTCATAATTCTTTCTTGTTTTTCTTTTTGGGATGTGGCTGGTGGCGCTCAGATCTTACTGTTTCTGTGCTCAGGGATCGCTCATGGCAGGCTCAGGGGACTATGTGGAATGCCAGGGATCAAACCGGCATCAGCCATGTGCAAGGCAAACACCCAACCCACTGTATCATTGCTCTGGCCGAGCCTTCATAGTTCTTTCTTGTTTTGGGACCACACCCGGTGATGCTCAGGGTTACTCCTGGCTCTGCACACAGGAATTATTCCTGGTGATGCTCCAGGGACCATATGGGGTCTCAGGGATCGAACCCAGGGGTCAGCTGCACGCAAGGCAAGTGCCTTGCCTGTTGCACTATCACTCTGACCCCGAGTAGCACTGTAGCACTGTCCTCCCGTTGTTCATCGATTTCCTCGAGCGGGCCCAGTAACGTCTCCATTGTGAGACTTACTGTTACTGTGTTTGGCATCTCGAATATGTCACGGGGAGCTTGCCAGGCTTTGCTGTAAGGGCGAGATACTCTTGGTAGCTTGCCGGGCTCTACGAGAGGGGCTGAGGAATCAAAACCGGGTTGGCCGGGTCGGCCAGGTGCAAGACAAACGCCCTACCCCCTGTGCTGTCGCTCCAGCCCCTGACCCCAGGTAGTATAGTAGTCAAATAACTTTGACTATTTTTTTATAGCTTTTGAATTAGAGTGTTAAGATTCAGTGTATCATTTTAATATACAAACACTTTCATAGCTTTTGTTGATGAGCCTGAAAGAGCCTCGAATGTGGCACTTTCTATAATCTCAGAGCTAGGACAAAAGAGACGTGACTGGTGCCTGCTCGAGGAAATTAATGAACAACAGGATGACAGTGATACAGTGATTTGTTGATGAGCCAAAGGTTACCGTTTTTCCCACAGTCCAACTTTTGCCTCATGCACCTCCATATTAGCTTTCATTGTGTTCTGTTTTCCCTCGATTCTTGGATATAGAAACTTGATTGGGTTAAACGTTGGTTTTTATTTTATTAAAAAATTTTTGTGCTCAGGGCTTTCTCCCAGTTCTGTGTTTGGGAATCGCTCCTTGCAGGGCCTGGGGGACTGTGTGAATTGGATCTGAGGATCAAGCTCAGGTTGGCCTAGTGCACGGCAAATAAACGCCCTACCCATCATACTGTGTCCAGTACCAAACCCCTCCATTTCTATTCAGTTGCTTCTGCACCTTTTTCAGACATCAGCAGTGGGCATGGCACTGGCCTTGCACACAGCTGACTGGCTTCAATCCCCGGCATCCCGTACAGCCCCATGAGCACTGCCAGGAGTGCTTCAGTGATTCTTGAATGCGGAGCCGGAAGTTATCTCTGAGCATTGCCAGATGGACCCCAACATTTACAATAAAAAGCCTATATTTTTTTCCCCTAAAACAAGTAATTCTTATTTACTTCTAGATAGTGGCTGTGTGAACTTTTATACAGTGTTTAGTGATTTCCAAATGTTTTTTTCCAATTCATATATTGCATAAACACAAATGATTTCCTTCTTGGTATTACAATTTGAACAGTATATCATTGAGAAAATCAGATGACCTACCTGTTAACTAGCCAGAGCCGAAGCTCTCCAGTATATTGTATCAACCAGTTCTAGGACACAGAGTTGTGCAGTGCTTTGTGCTTTGTGCAAAAAGGCTGGCTGCGATTTAACCTGTCCCCAAGATCGTTCCGTAAACTAAGCGTGGTGCCCGCTCGTCTGAATGCACAAATGTCCATTTGAGAGCGGTTGTGCTGCGTTGTTGGATGTGTATTTGTTATCTTCCCAGAGCAGAAGGAAAGAATCGGTTAGGACAGCTATGAATATTTCCCAAAAAGTAAGTAAGTAAAGGCCCTCCCGTTGATCATCGATTTGCTCGAGCGGGCCCAATAACGTCTCCATTGGAGACTTTGTTGTTACTGTGTCTGGCATATCGAATACTCTCGGTAGCTTGCTGGGCTCTCCGAGAGAGGCGGAGGAATCGAACTTGGGTCGGCCATGTTGGCTGCGTGCAAGGTAAACGCCCTACCTGCTGTGCTATCGAAAATTGAGCCCTTATTTATGAGAGAGGTATAGAGTAGTAATCAATCACAAATCATCCTGTTAATCGTCAGGCCCCAGTAACGTCTCCTACATCCTAGCCCTGAGATTATATTCAAGGCTCTTTAGGAGAATGAGACCCATCATTGTTACTGGTATTTGGCATATTGGATACGCCACAGGGAGTTTGCCAGACTCTACCGTGTGGGCAGGCTACATTCGGTAGCCTGCCAGTTTGTCCAAAGTAGGAATGAGATAATCACAGCATGGTGGTGGCTGGTCCTGGAGGTCTTTGGCTGCCGGAGCCCTGGTCGGGGCGGGGAGGAAAGCTCAACCCGCTCCCCTCCAAGGGGTTCCGGCGGTGAGGACAGCCAGGCGCAGGGGCAGGAGACTGCACTGTTCTTCTTCCGGGAGCTGGTTTTTATAGTCTCTGAGTCTTGGCCGCTGATGGGATTACATGGGCCAGGGGGCCAGTTGGTGGGTGTGACCCCCACCTACTGGAATTTGGAGGATCTGGTGGAGGATGCTTGGCCCAAATCCGGGTAGGCTTGGAGATCTCGGCCCCAGAACCCGCGTGACTTTGTCCTTCTGCCAGTACCTTCATGAGTGCAGAGAGTGGTCTCAGCATGGTGGTGGCTGGTCCTGGAGGTCTTCGGCTGCCGGAGCCCTGGTCGGGGCGGGGAGGAAAGCTCAACCCGCTCCCCTCCAAGGGAGTAGTAATAGAGTAGTAAATTCATGTTTATTTTATCTCTGCCATCCTCATTATTAACCCAGTGCTGAAGCATGTTCACATTAGTGAGTAAATGGCTGCGTTGTGCTTGTGTGCTAGCAACGTGGATAGAATCTCAGAAGAGGGTCGGGACGAGAGTGTAGTGATGCTGCAGAGATGCAGGAAGCCCCTGGCTCGCTCCTCATGGGCTTGGACACTAGAACGAGGGGCTCTGATCTCGGAAGGAGTCATTGTTTAATGAAGTGGGCATAGTGTGGAAATAATCTTTTGAATTGAGAGAGAGTATGGTAGGGTGGGCGCTTGTCTTGCATGCAGCAGATCTAGCTTCAATCCCTGGCATCCCCTCTGGCCCCTGAACTCCACCTGGAGTGATCCCTGAGCACAGAGCCAGGAGTAAGGAGCACCACGTCAGTGATGAGCAGCCCCCCTCCCCAAAGGAAAAAGACAGTTTAACACCTCAAGGCTGGTGCTTGAACTTGCGTTAATTAAACGACATTCAGTATGAGCTGCCCATGGTACACGCCAGCTCACTGTGTTTTAAGTATGAAAACCATCTGTCCTGAACTATCCCCCAGCCGCTCATTTCCCTTTCCCGGAGACAGCTGCTATGTCCAGTTTCTTTGGGTACTTTTTAGATAAAATCTGTCTGTAGAAGTATGCACGTGTGTGTTTTTACAATTAATAGGATATTAGACACCAAGTTCTGCAGCATTCTGCTGTATCGCCATTGATTTTGCCCATGTTACTGCAACTGAAAATGACATTTCAGAGCCTGGTTTTCTTCTTTTAAGTGAGCTTCTCCTTTCCTGAAATACCTACTCTCTGTATGTTTTCAAATACTAGCTGAGGATCTTATCTATAAAACCTTTTTTAAAAGTTTGTGTTATAGGGGCTGGAGCAATAGCACAGCGGGTAGGGCGTTTGCCTTGCACGCGGCCGACCCGGGTTCGATTCCCAGCATCCCATAGGGTCCCCCAAGCAGCGCCGGAGGTAATTCCTGAGTGCATGAGCCAAGAGTAACCCCTGAGCATCGCCGGATGTGACCCAAAGAGCAATAAATAAATAAATAAAAGTTTGTGTTATAGTTGCCAACTACTATTATTTTGGGGCCACACTTGTGGGTTGCTTAGGGGTTACTCCCAGCCTCAGTGCCCCCACGGGGACTTGCTCCCGTGGGGTGCAAGGAACCAGGGGTAGTCCCGGGATCCAACCAAGGTATGTTGCATGCAGGGCAAGTGCTGTCCTTGTTTACTCTCTCTCTCCCTTACTGGGGGTGGGGAACACCCGGCCGTGCTCAGGGTTACTCCTGGCAGGCTGAGGGGGCCATGTGGTGTCATGGATCGAACCATGGTCGGCCACATGCAAGGCAGGGACCCTACCTACCATACTGTCACTCTGCTCCCTTTTTAAAAAAAAATTCTCTTAGCTGCTCTCCCTGTGCAATGCTTTAGACATAGTAAATAATCCGGAATTGCTTACTGGTAACAAGAGTGGAACTGCCTTAGGTTACCAAACCTGAGTAAAGTATATTTCAACGTAGCCTTTCACTTAGAAATTTCTGTTGTTTTACTAATTATGTTTTGCAAAAAATTTTGTGTGAATGCAAAAAAAAAAAATCCTTGTTGATAACAGCTTCTAACGCGTTAACTCATTTTTCTATGCGCATTTTATTTGTTCATTTTGGCTTTTGTTTTTTGTTTGTTTTTGTTCTCTCTTACCCCGCTCTGTGGCATAGAGAAGCTACAGCCAGTGTTGCAGTTCTCCAAGTCACAAACAGATGTCTATAATGACAGTACTAACCTGACCTGCCGCAACGGACACCTTCAGTCAGGTGGGTTTAGGGTAACTAACACACGGAATGATACACTGTGCATGCGAAGTTCTGCTTGGATCGGCCTGGCTTTCTTATGGTAGCCTCGAGTAGGTTATGTTTTCACAGCGCTGTATTGAAAATAGAGTAGCTTCAGGGCTGTAGAGATAGTAAAGGGGTGAAGACTCTTGCTTTGCAGGTGGCCGACCCCGTTTCAACCCAGATGGTCCCCTGATACCGGTAGGAGTAAACCTCAGTGAGAGCCAGGCGTTGGCCGTGAGCACTGCCAGGTGTGGCCCTAGAATGGAAAAGAAATTTTTTTTTTTTTTTTGGTTTTGGGGCCACCCTTGGTGAAGTGTTCAGGACTTACTTCTGGCCCAGAGATCATCCCTGGTGGGGTTCAGGTGGTGGCCCCCTCCAAAAAAAACCCAAAATGAACCTTGAAAATAGATATATTTATAGTATCCTTTTTATTCATGATATTTGAACATGTTAGAAATAGCTCTTACGCTTACATATTTTTCAGCCTCTAATACCGAGATTATCATATAATGGTTATTTTGAGATCAGAGTGTTAATATTAGGCAAGTGTCCTGCCTGCTATACTATCACTCTGGCCCCCAAATATGAAAATATTTATGGGGCTGGAGTGATAATACAGCAGGTAGGGCATTTGCTTTGTACGTGGCTGACCTGGGTTTGATTCCCCAGCACCCCATACGGCGCCCGAGCCTGCCAGGAATGATCCCTGAGTGCAGAGCTAGGAGAACGCTCTGAGCACTTCCCGGTGTGGCTCCAAAATTAGTTTTACAAGAAACAGTTTTACGTGTTAAATTATAAACATCAGGTTATTACTGTTTACTATGCAAATGTTCAGTCAGTAAATTTGCATAGCATCTTGATAAAAACATGAAAGACTCATTTTTTTTTTTTTGCTCTTTGGGTCACACCCGGCGATGCTTAGGGGTTACTCCTGGCTTTGCGCTCAGGAATCACTCCTGGCGGTGCTTGAGGGACCATATGGGATGCTGGGAATCGAACCCAGGTCGGCCGCGTGCAAGGCAAACACCCTACTCAGCTGTGCTATTGCTCCAGCCCCTCATTTTTTGTTTTGTCATTAAATCCCACCTCTCCTCCACAAAAATTTAGAATCATTGAGATGGGAACTTTCGAAGTCCTATCATTTATCTGAAACACTGCAGGTAGGCCTCGGTGAGCAGTCAGATTTAATGAAGGTATTCTATTGCCCGAGTAATTGTATGGCAGTTAAGACATTAGCCTTGAATGCCGCCAACCCTGTTTTGACACCCCCCTCCCCAGCATCTCATGTGGTACCCCAAGAAGGAATGATTCCTTAGTGCAGAGCCAGGAATAACCCCTGAGCACTGCCCTGTGTGGCATCCCTGCCCCCCCCCCCCCAAAAAAAGTGAAGGTGATCTACATGTGCTTATTTGCATGTAAAGCACATAAATTGCTTGGTGTGTGTAAAGTTGTATTCTTTTTAAATTTTTAAATTAACTTTAAACTTGGTGAATACAGACTCTGAACTTCCGTATAGCTTAATGATTCGAATCAAGGTACTGCAGTGCTTTTATTTATTTATGTTCTTGGTTCGGTCACACCTGGCGATGCCCAGGGGTTACTCTTGACGCTGCACTCAGGAGTAACTCTTGGCAGTGCTCGGGGGACCATATGAGATGCTGGGAATCGAACCCAGGTCAGCTGAGTGCAAGGCAAATGCCCTATCCACTGTATTATCGCTCCCACCCTCTTGCAGTGCTTTTTTGGTATTCTTCATACAACCTACCTCTAATGCCTTTACTGCATTTTGATTCTTAAAATATTTGACCCCAGGGGCTGGAGTGATAGCACAGCAGGTAGGGCTTTTTGCCTTGTATGCGGCCGACCCGGGTTCAATTCCCAGCATCCCATATGGTCCCCTGAGCACCGCCAGGAGTGACTCCTGAGTGCAGAGCCAGGAGTAACCCCTGTGCATTGCCGGGTGTGACCCAAAAAAGCAAAAAAAAAAAAAAATTGACCCCCCCCAAAATATTTGATCCCTTGATAACTTGTTTTGTTCCTCTTCCAGTTCTACAAGTAATGTTTCTCTTTCCTACAAATAGTCATTCTTTATCAGACTTTTAGAATATATATTAGGAAAAGGAGAAACCTAAATGATTCTGTATACTCGGTGATCGTTCCTCCAAGTACCTAGCCCCTGGGGCCTGAGTGATAGGACAGCAGGGAAGGTGCTGGCCTTGCACATGGCTGACCTGGGTTTGATCCCAGCATCCTATATGGTACCCCGAGCTTGCCATGAGTGGTTCCTGAGCACAGAGCCAGGGGTGAACCCCTTAGCATCACCTGCTGTGACCCAAAAACCTAAAATAAATGCTTAGTCAAATTTCCAAAGTACAAATTTCAAGCTTGAAATTTGTAAATATGTGCTGAAATTTTCTAACCCTGCTGGTCTTACTTTTCCCTTGCTAGAAAGTGGAGCTGTTCCAAAAAAGAAAGATCCTTTAACTCACACGAGTAACTCACTGCCTCGCTCAAAAACAGTGGCGAAAACTGGATCTACAGGCCTTTCTGGCCACCACCGAGCGCCCAGTTACAGCGGCCTGTCCATGGTCTCCGGAGCCAGGCAGGGCCCTGGGCCTGCAGCTGCTTCTCAGAAGGTATCGGGGGAGGGGAGCTGTGTGCGTGGGGTGCGTGGGGAATGGCCAGTTCCCACAGTGCTCAGGGCCTTTTCGGAGTGATCCCCGGGGCCTGGGGCAAGGAGGGCAGTGGGGGGAGGGTGGCGAGGGGGCAGTGTTCCCTGAGAGGAGGCGGGCGCTGGACAGTGATGAAGCAGGAGCTCCGAGGCCCTGTCAGCAGCAGTGAACCACAGCACAAAAATGTAATTTACCCAGAAAAAAAAAAAAGCACCTCCAGTAGAATCCAGTAGAAGCTGACAGGTTGGGTGGTTGGGTGGGGTGTGGCAGGGGTGGAGAGAAGGAGTCGGTGTGGAAACATTGTATTCCTGAAACCCAGTCATAAATCACTAATTTCATGGGGACTAAAAAAATTTTTGGGAAGACTGATCCCAGGGTTGTCAGCGGAACACATGGTCCCAGGAACCTGAGCCAGGTTCTGGCCACTTTAGCCCAATGCAAGGCAAGTGCCTCTCCTTGGTCTCTGGCCTGGAGAACAGTGACTTTAGAAAATCTGAACGTTATATAGTTGCCACAAGTGCCTCAGAGAATTGATAAGCTTCCACAGCTGAATGTGATTTTCCTCTTAACAGTCCACCAGGAGGGGCAGGAGAGAGAATAGACAGCAGGTATGGCGCTTCCCTTACATGTGGCTGACCAGTGTCCGTGCCTGGACCCCACGTAGCCCTGTGGGCCCTTCAGGAGTGGCCTCTGAGCACTGCCGGGTGTGACTCCAAAACACATACAGTTAACATACAGACATACACACCCCTGGAGGGCTGGGGGTGTAGCTCAGCAGAGCACCTGTCTTACGTGTCTCAAGCTCTCGGTGTCATCTCCAGCTGAGAAATGGTTAGAAATCAGGGCGTGAGCAACAATATTGTGAACGTGTATTATTTGTCTTGAGCGTGGCCAGTCCAGGTTCCGTCCCCAGCACCTACTATGGTCCCCTGAGCATCCCCAGGAGTGGCTTCCCGCCCGCAGAGCCAGGGGTGAGCCCTGAGCGCTGCCCGGTGTGGACCCAAAGTTTTAAAAAAAAATCAGTAAGATGACACATGCTATTGAGATGCAAGTTTTCTTTTATTTTTGTGCCACATCCAAGAATGCTCAGGGTTTCCTCCTGGATTGTGCTTAGGCCCCACCCCTGTAGGGACTGGTGAGACCATATGTGGGCTGGGGAGTGAATTCAGTAGCCTGCGTTTAAGGGCCAGCGCCCTGCCATACTGCCTCTCCGACCTCGAAAAAGCAAATGATTTCAACCCTTCTGGGGTTTAACTAGACAGTTTTACTAAATTTGCTTATTCAGTCTATTTTATACAGTGTTCATATCACGTCTGTTGTTTTGAGCCAGGAAGAGATCTCAGTGGACTTGAATCCACAGTTGATCAGTCATACCACATGGTCCCCTAAGTACCACCAGGAGCTCCCCCAAGCATTAAGCCAGGAGTAGCCCGCAAATACTGTTGGGTCACTGTCACTGTCCTCCCGTTGTTCATCGATTTGCTTGCATCTAACATTGTGAGACTTGTTGTTACTGTGCTTGGCGTATCGAATACGTCACGGGGAGCTTGCCAGGCTTTGCTCTGCGGGCGAGATACTCTTGAGATACTCTTGCTGGGCTCTCCGAGAGGGGTGGAGGAATCGAACTGTTGGGTGTGGTCCTGAAAATAAAATAAAACTGGTTGTTCTGTGCAAATTTGCAATATTTCATGTATTTGGAGTTTTGTTGCAGTTCTAATAACAATTACGTGATGGCGTTATTAAGGAACTTTCATTTATTTTTTGGTTTTTGGATACACCCAACTGTGCTCAGGGCCTACTCCTGTCTCTGTACTCAGGGATCACTCTTGGACAGGTTGGGGGACGATGTGGGGCTTTGGAGATTGAACTCAGGTCTGCTTTGTGGAAGACAAGCACCGTATCTGCTATCTCTTTGGCACAAAGAATTATTTTTTCCATTTGCTGTGGGTACACCAGTGATGCTTAGGGGTCACTCCTAACCCAGCATTCAAGGGACCATATGGTCTGCCAGGGATTGAACCTGGGTCAGCCAAATGCAAGCTCCCAAAGAACTTTAAAATTTTGTGGTAATGATCTCACTGGTTAATTCTTCCATAAACTTACTTCATGTGAAGATCGAAATGCAGGAGGTTTCTTTTGTCTGTTTCTCGTTCTTGAATCACACCTGACTGTGCGCAGGATTTACTCTTGAGGGAGTAAATCAGAGTATTAGAATGTCCGTTAGGAAAAGGAGAAATGGGGCTCAGTCCTGAGTGGATGGGGAACCAGATGCATTGTGGGAGACGAGAGCTGGGTCAGCTGCATGCAAGACAAGCTTCTTCGTGTTGGACTGTTGCTTCAGTCCCAAATGTAGTGATTATTCAGTGCTGTTTTTTCTTGATCTACATACACAATATTTGTCAGAATTTTTCATATCTCTCTGCCTGTGAACATTTAATTTTGAATGTTACATTTAATTACTTATGAAGATTGTAAATAGTGTGTTTTCACATTAACGTATTGTGTTTTCACATGTCCTTTAAGAATGCTCAAAAAACAAACAGAACAAATAAGCCTTCTACCCCTACAACTGCTGCTCGTAAAAAGAAAGACTTGAAGAATTTCCGAAATGTGGACAGCAATCTTGCTAACCTTATTATGAATGAAATTGTGGACAAGTAAGTTTTGCCACCTAAAGTGTTAAATTCTTTGTTTTTGGATTTGTTTATAAAGTGTAAGTGAACTAGAGATGAATGCCTTGTCTGATTTATGCACGTACTTGTTTTTGGGTTTTCTTTGGTTTGTTTTGGGCCACACCCCTCTGCGCTCAGGGAGTTCTAGATCTAGGCTCAGGGATCTCTCTCCTGGTGGGCTCAGGGGACCATGTGTGGGGCTGGGGATAAGCCAAGGTCAGGTGCATGCAGGCAAGTGCCTTACCTGCTGTGCTCTTTCTGGTCCCCCAGTGTCTTTTAATGAAGGTTTTCAGGATCTGAGCCATAGTACAGTGTGTAATCAAAAAATAAATACGAGTGGCCGTGGTGGCTCTCGCCGCCTGTGTTCAGTGGTCTCTTGGCGCTTCCCCCACCCCGGAGAGGCTGATGGCGATGGGCGGACAGAGGAGGGAACGAGGGCCAGGCTGGTTGGTGTCAGCTGCAGTTTATTCTGTTCCCATCTCCTTTCTCTTCTGATTCTCCTCCAGGTCTTCCCCTTCGCCAACCCCCCTCATCCTCCTCTTGGGTCCTGCTCCTTCATACTTCTCCTTCTGCCTCCTCTCAGCCCACTCTTACAGCTGTAGTTAAACCCAAATCGTGAGGGGCTGGGGTCACAGTTGCACATAGGTGTGGTCATACAGTCAACAGAGGTGAAGCCCTTCCCCTAGAGGAAGCTGCTTCTAGGACAAATTCTCAGTCAGTAAGACGACCACCCAAGAGCTGAATTCCATCTATGGGTGTGTTTTTGCCTTCCCTTAGTCCAACAATCATATAAACATTCATAATATTAGTCATTTTGTATGGACATAGTAAGAGACACATTAAGCTTATAGTATTGCTGTCCTGGGGCCATCTTGCTGTAGATCTCAGACTACAGTGCTCAGGCCAGATTAGTCTTTCCTAACCCTAGCATGGTCCTAATTTGGTTGTTTTTTTTTTTTGGATCGTGACAGAATTTGTCCATGACCATGCTTTTATAGTTAAGTGTTGTGGCATTTTGGCCTGGCCTATTTCGATGCCAGGGTAGCTCACAGCTTGCCCTGGGTTCATCGAGTCCCTTGTCGGGACCCTGCTTTTGGGGTGCTAGGAACTAAGGGCAACTGAGGCTTAAGTTGAGAAAGCAGATGCCCGGGATTGAGTATTATTTGGAGTCCATTAACTCCCAAGTTGCAAAAACATAATATTAACTGTCTTCCTGTGTCTATACAAAAAGAACATTGCTTTAAAGTAAACTATGCAAAAGACATAAGGAGAGGAGAAAGGCAATATTTCACTCATGACTCTAAGTCAAGTGTCCTTAGAAGGATCTGACCTTACAAGTTAACAGAATCTGATTCGGGGGGGAAAGAGGTGATAGACTGGTTGGGGAAGAGAGCACAGAGAACAGTTTACAGATAAACACAGAGGAATGGGAGGTCTCCGGAGCACTTTGATGGGTGTAACCCGATAAACCTAAGCTCCCTGTGGCAAGGGAGAAAGGACAAACCAATGTTAAACCTAAAATGTGTAGAGCTATATTCCAACATCACAGTGGGTAGGGCGCTTGCCTTGAACGCAGCCGATCCGGCTTCAATCCCCAGCACCCTACTTGGAGGTGCCCCCCCCCCCCAACACCTCCAGGAGTAATTCCTGAGTGCAGAGCTAGGAGTAACCCCTGAGCATCGCTGGGTGTGACCCTTTAAAAAGCAAAAGAAAGAAAGGTTTTCAACTACTTTAAATGTAGAAAACCATTTCTTTATTTCACCCTAAAAATGACAGTTTTATAGACCTCAGCTTCATATTATAGTAGTAGATGAAGCGTATTTTTTTGTGGAACTAATGAAAATTCTGTTTCTTAGTGGGACAGCTGTTAAATTTGATGATATAGCTGGCCAGGAGTTGGCAAAACAAGCATTGCAAGAAATTGTAATTCTTCCTTCTCTAAGGCCTGAGGTAAGCACTTTAGACTCTGTCTACCTATAACATCACTCACTTCTGAGTCCGTAGTAGCATAAAGAAGCATGCGAGCTATGCTAGAATGATAACTGTGGTTCGTAGTTTAGTATTTTTTGATGTGCTTTTCCTGCTGTGTTCTGGGGCTCGGGGGCCACTCCTGGCAGTATTGCACCCGGCTGTGTAGATGGTTTGGAGCTCAAGCTATGCTGATTTTGGTGTTCCCAGCAGTATTGGGGCGACCAGGTAGGGCCGGTGATCAAATTCAGGGCCTCTGCTTGCCAGATATGTGCTCAGCGAGCTCTCACTGCCCCTAGATTTAGTGATCCGTGTTATGTGCGTGCGCGTGTGGGAAGCAAGATAGATTTATTTAAAGGAATGTGCTTTGAGCAGTGTGGGAGAGAAAGACGGAAATGTGTTCCTTAGAGAACAGGGGCTTTCCAGAGTGGAAAAAGCCTTTCTAGAAAAGGGGGTGGGGGGCTAGAGAGATAGTTCGGCAGGGCGGGCGCTTGCCTTGCACGTAGCCAGCCCAGGTTCGCTCCCCGGCACCCCATATGGTCCCCTGAGCACAGCCAGGAGTGACTCCTGAGTACAGAGCCAGGAGCAACCCCTGAGCACTGCCAGTTTTAACCTTACTCCAGAACGAGTTAAGTTGTTGATGACTGTTTATGTGAGAAGATGAATTAAATTCCTCTTTCCTGGTTCTGTTTTTGTTTTGCTTTGTTTCTGGTTTTAGGGCCGTACCCAGCAGTGCTGGGGACTTAGTCCTGACTCCGTTTAGGGGGCAACACCTGGCAGGGCCCAGGGAACTGTATCGATCAAATGCAGGTTGATTGTGTGCAGGGTAAGCGACCTACTGTCGGTACTATCTCTGCAGCCCTACTTCCTGAAAAACTAGTGCAAAGAGCTAAAAGTACTTATACAAGGTTTTATTTAAAGTACTGTTCTTCTTAGGGTAGAACACTGTATTGAAAATTGTGAAGAGGGGCCGGAGAGATAGTATAGCAGATAGGGCGTTTGCCTTGCATGTGGCCAACCCAGGTTTGATCCCTCGCACCCTATGAGGTCCCCGAGCCCACCAGGAATAACCTCTGAGCACCAAGCCAGAACAAAGCCCTGAGCACCGCTGGGGGTGGCCCAAAAGCCAAAGATAAATAAAATTGCGAAGAACCAGGCCAGGGGGAGTGGAATGCTTGCTTCGTGTGCAGGAACCCCAGCTTGTCTCTTGCACTGCCAGAAGTGACCTCCAAAAGCTGTGAGGTCCAGGGAGGTCTGGGGTGAGGGCCCCTGCCAGTGCGTAGGGCTTTCTCCTGGCTTGTGCCCACAGGGTTCACTCCATATGTTCTGCCCAGGATTTGAACCAGGTTTCCTAGCTAAGGCAGGTGTCCTGCCCTCTGTACTAGCTCTCTGGCTTGAGGGAGGTTGTCTGTGTTTACTCTTGCCTTATTTTACTGAGACTTCTGAAGCAAGTAGAGAAACATACGTGTGTTTGTCTTGCTTACAGTGCTTTCATTTCTTTTTTTAGTGAAGCAAAAGTTCTATTGAATGAAATTTGCATAGGAAAATGTGAGGAGATTGGGCCAGAGTGATGGTGCAGCGGGTGGCACATTTGCCTGGCATACGGCCGGCCCAGGTTCGATCCCCGGCACCCCGGTGGTTCCCCGCTTACTGTCAGGAGAGATCCCTGAGCGCAGAGTTAGGATTAAGCTCTAAGCACTGTGGGGTCTGGCCCAAAAGCCTAAAAAGAAAGGAGAAGAAAAATGTGAGGAGAAAAATGTGAGAGAGAATGCAAGCAAGCAAGCAAGCAAGCAAGCAAGCAAGCAAGCAAAACGTGTTCAAGAGAGAACATGGGCTTCTCCAGACAGGGAAAGGCAGAGTACAAGTGCTAAGTAGGCCACCTTACCAAGTGTGTGGAAATGCATCCTAAAGAGGGTCTGCACAGCAGGTAGGGGGCTTGCCTTGCATGCAGCTGACCCGGGTTTGTTGTGGCATCCCATATGGTCCTCTGAACACACGAGGAGTAGTTACTAAATGCAGATCCAGGAGTAATCCCTGAACATTGCTGGACGTGGCCCTGAAACGAAAAGTAAGAAGAAGAAAGAAAAGGGGGGAAAAGTCCACGTCTCAGGTGGATGTGGACAAAGAGGCAAGGCCCCTTGCTTGTATTTTAATCCCTGGAGATTGGGTTTTATTTGTCTCATTCATTAGAGTGTGGATACTGGGGTTTCAACTCAGAGCCGCCTCTGCTCGTGCAAGGATACATGGATGTGACTTCATCCATGAGCCTGAGCTGCGTCACTGGCCCTGTCTGTTTTCTTCGTTGCTGATAGCTGTTCTGCTGTATTATTCTCTTTAAAGCTTTGAGCAGCTTCTTTTTGGGTGAATTCAAGCATAAGATAATGCTTTTCATATAAAAACTAATACTTTGTAAATGCCTGGAAGAAATTTTGTCCGGAACCCTAATTGTGAACGAAAATACCTGTTTTTCAGTTGTTCACAGGCCTGCGCGCTCCCGCCCGAGGATTGCTGCTCTTTGGTCCTCCTGGAAATGGGAAGACAATGCTGGTGAGAATGCTTCCCACTCTGAACCAGGCTCTTTGGGTATTTAATGTAATAATACGTGTTTAAGGCAAAATTCAAACTATTTTTGTGTTTTTTTTTAAGGCTAAAGCAGTAGCTGCAGAGTCTAATGCAACCTTCTTTAACATAAGTGCTGCAAGTTTGACTTCAAAATATGTGAGTTCTTTTCCCAGAGTTATTGCCCATTTTTAAAAAACTAGTCTAAATGTACATATGTGTGTGTGTTAAATGTTAAATATGAATGTTTAAATGATACCGTTAATGTTCAAAGTAGAGAAAATATTCTGTGCATTTCGGGGGAACCTTTTCAAATTAGTATTGTGCTGTCACATGCAGCTATTAATGTGTTAATATGATTCTGATAAAGATACCACTAATTCACAAGCTTAGAGATTTTTGTTTTCTTAAAAAATTGGAGCTATCCAAGATCAAGGTGAGGCCAGAACGTTCAGTTTTGTAAAGACGTAAAATAACAGTTATTGTAAAATGGTATCTCTTTTTGTAGCCACAGTTTGCTCTTTTTGAAATTTTATAGGTGGCATTGTTCTGCAGTTTGATTAATGCGCATCATGCATGTAGTATAATGAAAGAACTGTATTTGGAATTAGGAGATGGCAATTCCCACCTTCTGCAGTTGTTGGCAAACCTGAAGGGCCCAAGGCTACACGCCTTGTCCTGCCATGGGGCCTCCGGGACAGCCCCCCCCCCCCCCCTTTGCTCCTGGGATGCTAGGGGTCGAACCTGGATCGGCCACATGCAAGGCAAATGTCCTACTTGCTGTGCTGTCGCTCTAGCCCCAGTTCTAGAATTGTCATCTTGGTGTTTAAAACACGGAAGCTTGTATTTCACGCGTAAGACACTGTGACCTGTTCTAGGTGGGAGAAGGAGAGAAGCTGGTGCGAGCTCTCTTTGCTGTGGCTCGGGAACTTCAGCCTTCCATCATCTTCATAGGTAAGGAAGAACGTGTTTTCCAGCCCGGTTAACTAAGGCGAGGACAGGATCGGGAAGCTCCTTGAGAAGGAAAAGCTTTGATAAAGCACAGGGTCAGAGTCGCGGAGCGGCCAAGTCAGGGACGTAGCTCAGCGGCAGGGCGAGCACTTGCCTCGCGCTCAGAGACGCTGAATTCCCCTCGCGCTGCGGGGCGAGTGAGTAGCGCCCGCCCGACTGCCTTCAGTCTCGGCTGATTATTGTCCCTGACCCATGGGCCGACCCTTCTGTGTCCCGCAGATGAAGTCGATAGCCTTTTGTGTGAAAGACGGGAAGGAGAGCACGATGCCAGTCGGCGGCTGAAAACGGAGTTTCTAATAGAATTCGATGGTGTGAGTACTGTATTTCCGGTGTGGCAGCCGTTTGTGGTTTCTTGCTGTAGGATCCAAATTGGAAAGCGTCTGCGTTTATGATATATTTCTGAGTTATTTTACCTACTAGCATTGAAAAAACACTGTGTGGCTTGTAGGTCCAGTCGGCTGGCGATGACCGCGTACTTGTGATGGGGGCGACCAACCGGCCGCAGGAGCTGGACGAGGCCGTCCTCAGGTGGGAGAGCTCTGGAGATGGCTTGATTCCAGAACGTTGTCCCCAAGCCTTCACTCCCCCATCTCTTGTTTCCTTCACTCTCATTTGCGAGACTCAACGCGCCAGGGGGCTGGAGTCGTAGTAGAGCGGGGTGCTCCTACCCGGGCTCACTCTCCGGCACCCAGATGATCCCCCGAGCAGCACCAAGGAGTGATCCCCGAGCACTGCCGGGTGTGCCCCCAAAACAAAAACTCTCCACTCGGGATTTATGAATTATATGGCAACTTTTTTCTTTCATATTTTTAATTCTACTTCTTAGGCCTTTTTTATTTTATCAAGTTTGTTGGGGTTTGTTTTAGTTTGTTTTTTTTTTTTTTGAATACTCCATTGCTGCTTCAGAGCTTAACCCTGGTTCTGTGCTCAGATCGCTTCTGGCAGGGCTTGGGGCGGGGTGCGGCGCCTGCCACCCAGTCTGGCCATCGGTTGCTGTGCAGGCTCTTGCCCACGGGGCCGGTTTGGTGGTTGGAACCCAACTTGGTGGTTCTTACTTCTTCCTGCTTCAGTTTCTCATCTTGCTGCTCCTTCTGTAAACTTCATTTCATTTCTGTGTTTCTGTTTGTTTGTCTCGTTTTGGTTTGGGGGCCACACCTGGCAGTGCTCAGGGCTTGCTCCCGGCTCTGCATACAGGAATTAGCCCTGGAGGTGGATGAAAATCCATATGGGATGCTGGGGACTGAACCCAGGTCAGCCGCATGCAGAGCAAAGAAATGCCCTACCAACTGCACTATCACTTGGTGCCCCCTGTCCCCCGGTGAACTCGTTTTAAAGGAGTTAACTCTTTTTTAAACTAGATCCTCATGAGATAACACAGTTGTTCATGATTGAGTTTCAGTCATAACAACGTTCCAACCCCTGTCCTTCACCAGTGCACATTTCTTGCCACCAATGTCCCCAGTTTCCTTCTCACCCCCCACCTGCCTCAGTGGCAGACCTCTCTCCCTCTCTCCCCCCTCCCTCTCTCCCCCCTCCCTCTCTCCCTTGCAGTAATGTCACTGAAAGACTCTCACGTATATCACTTTACGTCCTTTCGGCATTCAGTTCTTGTCCAAAGTGATTATTTCTGGATATTGCTGTCGTAGTGGTCTCTTCTCTGTCCTAGTTGCCCTCCACCCGCCGCACGAGTGGAATCTTCCTACCATGGACCAGTCTTGCTGGCTTTCGTTTTCACTGTTACTGGTTATTATTCTCAGACTATGTTTTTTTTAATACCCCTCAGATGTATTGCAATTATTCTGTGTCTGTCCCTCCCCATGACTCATTTCACTCAGCACGATAAACTAAAGGAGGAACTCTTAAAATGGCCAGCTACTGCTAAAATGTGTTCAAATACCTTAAACATTACACTTAAAATTGAGAAAAAAGATTTTTAACTTGTTTGCTAGCTCAACAAAATTACATGTGTTTGAATCTTTTTTTTTTAGGCGTTTCATCAAACGAGTGTATGTTTCTTTGCCAAACGAGGAGGTATGTATCTATGTTTTCAAGGTTTTTTTTTTTTTCTTTTTTTTCTTTTTGGGTCACATCTGGCAATGCTCAGGGGTACTGCTGACTTTTCACTCAGGAATCACACATGACAGTGCTCGGAACCATATGAGATACTGGGAATCGAACCCGGGTTGGTCAGTTACAAGGCAAATGCCCTACCCGCCGTACTATCGCTCTAGCCCCTAAGTTGGTTTTTTTTTTTTTAAGCAAATCAAGAACTGACGTAGTGACAACATGTCAGAATGTACTTAATCCTTAGTACAGTCATACTGGAAAACAGCTTGGAAGTTTCTTAAAGACATAAACATAGGGGGGTGGAGAGAGAGTACAGCAGATAGGGTGCTCTTGCCTTGCATGCTGCTGACCCATGCTCAATCCCCGGCACCCGATATGGTCCCCTGAGTACTGCCGTCCTGTATATCCTGAGCATCCTGTATATGGCCCAAAAACATAACAAGGAAAAAACAAAAAACAACATAGGGCCATATATTTGCATGCAGGAGACCCAGTTTGATCTCTTGCTCCACATGATCCCCTAAGCATGGCTGGCAGTGACCCCAAAACAAAACAGATAAACATAAATTCACTACATTTTATGCAAGAGAAATGAAGATGCATATTCAAATAAAAATATATTTAAGAATTTCTGTAGCATCATATGAATGGTAACCAAGTTCTGCTAAGAATCTAGAAGATTCAGGGGATGGAGAGATGGAATACAATGGATACATACTTGCCTGACACAAAGCCAATCTGGGTTCAGTCCCTGCCACTCCATATGGCCCTGAGCACCACCGTGAGTGATCCCTGAGTGCAGAGCCAGGAGCAAGCCTTGAACTTTGCCCAGTGTGCCCTGCATCCCCCCCCCCCCCCCGCACCCCCCAAAAATCCCCCAAACTCCTGCCTGAGCAAGAACGACATGTTTTTGGAGAGGTGGTTCAGTGGGTGGGCACTTTCTTGCACACGGGCTGGCCTGGTTTCATTCTTGTCTCGTATGGTTTCCTGAGCCCAGCCAGGGTGATGGAGGAGTGAGAAGTCAGTCCTGAGCACCTCTGGGTATGGCCCACAAGGCCTGAAGAAACCGAACCCAAACCCAATGTCCTCCGAACGAGTGCTGTTTAGCAATGAGCAGGGTGAGCTACATCCACATACTGTGATGTGGGTGAGTCTTGGAAACTAAGGGACCTGGAGAGAGAACAGCAGGTCGGGTCTGCCGACCCGGTTTTGCTCCCCTGACACCACGTACGGACCACTGAGCATCGCTTGGGTGATCATTTTGGTCGCCAAAATCCCCCCGAAAATAATATTAGATTAAAAAAAAATACTTGGGGCTGGAGAGATAGCACAGCGGGTAGGGCGTTTGCCTTGCATGCGGCCGACCCGGGTTTGATTCCCAGCATCCCATATAGTCCCCTGAGCACCGCCAGGAGTAATTTCCGAGTGCAGAGCCGGGAGTAACCCCTGTGCATCGCCGGGTGTGACCCAAAAAGAAAAAAGTCCTTAGGGCTGGAGAGAGTTGAGTGGCATAAGGTGCCCCAGGGACTGCCAGGTGCGATCCAAAGTATAGAATGAGAACCCAGCTGAGTTGTTTAGCTTAGACTTTCAGCGTTTGGTATGAACCGTAGCTGTTTACAGTGTTTTTCAGTGTTGTCCCAATTCTCTCAGGCACTCTGAAAAAGGTGGTTTGGGCCAAGTATGTTGCCCCACAGTCCAGCACTTGCCTCACAGGTGGGGCACTGGGGTTGTTCCCAGCATCTCCCAAACAAAGATGCTGTGATTTGAAATCTATTTCATGTAGGTAAACGAGACTCCTGAACAGAGAGGTAGTAGAGGGCCAGTGCTTGCCTGGCATGTGGCCAACTCTGATTCAGTCCCTGGCACCCATCTCCGGTCCCATCACTGCCAGCAGTGAGCCCTTGCTGTACTCTGTGGCCTCAAACTCAAAAAATACACGCAAAACCAAGAACAGAAGATTCTCCGAAGGAGAACTGACCGTCTGTGGGCGGGGAGCTGGGGGTGTTGGTGGAGGGGCGTGGGCACAGTGAAGGTATTGGTGTTTCATAGCGTCCAAACTGAAAAAGGGAAAAGCAGAAGCCAAACAGAGGAGACTGAAGAGGTGACTGTGAGACCTCCTTACCATTAAGAGGATTTAACCGGATTTCTGGACGTTGTATGAAACCAATTCTGAGAATTGATGATTATTCCATATTTCTTTTAGACGAGACTACTTTTACTTAAAAATCTGCTGTGTAAACAAGGAAGCCCGTTGACCCAAAAAGAACTAGCTCAACTTGCTAGGTGAGTGCTTCGGTTTGGTTTGTATTGCAGTTCTCTCTCTCTCTTTTTTTTTTCTTTCTGGGTCGGTCACACGCAGGGTTCCTCCTGGCTCTGCACTCAGAAATCACTGCTGGCAGTGCTTGGGGGACCATATGGGATGCCGAGGATCGAACTCAGGTCGGCTGCGAATGCCCTACCCCCCGTACTATCGTTCCAGCCCCCTGTATTGTAGCTCTTTAAAAAAATACTTAAATAATTTCTTCTTTTTTTTTTTTTTTTTTGCTTAAAGTAAGGCTGAGTATGGAATGGGTTCTTGCTACATTAGTCTCTACTAAGACTTCTCATCGCATACGTATGGTATCTAAATCTTGATTGCTGGATTCTCTGTAAGACATGACCTACGCACAGAGAAATAGGGGAAGGGCTGGGGCACAGGCTCTGCATGTAGGCGGCTCGGGTTTGATTCCCGGCACTACGTGGTCCCCAGAGCGATGAGTTGGGATTGTGTTCTGAGCACTGCTGAGTGTGGGCCAAAGCCAAACAAAATCCCCTCAGTATCTAGTGAAGCGACTCTAGTTTCATGAGCTTGCTGAAACTTGGGCCAGAGCAACAGTACGGTGGGGAGGCTGTTTGACTCGCATGTGGCCCCCCAACCCAGATCCAGTCCCTGGCATCTCATAGGGACCCTGAGCACCACCTGGAGTGATTCCTGAATGCAGAGCCAGGAGTAACTTACCCCTGGGCACTACCAGACGTGGCCCTCTGTCAAAAACACTTTTTTTTTTTTTCTTAAATAGAAACACACATATGAGGCTAGAGAGAAAATACACATGTGCTTCTCCGGGCTGTGACTGATCCCCTTTGAGTCCTTAACGCTACCTATGGTCTCCCTGTAGTACCAGGATTATCCCTGAGGCTAAGAGTAAGCCCTGAGCAAGGCCCAAATGCTCCCCAAATACTAATTTACAGGTTTAAATTCGGGGGGCCTTATTAAGGGCCATACCTCGCTATTTCTGGCCGCTCTGTCCTGGGGATAAAACCTAAATCTTTTGCATATAATTGCATGGTATACTTTCCAGAGCTGTCTCCTCGGCTCACTAATTTCAATTCGTAGCTTCTTTTTTTTTTTTTCTTTTTGGGTCACACACAGCGATGCTCAGGGGTTACTCCTGGCTCTGCACTCAGGAATTACTCCTGGAGATGCTCAGAGGACCGTATGGGATGCTGGGAATCAAACTCGGGTCGACCACGTGCAAGGCAAATGCCCTACTCGCTGTGCTGTCGGTCTAGCCCCTAATTTGTAAATTCTTTAACATTTTTATATCTGTGTACATCAGTAGATTTTTTTATTTTTAGTAGTGAGATACCATGAGGTACAGTTGTAGACTTATAAATTTTTGTGCTTGGGTTTCAATTATACAGTGATCGAGTACCCATCCCTCCACCAGTGCCCATTTCCCACCACCACGGATCCCAGTGTCCCTCCCACCCCCTATCCCCCCATCCTTCCAGGATGGGAGAAGCATGCTGAAAATAGACTATAGACCAAACGTGATTGCCACTCAATTACATCAGTAGTTTTTTTTTTGCTTTTTGGGTCACACCCGGCGATGCACAGGGGTTACTCCTGGCTCTGCATTCAGGAGTTACTCCTGGCGGTGCTCAGGGGACCATATGGGATGCCGGGAATCGAACCCAGGTTGGCCACGTGCAACGCAAGCGCCCTACCCTCTGTGCTATCTCTCCAGCCCCTACATCAGTAGATTTTTTTAAAAATGTTTTTATTTTGTTTTGGAGTCACACCTGGTGACGCTCAGGGTTACTCCTGGCGCTACACTCAGAAATCAACTCCAGCTGCTCGGGGGGCCCTTTGAGATGCTAGGGTTTTCATAGTCAAGTATATGAAAATCTGGTATTTTTAGTAAAAACTCTTCCTTGGAGAAAAGAGTCAATTCAACACTTCAAAATAATGAATCCTTAAAAATCTTGATAAAGAATCCGGCTGCTGGGGCTGGAGCAATAGCACAGCGGGGAGGGCGTTTGCCTTGCACGCAGCCAACCCGGGTTCGATTCCCAGCATCCCATACAGTCCCCTGAGCATCTCCAGGAGTAATTCCTGAGCGCTGCCAGGGGTGATTCCTGAGTGCAGAGCCAGGAGTGATCTCTGTGCATCGCTGGGTGTGACCCAAAAAGAAAAAAAAAATCTGGCTGCTAATGTTTGGCCATTCTCTGCTTTTCCTTCGCCTCCCGGGTTCTTCATTCCCTTTGATGATCTTGTGGCTGCTCAGGGCCCCCCACTGTGGCGTCCTGGACAGGTCGGCTTCTTTCCCGCTGTCTTCCCTGTCTGTCGTACATTGGCAGGCATTTCCTACAAGGCTGTGCTCTCTGCCAAGGCGGAGACGAGTTGACTTACTAGAGACATACGTGGTTACATGTCAGTGGTCCCCTGGGAAAGTGGCACCTTCCCAGGCAACTGGCACCTTCTGGACACAGCGCATGCCTTCATCCAAAGGGACAGTTTTAGCTCTGACAATTTGAGGTACAGTTGGTAGCCAATAATTTGTGTCTAGCAAACGGGCCTTTCTGTGTCCTGAGAATCAGATCACGCAGCTGTTTGCTTAGAGACAAAGACAAACCTCGTGTTAATAGAGATTTAAATCTGCAAAGATGAAAATAATTTGCTGCTTCTTCCTTTGTGTTTTCAGATTGACTGATGGATACTCAGGAAGTGATCTCACAGCTTTGGCGAAAGACGCAGCACTGGGACCTATTCGGGGTAGGTTTAGAGGACCTTGAAACATCAAGCAGGACCTATGATCCCACTTGGTTTACTGTTTCGGGACCACATCCAGCAGTGCTCGGGAGCTCTGGCTAGCTCTCTGCTCAGGTGTGAGCCTGGCACTGGGCTGAAGAGGTGGGGAAGGGACGCGTGTTTGGTGCTGGGGAACAGACCAGGATTGGGGGCGCAACACAGGCACCTCACCGCTGAACTGTGTCTGGCGCCCACACAGCCCTTCTTTCTAGTCACCGTGACTCACAGTCCTGTTAGCGATGGGATCCCATGCCCAGGCCATCCCAATCCCGTGCCCCCGCAGAGCGCCTCTTCCCCTCCAGCCCATACACCCTGTGGAAGCCGAGGGACCCTCTTGCCTTTTATTAGCAGGAAAACAGTAAAGGGGTATCGCTGGGACACTTGCGCAAAGGGATTTCTTTATACTTTCCTGTATAGTGCTGAGTAGTGAATATTTTAGTCCTGTGGACCACATATACTCTTAAACTGTGTGGGTTTTTTTTTTCCCTTCTATTTTTCTAAGGAGAGGACCAGAGTGTAACACTGTCATTAGCTCCTAGCCCACACTAAAATAGCGGTTGGGTGGACCAGTACGGTCTACCGGACAGCCGGCTTCCACCTCGGCAGCTTGAGGCCTGGGGTCTCTGCAGGCCCGGTTGCTGAGCTTCTGCTCGTGGCTGTGCTTGGTGGAGGTAGCGCCCTTCAGTGAGAAACGCCCTTCGCCCGGCTGGGTGCCTTTGTGGCACCGGGATCCCACAGAGCAGGGATGCTGCCCGCAGAAACACCAACTCATACATCATTCGTGGTTTAAAGTATCGTTAATGGGCCCGAGTGATAGGATAGCAGGTAGAATGCTCACCTTGCACCTGGCTGACCCGGGTTCAATCCCTGGCATCCCATATGGTCCCCAAGCACTGCTAGTCGTAATTCCTGAACTCCGAACCAGAAATGATCCCTGTGCATCACTGGGTGGGACTCAAAACCGAAACCAACCAAACAAAAAGAATTAGCAGATACTTAAAAGCCACAGAAACATGTTGAAAACGCAGGCTGAGCCCAGGCTTTAGTCCCTTGAGCCCTACTAGAAGAACCCAGAAACAAAAAGAAAAAATTAAAAAAAAAAAACCAATTTGCTCGCTCTCACTTGCTCTCTCGCTCTCTCCCCTTCCACCCCTACCCCCGTGGTGCTTAGGGCTTATTCCTGGCTCAGCGTTCAAGGATCACTCCTGGTGGTTCCTTTTGTGTGTGTGTTCTATGTTGTGCTCAGGGATCGCTTCTGGTGGGGTTCAGAGGATCATGTAGGGTGCTGAGGATGGAACCCCGGTGAGCGCGTGCAAGGCAAACACCCTCCTGCTGTACTGTCCCCAGCTCTCCTGATCTCCTGATTTTTTTTTTTTTTGGGGTTTTGGGTCACATCCAGTGATGCACAGGGGTTCCTCCTGGCTCTGCACTCAGGAATTACTCCTGGCGTTGCTCAGGGGACCATATAGGATGCTGGGGATTGAATGTTGGTCAGCCGCATGCAAGGCAAACGCCCTGCCTGCCGTGCTGTCGCTCCAGCCCCCTGTAAAATGTGTTCTTGTGAATAATAGAAATTGAATGCCTTTATTCAGTACCTCCTAAACAGAAGCATCCTCTGAGCATTTGTAAACTGCATGTGCCCTTCATACAATGGCAGGTGACTTGTGAGAGGGATCTACCACTTCCTCTTGACCCACCTTGCGCACCTGGGGAAATTGAGGACTGATTTGCTATCTCTGAACCCCTGCACAGTACACACTGAGGCAAGGGGGAGGGGTTGGGAGAGATCAGGAGAGAGAGACCCCCAGCCTTCTCTGCACCTGCGCTGCCATGAGTCGTCTCAGCTCCGATCCACTCAGTGCTTCTGGCCATAGTGCTCATAGCTCTAGCCTCAGGGCTACTGACTGAGTCCCTTCATCAAATCCCAGCTTGGTTTATCAGGTCCCAGGAACTCACTGTCACTCTCCTCCCTGCCTGCTTCAATATTAGCTTGTGCAATTTTCTTCTTATATCCTCATATCGAACATGTACTTTAGACCAGTGTTCTTGATTTTGTTCAGTATTTTGAACTTTGAAATCTTTATTTTTAAATGGGTAACTTTTATATTTTACAGAACTGAAACCAGAACAAGTGAAGAACATGTCTGCCAGCGAGGTATATGTTACAGTTATCATTTTATTGTTGTTAAAGCGTGCTGTATTGCAAGACACCCTTTGTCTGTATTTTTCTAGCCTGTTTTATTAGAAACCAGGGAAAGAACAGCTGCCCTGAGTGCAGAGTCGGGTGTAAGCCCCGAGCACTGCTGGGTGTGGCCCCAAAACAACAAAAAATCCAAGTGTCGACAAAACATCAAAAACAACGAAAACAACAAAAAATCGAAGTTCATGTCTTGCAGTGGATATCCTGGTTCCATCCCCAGGACTCCAAAATAAAATGAAGTTTTGCCTAAGTTACTTTTCCTTGTCTTGGGCCCAGAGCAGATAAGCTTGTTACCTTGTGTGCTCTGGTCCCTGAGTTCAAGTAAATAGAGGCCAGCTGAGTCTCTGTTTTTTCCTAAAAGTTCCGTACAATGCAAGGCATGGCAAATAAATAAATAAATAGTGAAAAAGCAGTCTGGGGTTAGGAGGTTAGTCAGAGGGTAGGTCACACTTCTTTCGGAGGTGTGAAAGAAACCTAGCAATGCAGAATTGCTCAACGCTATATCCGAGGCCAGAACGGCAAAATGGAAGCTGAACAGTGTGTATTTGGATAGTGAAGTTGTGAGCGACTTTATTCTTCTTGCCGATCGATGTTTTGTCTGATTTTGTTTTTATAGTGAACAGTCTGACTTAGAAGGAAAGCGAGAGGTGGCTTAGGCGCTTGCTCTGCTGCCCACAGCCAACCAGGGTTTGATCCCTGGCACCCCACGCGTTTTCTCCCAAGGCCCACCAGGAGTAAGCCCCCAGCATTGCCGGTGTGGCCGCAAAAGCAACAATAATCAGTGGAAAGGGTAGATGTAGCTCAGTGTCAGAGCACAAGCCGCGTATGTGTGAGAGACAGTTCATCTCCCAGAGCAAATGATAAAACGTGGCACCCAAGAAATAAAACAAAAATATAAAACTATTCGTTTTAGCTCTCATATGTAGCCACCTTGAGAAATATGTGGTATATAAAATACGATTGCCATAATTTATGAGAATGTGTCTATTTACACGAATCACTTACTTCATCATTAAATACTACTCTCTGTGTTTATCATTTATTTTGTCCTTTGTTCTTTTTTAAACCTAGATGAGAAATATTCGATTAGCAGACTTCACTGAATCCTTGAAAAAGATAAAACGCAGTGTGAGCCCTCAGACCTTAGAAGCATATGTACGCTGGAACAAGGACTTTGGAGATACCACCGTTTAAGACATTTGTAAGCTGCAGAATATTCCATCTTCCAGGAGGGAAACGCCACCTTCCAAGAATAGTTACCAGCTACAGGAACTCAGCCTAAGTTTACAGAACTTTTCATACTTCTAATTCTGCATCCTAGAAGATAAACATGAAAAAAGATTTAAATAAGATCTACAATGCAAATGGAATATTTTCATTTTTTAAACGATATTTTCGGTTTCATGCATCTTGATTTACACTGGTTAGTTTCATGCATAAAGGAATATTTTCTTTAAGGTCTTACTGCCGTGATCATGGTTACCCCACTGGGCACTGGAACTTGGAGCACAACGAAACCCGCATCTGGTCTTTCCCAGCAGCGTCAGAATGAATGTACATATTTGTATATTGTGTTGCAGATTAAAGTATTCCGGAGACAGTGAATGGTAGAAAACACAAGAGCCTTGGTTATTTGCCTTTTGGTGTCTTCAGCAGTAGTTGTTCCTGTTTTCCTTTTCTCCTGTGCTCTTTACTGAAGTGATTGGAATACCAAATACTTTCATTTTTCACCTTTTTTCTTTGTCTAAACCCAGTGTGCCAAATGAGAATTTTTCCCAATGTGACAGTGGTAGGAAAAAGTATTTTGGGATTGTTTTCTTCATAAACTTATAGACATTAAACAGTTGTATTCTCTTTTTTATTTTTCTTTTTACCTTCCATACGTTTTAGAAAGGAAAATGATGGCCACGAAGCAAATCTGATGAGAGAGGAGGGGGAGGTTGTTGGAAGGTTTGAGTTCCTCTGTCATACAACATGTAGATCGATCCTCACGTGACCTGCAGTATTGTTTTCAAGTACATCTGTCAGAAATCTGTGTAGACTGTTAACTTATTCCTCCTGGGATTTATTTTCTGCTAGGAATATTCTAATATTTAGACAAAGACCATGTTGGGGTGGAGAGTCAGCCCAGTGGGTTGGCACTTTCCTTGCTCACGACTGCCCATGTGACTTCCGTCCGCAAGCTCTCCCAGCAGGGCCCCTGCACACGAGCCTCAAGTAAGCCCTTAGCAGGCAAGTGAAACGGGACAACTTAAACTGCTATTAAAAAAAAAAATCATTGCGGTACGAGAGAAGAAAAGAACTGAGAGCCAAAATATTTATAATTTATTGCTTATTGCTTTCTTATGGTTTACAGGATAATTATAAGGCAGTGGATATCCCATCTTTAATATGAATCATTAATCTCTCCAATGAACTAAATTGCTGTTTTTATATACTGCATATATTTTCTAGGTTTCTTGTGTGCTCCCTTTGTTAACTAATGTCTTAGTCTATTACTCAACCTTTTGTGTCCCCCAAATGTACAGTAATTCTATTTCTCGTTTGTACATGCCTGGATTTTTATTACAAAAATGTCATTGTAGGTAGTAGAGATTCCTGGCCTTTCAAATATTGTAATGAAAGCAAATGGATATTTGCACTTAGTTTACTGATTAAAAGTTTGTTTACAGAAATTTTCTTTGGTGCTTAAATGATGTTACGTAAAATGGGTAGAAGGAATAATTTTATAGTAGTAACGAAGATTAACAAAGTACTTTCACTTGGGAAAAACGCCCTTGATTTTTGAGGAAATAAGATTTCAAAAACCTTGTTTCCCCCAATAGATAAGCATTTTATAATGAAGACTTTCTCCTTAGTTTTATTCTTGTTCTTTTGAAAGATTTATCTAACTGGAGAACATGTATGATTTCTTAAGATCATCTTTTTTTAGCCATAACTTAGGTCTTCTCTAATTGATTTTAGAAATCCCCAGATAATAAAATAAGTAGGAAAGTCATATACATTTTTGTCAGTTTGAGTAGTATCTTAAATGTCTAAGATATTAAAAAATATTGGCAATAAAAAATTACTTATATAAGAATCAAAAGTACCCTAAACATAAAATTTTTCATTAAAGCTCATTTCATTTTTCATTTTCCTTTGAAAGATTTTAGAAACATTTTTGGTAGTTGGTTAACTAGTCAGTCATATTAAAAACCTCGAGTTCACATTTTAAAATAGTCTATAAAATTTATCAGCAGGAAACTTACAATTATTCTATGCAATAATTTAATAACCATTTTTTATTGGATAAGCTTTTAGATAACAGATTTCAAATATTATGAGCTATAAAGTCAAATGATCACAAGCCTCTCGTAGAGTTTTACTCCCATGTGAACAGACATCTGTAGAGAGAAGCTATTTCCTTTCCTCACCATGTTCGAAGTTGCTAGAGAATTATTTTTTCTGACTTAAAAACAATGATCGTGTTTTATTTAAAGCTATGTTTCTTTCATAGAACGGCCAGGAAAAAGTAGTTTTAGAGTAGGAGGTATAAGGGAATGGTTCTGTCCCTTTCAATAAGGACAAAAGTTGCTGAGAGTTTCTAAACAAATAATAGGTGTAGATTGTCAGCGTTTGGATTTTGCATCGAGCTCTGTCACATTACCTCCTAAACAGTAAGTCTTAACATCTTAAGCATTTGCTTGCTCTAACTGTTAATTCAAAGTTTCGTAAAGTGAATTAAAACTTCCTGATGTAGGGCCAGAGCAGTACTGCTGCAGGGAGGTGCTTGCCTTGGCATTCAGGTCCGTCCCCAGCACACACAGAAGCCCCACCGGGAGTGATCGTTCAGTGGAGCGCCAGGAGGAAGCCCTGAGCACCGGCAGGTTTAGCCATGCCCCCCACACCCACCAGAAAACCCCTTTTAGATGAAATGGAGATGTAATGGATTTTAAGCCAAGGGAAAGAATTGGTGCTATCTTTCCAGGTATCTTAGGGATAAACATTATTCCGAGGTAGTCTGTCCATAGAGGGTCTTAGATTATTGACTTGCAGTCATGCTTTGTGCTTGGAAACAACTGGAGAAAAAGCAGATGCTAGAATCCTAGTTTAACACGTAGCAGTCTTTGTTTATTGTGTAAAATTCTATATATTTTGTACAAAAGTTCTTTTGGTGGGATGAATTATTTACAGTTTGTTTTTGGACTGAATGGAAGGAGTTTAAGTGCTTTGTCTCAATTTTAACCTGGTCTTTTGTACTTTTCTTCAGAAGAAATGAATTAAAAAAGATCCAGCTGCATTAAAGTGGGTTTTTATCCTAATGGATTGAAAATAATAAAATTTATTTTGCCTTTAATTTTTTTTTTAACTTTTTGAGATTTCAGGGGTTGCTATCTGGTAATGGAAGAGAAGCTTGTGTTTGGCTTATCTTTCTCACAGCAATAAAAAACACAGAAAGACATAAAAGTGGCGATTTGAAGTTCGGATGGTCCTTGAAAACTTCTCGACCTTTGTTCCCGCTAAATCTTCCCTGGGAGGGTGGGACCAGCCTTCTCTGGTCTGGGCTAGCTCTGTGTAAAGCCTTATCAGGTCTTATTTCCTATGCTCACAAGATGGGTCTGGACACCCTTAGGCTAGGTAGTTCTACTACCCCGTTTTACATGAAGGAGACATGATGGTGACCCATAGTCCGGTGGTAGAAACAAGATGAAGTAAAGAGGGCTTGACACAGGGCATGAGAAATGAGTACGTTAGTCATGGTGGGGGCAATGTGAGGTGTTGGAAGAGTCTGGAGGAAGGCATCCACAGAGATGGCAGATTGGTGACAGATACTGGGCACGTAGTACATCAACCATGGTGCTAGCCATAACACATCAGAAAGGGCGGGGGGTGGGGTTGTTTCTAAAAAAAGTCATTCCTCACTGGAACACAACCAGCGAGGGGACTGGAACTGGATTTTAGAGTATGAGCAATATTTGAATATTAGATTTAAAAAAGGAAAAACAGCGTAAGGTCTGCTCGGGACCCAAGGGCAGCCAGCTGATGAAATAGTGACGTCTGGAATCAAAGATCACCCTAACCCCTCCAGCACTAAAGACGGCTTCGGGCCCGTCCCAAGCCAGGTAGCCCCAGGCTGCATTCCTACCTTCACTCTCCTCCCCATCGCTGTGCCTGCCCAGGACAGCTTCAAAATCTGCTTAGGGTGCGGTTCTGCTCCAGCCTCACCAAAGAGAGGGTCACCCAGGAGCACATCCAAATAGACTTCTCCAGTTTCTTCACTTGCATTGTCTCTGTCCCCTGTCTGTGCGCACTGGGCAAGGTCTCCGACTTATCACACAGGGCTGGAGAGAGTCCCGCGGATGTGGCGCTTGCCTTGCATGCAGCCGATCGAGGTTTGATTCCCTGCACCACATATAGTACCCCGAGCCCTGCAGGAATGATCCCAGGGTACAGAGCAAGGAGTAAAACCCTGAGCACCGAGGCTGTGGGATCCCCCCTAAAATCTCCCCCCAAAAATTTGAATATAAATGTGAGTAGATAGAACTGTGTATGTAGTTCCTAGCTCTCTCCAATGGGCAAGGCCTAAAAGCAGTGTGTATTGGAACACTCATTATTTTGCCTCCAAATTTTCCATCTGTCCAAATGCCAGACATTAGGTGGTGTTTATTTATTTGGTTTTGGGGCCACATCTGGCTCTGCACTCAAGAATCACTCCTGATAGTGCTCAGGAGATCATTAAGGATGCCAGCAATGAGCCCAGGTGGGCTGCATACAAGGCAGACATACTACCTGCTATGCTATCGCTCTGGTTCTATTGTCTCAAAAATCTTTTCTGGTCTTTGTTGTTCTTTGGTTTTGGGGCCACACCTCGCAGTGCTAGGGGGCCATATGCAGTTTCTAGGAGGGAACCAGGACTGGCCATATGCGTGCAGGAGCTTGAACCCCAGTCCGAGCTCTACAGATGCTCTGACCTCTTAAAAATTTCTCTAAGTGGACATGGCTTTTTCTGCCAGAAGGGAACAACATGATGCCCGCCACAGCCATGCCACTGGACCCCGTGCTAGGTTGTTTTACTCAGGGTACCCCAGAGGGAGGTGGGTGAGAGCCCTCCCCGCCCCTGGGGACCCAGACCTGGCAGCTGAAAACCTCCAGAACCCAACCGCTGCCTCGACCAAGGTCATTCCCCAAAATAGAACAATCTTCACTCTGTCTCCTCTATGGGTACTTTTTTTGTTGCATTTTCAGCGGTTCTCCATAACAGACAATACAAAATATATTATTTTGGTTGTGCTGTGGGACAGGACTTGGGGCTTGGGATGGAAATATCCCCAATTTGGTGGTGGGAAAGTGTAACGGTGGTAGGATTGGTGTTTGAATATTAAACTAATCAAATATTGTGAACCACCTTATAAAATAAAAAATTAATTAAAAGATTAATTTTTAATTAATTAATTTTTAATTAATAAAAAAGATTAAACCAAAAAAATTTCTCTAAGTGGGAGCTGGAATGATAGTTCAGCCGTTAAGGCACTTACCTTGCACACAGCCTTCCTGGGTTCAACCCTGGACACCTTATGGTTCCCTGAAACCCTCCAGGGGTGCTCTCTGAGTGAAGAGCCAGGAGTAAGTCCTGATCACAACAGGGTGTGACTCAAAAATCAGACTTCCATGAGTCCTATACTTCCCTGCTCATTATTTACAGAACTATCTTATAATTGGTTTCCAAGTATTTTAGGCTGGAGTGATAGCACAGCGGGTAGGGCGTTCGCCTTACAAGCGGCCAACATGGCCGACCCGAGTTCGATTCCTCCGCCCCTCTCGGAGAGCCCGGCAAGCTACCGAGAGTATTCGATATGCCAGACACAGTAACAACAAAGTCTCCAATGGAGACGTTACTGGGCCCGCTCGAGCAAATCGACGATCAACGGGAGAGCCTTTACCTTTTTACCTTATCTGTAATAAAACTGACTTTAGAGACTCACAAACCTCAGAATAGAGCAACAAGCTGAAGAGATGCCTCCAGACCCTGCACCAGGCTGAGTCTCATACGGGGCACCCCCAAAGGGGGCAGATGAGCCCACCACCCACCCAAACAGAGCCCACAGCAGCCAAAAACCTCAAAAACCCAATTGCCACCATGCTCAGGCCTGATCTCCATAGGCTCAGGACGAGCTTCATCCATGAAAAGGAATTTGCTGAAAAACACAGGTATGCAGGTTTTGTGACTTGAACGCTCCAGGTTTTCACAAAGTTGGGAATGGGCAACCTCCCTCCATCTTCCTGTTCTTCTGGGAGCCTGGCAGTCATGCCCACAAGCTGCCTCTGGTGCCATATAAGCTCATTAACTGCCATGATCCAGAGACTCACAAAAAAAAAAAAATCTCAGAGCAACAAGCTTCAGAGATGCCTCTAGACCCCAAAGTCACCATTCAATTAAAAATTTAAGCCCAGCTGTATCACCCTATTTAAATTTTTAGAATTCCTGAAGCATGTGACCACAAATCTCATACTCTAAGCCATTGATATACCAAGAGTAGCACACCACCTTTGATAGGGTGTAAAGTAGAAGGAAACCAATCTTGATTAAAAAACATTCTATGTGTGTATATATATGTGTATATGTACATATATATAGACACACACACATATGTATAAGAGGTGGGGCAGCTGCGCAAGCTCATTGGCTTGTGGTAAAATTAGAAATAATGGTGGTGAGAAGGTGCAATGGTGGTGGGATTGGTATTGAAATGTTGAATGTAATATATATATTAGCACACAAGGCTCAACCTATAACAAATGACCTGTAAGAGATTACCTGTTAGTAATCTCTTATACAGTGTCTCCTGGGTTAGATACAATCTTCATGCACTTTCTTCTTTTTTCTTTTTTGCTTTTTGGGTTACACCCGGCAATGCTCAGGGGTTACTCCTGGTTCATGCACTCGGGAATTACCCCTGACGGTGCCCAGGGGACCATATGGGATGCTGGGAATCGAACCTGGGTCGGCCGCGTGCAAGGCAAACACCCTACCCACTGTGCCATCACTCCAGCCCCACGCACTTTCTTCTAAGGACACTTCTCTGTATCATTTTTAGCAGATTAACAAGCAATAAAAAAAGAAACTATTTAGGACCTACATTGGTAAAATTATAAATAATGGTGGTGGGACTGGTGTTGAAATGTTGAACGTAATAAACTACCGTGAACAAGCTTATAAAAATTAAAAACAAAATCAACAAGCGTTTTTGGAAGCTGAAGCGGGTACTGGGCACTAACCCGGTCTGCGTTCAAGTTCAAAGGCTACTTATGGCACCCCTGAAGCCTCTGGCCCGGCTCCCAATCTTTGTTTCCTCCTGCTAAGGGGGAAATATCACCTATCTCGGGCTACGGGCAAACACTGAACCACGCCGGTGGCTCCCAGCGCTTGGGACTCCTGAGAAATTCCCCCAGTTTACAAAGACACCCTCGAACCCCTCAACAAAGGAGCCAGGCACACCCATCCCCCATCCCCCCCACAGCCCGGAAGGGACGTAGGGAGCCGCTCTAGCCAACAAAGCCGTCTTTATGATCCGGAAGGCGGAAGGCGGGAGCAAGGGCTCAGTGACGCACTTCCGCCCCCCGCAGCCAATAGGACGTGCGCCACCGCCCCGCCTCTTCCGCTCCCGGGACCCCGCCCCCAGAGCGTCTTCCGGCGGGAGCTGTGCGGCTCCTTACCATGGTGAGTTGGGCTGGGCGCGCGGCGGGGTCCCGGCTCAGGCGGTTCCTTCTCTGTCCCCTCGTCGGGCCGCGGCCCTCCGGACGCCGCGGCTGTGGGGGGCGTCCCGGACCCCGGGGGGCGCGGCGGCGGGGCCCGGCCGGGCTCTGGGGTCGGCGACCCGCTCGCTCGCTGGCCCTGAGGAGAAGGCGCCGCCCGCGGACCCCCGCGCCCGAGCGAGACCCCCACGGCGGCGACGCCGCGCCCGACAGTCGCCCGGCCGAGCCCGCCCCGCGGCCCTGTGTGGAGACGCCGCAGGGGGCGGGGAGCCCGACGGCCGTCGGGGACCCGCGGTGGCCGCCAGCCTCGGGCAGCGCGACCCTGTGAGGACGGGGCAGCCTCGGGGACGCGACCCTGTGAGGACGGAGGAGCCTCGGGCAGCGCGACCCTGTGAGGACGGCGGAGCCTCGGGCAGCAGGACCCTGTGAGGACGGAGGCTCGGAGGAGCCTCGGGGAGCGCGACCCTGTGAGGACGGAGAAGCCTCGGGGAGTGCGACCCTGTGAGGACGGAGGAGCCTCTTGCAGCGGGACCCTGTGAGGACTGAGGAGCCTCTTGCAGCCGGACCCTGTGAGGACTGAGGAGCCTCTTGCAGCGGGACCCTGTGAGGACGGAGGAGCCTCGGGCAGCGCGACTCTGTGAGGACAGGGCGGCCCGAACAGGGTCTTCCCGGAGGGACCTGGCCCCAGGGCGTCGGACTCTCGGACTGTCGCCGCAAGTTTTCTCTCAGTCCTTCCACACGGACCGTGAAGAAAACTTGACCTTCAGGCCGGCCCCAAGCCTCTCGTTACATTCCTCTGCAAATGTGGATGTCAAAGCCGTGCGTGCTGCGCCGGAAACAACAACAACACAACCACAAGGAAAAGGAAAAGTTACCGTTCTGTTGCCCTCAGTCTTGTTCAGCAACAGCCCCACGACCCCCCACCCCGGGAGAAGCTCCTTCCTTGTTCGGTTTGGGGCCACACTGCGCTAGGCTCGGAGCTGACTCCTGGCTCTCGTGCTCGATTCCTGGAGTATTGTGGCGGCGGGGATCAGACCCTTGTTGGCCACTGGCAGAGCCTGTCGATTCGGCCGAATCTGCTTTCCAAAGAACTTGAAATCGAGTTCATCACATCTTCAACGCCCACCGGCGGCATCTCTTTGTTCACTGCCACACGACGGTCCCAGCACCCCCCCCCCCCCCCAGCTCTCTTCTACACTTTTAGGAGCCTCCTTTGTGCTCCCCTGGTGCCATGGTGCTTTCCCCATCTCCCTTCCCCCTGATTGAAGTCGTGATGTTCCACGCATGCCTGGTTGTGATGCTCTGCACACGCATCAGTTGCACAGTGGCTGTCGGTCCTGACACACACACGTTGAGGTTGTAGTGCACCTGCAGGTTGCTGTGGAACTGGGGCTGGGACCCACCCAGGGCCACATTCCTGACTGTAATGCTTGCACATCTTTTCAGGGGGCTCCACGCCCCTTAACTGGGGTACTGGCACACATAGGACCACAGTGCAGCCATGATCATGTTCATCTCATGAAATGGCATCAGAGATTGAATTTGGAGCCTCATGCTTTGGTAGGCAGGTGATTCACCCATTGAACCATCTTCTGGCCCCATAACATGGTGCTCTTTATCAGTGGTCTGGTCACCTTTACCAGACTATAACAGTACATTTACGTATTTCCGAACTGTTAAGTTCTTCAAAAGGAAAACCTACATAGTCACACTGGTGTCTCCAGAGCCTTGTGCAGTGCCTTGCTCAGAGGAAGCTTTGCATAAATTTCTCGAGGGGTAAACGGGATTTGGGCCATACTTGGCAGTGCTTGGGTTTCTTTCCGGCCGGGTGCTAGGAAGAGGCACCCAGTTGTGCTTGGGGCACCAGGTTGTGCTACGAATTTAAGCCAGAGTTTCAGCATTAAAAGCATGCAGTCCAGTGCCAGTGAGATAGTATAGCCAGTAGAGTGCTTATCTTGCACATGGCCAGTCAGTTTTTTTTATTTATTTATTTATTTATTTATTGAATCACCATGGGAAAGGTTACAAAGCTTTCAGGTTTAGGTCTCAGTGGCCAGTTTTGATCCTTGGCACCCCATATAGTCCACTGAGCTGCCAGGAGTAATTCCTGAGTGCAGAGACAGTAGTAACTAATTTTTTGGTTTTTGCACCACACCCGGGAGCTGGTTTTTATAGTCTCTCAGTCAAACCTCAGCGCAGAAGATATTAGCTGAGCAAATTGGGAGGTAGACTATAAAAACCAGCTCCCGGAATGCGGCTGCGCTACATCTTATTATGACATCTTATTATCTCACTCCTACTTTGGACGAACTGGCAGGCTACTGAATGTAACCTGCCCACATGGCAGAGTCTGGCAAACTCCCCGTGGCATACCCAATATGCCAAATTCCAGTAACAATGATGGGTCTCATTCTCCTAAAGAGCCTTGAATACAGCACTTTCTTAAAAATCTCAGGGCTAGGATGAAGGAGACGTTACTGGGGCCTGCTCGAGGCAGTCGACGAATAACAGGATGGTCGTGATTCGTGCGCCACACCCAGAGATATTCAGGGGTTACTCGTAGCTCTGTGCTAGAACCTGGGTTAACTGTGAACAAGGCAAAGTCCCTACCCACCGTAGGGTAGTGGTACTATCTGCTACTGATAGGGTACTTTCCTGTCCCAGCCAGGAGTAACTTCTGAGCATCATCAGGTTTGACCCTCAAACCGAAGCATCCAAAAAAGTTTGCACTCCGCCCTTTTTGAGCTGTCTTTCTGACCTGTGTGTACTTTATAAAACACAATAAATTAACTATGGTACTAGATTTTTGTGATCTGAGTATCAGTAACCCAGGAAAATGAAAGCATTAAAATTTAGGGCTGTTTCATGACGGAGTAGAGACGTACTGCTTGCTGAGTATTTGCTTGAGTGTTACTCTAAAACTCATGTTTGATTTTGATTTTTTTTTTACTTTTTTCCATACTGGTGGTGCTTAGGGCTCACTCCTGGCTTTCCACTCAGGGATCTCTCTTGGCAGTGCTTAAGTGCACCATATGTGGTGCCAGGGATTGAACCCATCCTGATCAAGTCCAATGCAAGCACCCTCCCTCCAAAACATAATATTCTTACACTCCTTTTGGTCTGGAGCAATAGCACAGCGGGTAGGGCATTTGCCTTGCACACGGCCGACCCTGCCGACCTGGGTTTGATTCCTCCGCCCCTCTTGGAGAGCCCTGCAAGCTCCCGAGAATATCTCGCCCACACGGCAAAACCTGACAAGCTCCCCGTGACATATTCGATATGCCAAACACAGTAACAACAAGTCTCACAATGGAGACGTTACTAGGCCTGCTCAAGCAAATTGATGAACAACGGGAGTACAGTGCAGTGTAGTGCTACCCTCCTATTTAGTACTAAATAGCTTGAAAGTGTGACATTGCTGGTAATAAAGTGTGAAATTTGTCTGATAACAGTGGAGAATTTGGGGAGGAGTGATAAGTTAGTTTCTTTGCTTGTTTCTTGTTTTCTTGTTTTTGTATTAGGGCCACACCCTGTGGTGCTCAAGACTTTTTCCTCACCCTGCTCTCAGGGATCACTTTGACCAAACCCAAGTCAGCCATGAGCAAGGAAAGCATTCTACTGCTCTAACTTAATCTCTGCCTCCTAAAGCAACAGGATTTTTTTCCTTAAATTTTTATTAGTGAAACACCATGAGGTACAGTTGTAGACTTACAAATTTTTGTGCTTGGGTTTCATTTATACAATGATCAAATACCCATCCCTCCACCAGTGCCCATTCTCCACCACCACTGATCCCAGTAGCCCTCTCACCCCCCACCCCCCATCCCAAAGGGCATTCCCTTTTGTTATCTCTCTCCTTTTGAGTGCTGTGGTTTGCAAAAGAGACATTGAGTGACAATCATGTTCCATCTATAGTCTACTCTCATCACGCATCTCCCATCCTGAGAGGAACCTCCCCAAACCCTTTATTTGGTGCTCCCTTCTCTATCTGAGTTGCCTTTTCCCCTAGCGTGTGCAGCTGGCCTCAAAGCCATGGTGTAATTCTCCTGGTACTTAAAGGTAAAGGTAAAAGGCCCTCCCGTTGATCGTCGATTTGCTCGAGCGGGCCCAGTAACGTCTCCATTGGAGACTTTGTTGTTACTGTGTCTGGCATATCGAATACTCTCGGTAGCTTGCCGGGCTCTCCGAGAGGGGCGGAGGAATCGAACTTGGGTCGGCCATGTTGGCCGCTTGTAAGGCAGACGCCCTACCTGCTGTGTTATCGCTCCTGGTACTTATCTCGACTATTCTTGGGTGTTAGTCTCCTATTTTGTTACTAAATTATGTTGGCCAGAGCAACAGCTTTAATATTCAAGTACATGAGACTTTGTAATCAAATTATTATGTGTAACCCACTGAAAATTGTGAAAAAATTTTTTTTCTCTAGAAACAATTACTCTGCTTTTGGAATGACAATTATATATATTAAAATTATTTTTTATTGAATCATGATGAGATACATAGCTACAAAGTTGATCATGGTTGAGTTTCAGTTATATTTTAACACCTGTCCCTTTACCAGTGTACATTTTCTGCCACCAATGACTCCAGTTTCCTTCCCCCCCCCCCCAGCCTGTCTACGGCAGGCCCTTTTCTTTCTCTCTCTCTCTCTCTCTTGCTCTCTCTCTCACTCTCTCACTCTCTCTCTCTCTCTCTCACTCTCTCGCTCTGGTTTACAATACTGCTACTGAAGGGTTGTCGTGCATATTACTTTATCACCACTTTACCTCCTTTCAGGACTCAGGTCTTATCCAGAGTGAACATTTCCCACTATCCATTGTCAGAGTGGTCCTTTCTCTATCCTTACTGCCCTTTGTCCTAGAGCTGTGTCCCAGCACCCCTGCTGTGCAGTTAACTACCTCTGTGCCGCTGGACCTGTTACTGTTCATTGTTCTAGCTTTTAGGGTTACTGTGACTATTCAGTTTATAAATTCAGGTAAATTATAACTTGGTGTGACTCTTATGACACTCTAAATGCTAGTGACTATCACATCATAGAAATGGGAAGCAGATACTTAAATACTGAATTTGATGTCTTTTGTATGTTTAAAGGGGACAATTCATCTCTTTCGAAAACCACAACGATCAATTTTTAGCAAGTTATTGCAAGAATTTGGACTTGTAGCCTCTGACCGCAGGGTAAGTTCTTTCCTTTAAGTTTTTGTTATTGTTGGGATAGGGTAGTTTGGTCCATTCCTGTGTTGCTCGGAGGCTGCTCCTGGCTGCTCTGCACCTGGCCCACTGCTGCCATCCTTGGGGGATCGAATGTGGGGCTTGGGACTGAACTGGGCCGGCCATGTGCAAATACCTCGGCCCATGTTTTCCATCCTGCCTTTCACCCTGATCTCACTGCTCAGCTGGGCTGCCCTGGTTTTGCTGGTGGGGTTCAGATGTTGGCACACCCAGCCAGGGTGTTCTCAGAGCTTTGCTCTGCCTGGGGTGTGCGTGTGCATCTGCTGAACACACTCTGGTTTTTTATTTTGGGCGCCACACCCAGCAGTGCTCAGGGCTTCCTCCTAACTGCTCACTCAGGGATCACTCCTAGTGAGTTTTGGGGGACCACAAGAGGCGCCAGGGATTGAACCCAGGTCAGCCACATGCAAGGCAAGTGTCCTGCCCACTGTGCTCTCTCTCCGGCCCCTGGACATCGCACTCCTGACCTGAGAGACCAGCTGGGGGCTGTGGTGCTCTCTGGGGCTTGCCGCAGTGCTCACAGGCTCCTGAGGCACTCGAGGCACTCCAAGGCCATGGTGCTCCCATGTATTAGTTGCTGATGTTTGCAGGGGATTGCCCCCCTGGGTGATGCTCACCGATACCCAGCTGTGCTGTGGCCAGCGTGACTCACTCTGGCAGCACTGGCTGTGGGAACTCGCAAGCACGCACTCTCGGGGTAGGCTTGGAAGCCTGAAAGGACCACAGAGTAAAGGAAATTCATGCCCATCGGGGTGGAGTCTGGAGCGGAGACTGGGCAGTGTCCAGCCTCTGTCCGAGTCATTCTCACGCTGTCCATTCCCTGCCTTGTCTCTGGTTCCTCCTGCCTCTGCTTGTGTAGAAGCGCAGGTCTCCCCGCTTTGTTGGGAATGTGCCGGATCAAAAGAGAAAAAGATCTCGGGAGTGCTCCCTTTGCTTTCGACATTTATTTTCATTTCTACTCCCTACCCCTTGTTGTTGCCCCCCAACGAGTCTGCTGTGGTTCTCGGGCACTCCCGCTGTGGTGCTCACTGGAGGAAGCTGTTGCCAGGGAACCTACAGCCTGCCGGGCCTCACTCCTATGCTTGCCAGGCGCCACTGCCTGCTGGGCCTGGTGCCTGCATGTCTTTTTGTTGTTTTGTTCGTTTGTATTGATGGTGCCAGTGATCAAGACCAGGTCTATTGCAATCCAGTTTTTTTTTCTTTTTCCTTTTGGATTTAATTTAGAAGTTTTGAGAGGGGAAAAGAGGGAGAGAGAGAGAAACATGCTCAAGAGAGAACATGGGCTTCTCCTGAGTGGAGAGGGAGCCCCAGCACACATCCCACAAGCATTAGATATGAAATTGTGAAAGCCCGTGTCTCCAGAGGGGAGATGCTCTTGTGCTCTTGTGCTCAGATGCTCATGTGCTCGGGCACCCTGTGTGCTCCGCAGCTTATGAACTCAACCTGTTTTATTATGCATGTGACCTCCACTTGGCCAGCTCACCAAACAGCCGCGCCAACCCTGAATTCCTCAGCCCACAGGGACCTTTTAGCTTTCACAGTTCTGTTTCATGCAGGTGTGGGGATAAATAGCCAAATGCTTGTCCCTCCTTCCCCCTTTTGGGGTGGGGTGAATACTTCATTTTGGTGTAATTTCAAGCTCTCGGGCAAGATGAGTCTGAGGCGCTCCTTTTACCTTGCACACACATTTACCATTGTTACATCTGGCCACCCGTGTTCATGCAAAGAGTTAAAGCGATACTGAAGTGTTTTTGTGTTTTCTCACTCTTCAGATGTGTGTCAGAATTTATTTGATCTTGAATAACTTCATTTCTGAATTATTCATCTAGATTTAAATTTTGTAATAACTTGGCCACTGAGTGTTTTGCTAGATTTAGGAAATGTGGTATTGCAGCTTTTCTGAAGGTAATTGTGCTCATTGCTTAGTATGGCAGAGTATGAATTATAGGAGCTTGAATGTCCCCAGTGAAGGTTGTCAGCTCTGTGCAAGTAACGCTTTTCTCTTTCACAGTCCTGGAAGATCCTGCTCTTTGGTGTAATAAACTTAACATGTACTGGTTTCCTTCTCATGTGGTGCAGTTCCACTAACAGTATAGGTAAGGCACTGCTCTCGCTCTTACTGAATTAATCACTTTCTTTTTGTGATTTAAAGTAAAAGCATATCTTAACGTTACATAGAATATATTCTAAAATACAGCTCAAGAAATATAATCAAGAGCATTTATTTGCAAAGTGCTTTGTAAACTGTTGTTCAGTTTTTAGGTTTTCTTGTCAGGGCTCATGCTCAGATGTGCTCGGCGGCTACCCACAGCTCTGTGCTTGGGCGCTACTGTGGTTCTGTCTTCTGGGGAGCCAGTGTGCTAGGATAACCCCAGGCTCCAACACTCAGTCCTACTGTGCTCTCTCTGCCACTGGTATTCTCCCTCTGTCATTGAGACTATCATTTTTATTATATACAGTTAGACAGTCATTGTACTTGTATTTTTGTTTATTTGTTTTGGGGCCACACCCGGCAATGCTCAGGGGTTACTCCTGGCTCTGCACTCAGAAATCACTCCTGGAGGGCTCAGGGGACCATATGGGATGCTAGGGATCAAACCTGGATTGGCTGCGTGCAAGGCAAGTACCCTACCCGCTGTACAATGGCTCCAAGATCCCAAGACTATTATTTTTTTTAACTTTAACTTCATTTTTATCAAGTTGGGCTTGAGCGATAGCACAGTGGATAGGGCGTTTGCCTTGCTTGCAGCCAACATGTCCGACCCGAGTTCAATTCCTCCGCCCCTCTCGGAGAGCCCGGCAAGCTACCGAGACTATCTCGCCCGCACTGCAAAGCCTGACAAGCTCTCCGTGACGTATTTGATATGCCAAAAACAGTAACAAGAAGTCTCACAATTTGTTGTGAGATGTTATTGGTGCCCGCTCAATCAAATCGATGAACAATGGGAGGACTGCTTTAAAAAGTTTTTCACAATAATTCCTTATATTTAATATTCAAACACCAATCCCACTGACATTGTACCTTCCCACCACCATATTTTGAATCGTTTTCACCCCAAATCCCAAACCGTGCCCCCCAGAGAAGAACCAGAACAACGAATTTTGTATTGCTTGCTAAAGACAATCCACGAAGAATGGTCCAGTAAAGTTTCCTTGGAGGAAAGTGTGTGAAGATTGTTGTATTTCATCCTGGAGCCATTAAGCCCTTGTATAAGAGATTACAAGCATGTTTGTTAAACCCCATCAAATGTTGTGTGCCACTCTTGGGACATCAATGGTATAGAGTATGAGAGGTCATGTGGCCACATTTGTGTCTGCACTCTATGAATTCTAAAATTTAGCATATGCTCTGTATTGTTCCAATTTTAGCACATGTGCTGTTGAAGTGAGCATGACTTATTATTTAACTTTCAAAATATTTTAAGAGATATTTTTAAGAGAGTACACCAGGTAGGGCATTTGCCTTGTATGTTGCCAACTCAGATTTGATCCCTGGCACCATATATGAGCCCTCTGAGCACTGCCAGGACCGACCCTGAGAATTCAGCCAGGAATAGTTGTGAGCATTGCTAGCTGCAGTCCCAAAACAAAACAGAGAGAACCAAAAAACTTAAAACTTGGTATCCTTCGGGGCTGGAGTGATAGCACAGCGGGTAGGGCGTTTGCCTTGCAAACGGCCAACCTGGGTTCGATTCCCAGCATCCCATCTGGACCTCGAGCACCACCAGGAGTAATTCCTGAGTGCATGAGCCAGGAATAATCCCTGTACACCGCTGGGTGTGACCTAAAAAGCAAAAAAAAAAAAAAAAAAAAATTATATCCTTTGGGCTGGAGTCATAGTGCAGCAGGTAGGGTACTTGCCTTGCATATGGCCGACCTTGGTTTGACCCCTGACATCCCTTGTGGTCCCCTGAGCACTGCCAAGAGTAATCCCTGAATATAGAGGCAGAAGTAACTCCTAAGCACAGCTGGGTGTGGCCCCCAAATCCCCAACCCCCTAAAAAATATTGATACGCTTGATAAAACACATTGCTCTGCATGTTAGACTGTGGATTCATTTCCAAGGAAGAGAAAAACCAAAAAGGTAGAGTCACCAAACTTGGGCTACCTGCATTAATCGAAGTAACAATGTAAGAGGGTTAATCTGATTTGTAATCAGTGTAGTAATGGAGGCTCTTCACAAGAAGCATTTGGTGGTCGGTTATATTCTATGTTATATTCATATAATAGAGTTATATGTTATATTTCCTAACAGTGGTTTCAGTAACATTTTAGTCCCTGTTCTTGTTGCTTTGCAGCTTTAACTGCCTATACTTACTTGACCATTTTTGATCTTTTTAGGTAAGTTTTTTTTAAAAAAAATATTTAACGTTTTGAAGCTAATAAGGAGTTTGTTGCTCTGAATTTATGAATTTCTTGTCATTCATTGGAAAGTGGATTTGTGGTATAGATAGGTAAAGCTACCAATATGAAACCTAGACACAAGCAACAGTAGTGAGAAAGCACAATGAAAGAAAATGTCCCATTCATACAACAACAGCAGGACAGTTCTCAGGCCGTTGCTCCAGGTGTCTGGCCACCTGTGCGTGGGTCACTTGGGGCTGGAAGCGCCCCTGGCAGAGCATGCCTGTTCCCTCAGTAGCAGTGCCCTGGGAAGGAAGTGAGAACAAGCCATCATGGGCGGGAGGTGATGCAAAGCTAACAGCCGTGAACTTCCTCCACGTGACCTCCTCGTTCTCACGTCAGCACTGCCACGTGCTTAGGCTTGTGCTTGAACGATGTCTTTCTACCAGGCTTGAACCTGTGTGGACTTGAATGATCTAAAACAGGTCATTGTCATCACTTGAACTTCACAGTGCAGTAAACTGTTACAGGGGAAATCTGCTAAGCTTAGAAAACAAACATAATTTGGTCTTGCCCAGGATGTTATTAGTATTTAACTGTTAATGAAGATTAAAGCTTATGCAAGGTAAAATTGTATGTGTCTAGAATGATTTATTGTTTTTTGGGTTTTGGTGTTTTTTGTTTTTTTTTTGTTTTTTTTTTTGCATGCTCAATCACAAAAACCTTTTGGGGTAGGTAACTTGTTGAATAAAGAAAGTCTTCATTTCTGTTCTGCTTAATGACTCAATGACATGTCAGAGTTTCTTTCGCTTTATCCATATGTTAATGCTGTCACACAAAAATTTAAATTAAAAGAAGACAAAGGGAAAATAAAGTGCAAATAAATGAAAAAAAACTGGTTAGGATGCTTATTGTGGTTAATTTTAAATTAGGATGACAGTATTAATGCAGAAGCATGTAACTTTCAACAATTTAGAAAATCTGAAATTTTAATTTCTGAATATTTAGCTTAGTTCTAATCCTACATTCATTTTTCTTTTAACCTAGCTTATTGACATGTTTAATAAGTTATTGGGTAATGATGAAGAAACCTAGTCCTGTGTATTCATTTGGGTAAGTTCAAATCATTTTATTTTCTGCCACCTTACTGCTATTAAAATTGTCGTTATGGAGTGGGATGTGGCCCACTGGTAAAGTATATGCCTTGTGCCTGTGCTCTGGGCTTGCTCCTTACCTGCTGTCCTATTGCTCTGGCTCCAAGTGTGTTCTTAGATTTTTATTATTCTGGTCACTTAGGGCCTTTTTTTTGTTCTTTTGTTTTGTTTTGGAGCCACACTCTGCAGTGTTCTGGGGTTACTCCTGGTTCTGGAGCTCAGGAATTCTTCCTGGCAGGATTTGGGGAACCATCTGGGGTGCTGGGGATCAAACCCAGGTCAGCTGCATGCAAGGCAAATCCCTTGCCTACTGTATTACTGCTCCGACCTGTATGTTCATGTAGTTTTTAAAAAAATCTTGATCATGGTACTTTAAATATTTTGGCTCTGTTTTTAATTTAAAAAAAAAAGCCACATAGCTCTGTTCTTACCCAGCTTTCCGTCACCTTTTCCCTTTCTGTGTAAACTCCCCTCCCGCCCTCTCTCCTGCAGTGCTTGTGCTCTTGCTGGGGCCCTCCCCCAGCCGAGCTTCGAGTGCACTCTGACGCCAGCTTGACATCACTGCTTTTGTGTGCTTGTGTTCCTACTCTCAGAACCGTTTTTCCTTACATCTCTACATGTCAGTTGAAGCACAGTTATAACACATCAGGTTCTAATGCTGATTCCAACATTCCCCTTTACAAATAGCAACATAGTAAACGTATTGTTTTCTGAAGATAATCATTTCCTTGACAAAATAGTAAGCCTTTTTACTTACCATAAGTATTGAATTTCATTAAACTTTGTGTTGTGAGGATACCAAGTAATGATTAAGACAGTGGCCTCTGACCTCCAGCTGATAGTGCACAGATAATAAGAAACACTCATAACTAACTGCACTTGTGTGTCAGAGTGAGAGGCAGTATATGAAGTAGTTAGAGTCATGAACTCAAGGAGCTGGAGCTAGAGTATAGCGGGGAGGGTGTTGGCCTTGCATGTGACTGACCCAGGTTCTATCCCCAACACCCCATTTGGTCGTCAGATCCCTGCCAGGAGTAATTCCTGGACTCAGAGCCAGGAGTAACCCTGAGGAGTAAACCTTCTGGGTGTGGCCAGAACTGCTAAGTATCATGGTCAGAATTGAATGAGAGAGAATAAAAGCATGATTCCTGGGCCGGAGAGATAGCACAGTGGGGAGGGCACTTGCCTCGCACATTGCCAACCCGGGTTCAATCCCGGTACCTCAAATGGTTCCCAAGCCCATCAGGAGGGATCCCTGAGTGCAGAGCCAAGAGTAAGCTCTGAGCACCACCAGGTATATCCCCCACCCGCCAAATAAAAACCCAAACCCTGGTCCTGCACTTGTTAGTTGCATGTCTCTCAGACAGTTGCCTTTCTTCTCTGTGTTACAGGTTCCTGATCTCTCTCATTGGGCGAGGGTAGGAGGGGGGAAACAAACACACACACACAGACACACATACAGACAGACACACACACACACACACACACACACACACACCTCCCAGTGATTCTCAGTGAACAGACCAGTAGTTCAGTGCAAGGATTGAGGAGGCAGTTCACTTGGGCCCTGTGGGCTGTCTCAGCAGTGGATAGAGGGCCTTGTACTTGAGAATTGAACCAGTCTCGATCACAAGAAAGCCTGGCTCCTTCATCCCTCTACTCTTCAGCTCTTCGCGTTTGCTTTGTCTTTTGGTTTTTGGGCCACACAGTGGTACTCAGTTTTACTCCTGGCTCTGCGCTAGACTGACTCCTGGTGGTGCCCCGGAGGATCATAGGGGTGCCAAGACTCAAACCTGGGCCAGCCGTGTTCAGGATCAGCGCCCTGCCCACACTGTACATCTCTCTGGCTCTGTTCTCTCCTTTTTTTTTTTTTTTTTAAATAAAGTAACTTATAGGAACCAGAAAGTTTCAGTGCAGTTAGAATGTTGCATACTTTGGCTCAGTGTCAGAACCTGTTCAGTTATAATAATGATGGTGTTTTAGAAAAATAAAAACCACAGACCTGAGTTTGACAACGTGATTTTTTGTTGTTGTTTATTTTGTTTTGAGGACACACCCAGCAGTGCTCAGGGCTTAGTCCTGGCTCTGCACTCAGGGATCACTCCTGGTGGGGCTTGGGAAGCATATGCAGTGCCAGGGATTGAACCCGCGTTGGCCATTTACAAGTCAAGCTCCCTACCCACTATACTATGGCTCTGGCTCCTGGCAAGGGATCCCGAACAGATCTGTACCGTTTTTTGTTGGAATCTCTGTTATTTCTTGTCTGTGATAGCACAACCTGTAAGACATTTGCCTTGCATGCGGCCCACCCGGGTTTGATTCCTCTGTCCCTCTCGGAGAGCCCGGCAAGCTACTGAGAATATCTCACCCGCACGACAGAGCCTGGCAAACTTCCCGTGACATATTTGATATGCCCAAAATAGTAACAACAAGTCTCACAATGGAGATGTTACTGGTGCCCGCTTGAGCAAATTGATGAACAGTGGGAGGACACTGCTACGACAGTGCTGCAGTGCTATTAGTCTAGAAACTGCCATCTGTTCTGGCAGTGTTTGGGTCATAGGTATTTTGGGTGAGTGAGTGCATTAATGAGTGTAAGTGTGTTCTAGAAACCCTGTTTTCTGACCTACTTAATTTTTGGATTTCAGATTTGAACGACTGGAAGTCCTGGCAGTATTTGCCTCAACAGTCATGGCACAGTTGGGAGCTCTCTTTATACTAAAAGAAAGGTACATTTGTGTGTGGTGAGACTGTCCTTGTCACTTCTGCTGTGCCACCGTTGGGGACCTGGAAGTGTCCAGTGAGACACGGCTTATGAGCAGGTTCTCAGTTCTTAAGCTGAGTGGGACTAGCACCTTCTGGGTGCTTTGGACATAAACTTCCTTCTTTCCACCCCTTTCTTCGATTTTGCTACTAACATGTCTGTAGGGAGGTGAATGAAAAAGGTTTAGTCAGTATATTCAGACTTCCTAGAAGCCCATTAAAATAGGCTTGGTTAAGGTGAACATAGTATTTTGAGGGTCCTTTCTGAGTCTTGCCTCCTCATTGCTAAAAATCAACTTGGTAGCATATTTAAAGAATTTACAAACTAAACTGGATTGGTTTTATAGGTAAAACCAGGTTACAGGTTCAGAGTTCATATGACTTGCTTAATACATTCTTTTTTTCTTTCAGTGCAGAACGCTTCCTGGAGCAGCCTGAGATACACACGTAAGACTTGGCCTTATATGCATTAGGCTAGTTGTGGGCCCGCTGCCTGGGAGACCCAGGGAGCTATGCTGTGCTCCAGGTCGAACCCAGGGCCGCGGTTACACGGCTTGCACTTTGTCACTTGAATCACCTCCCTGGCTTAAGAGGACCTTTCTGTTTTTGTATTTTGAGCCATACCTAGCTGTACTCAGGGCTTAGGCCGGTCTCTGTGCTCTGGGAACCATGGGGTGTGTGTGTGGGGGGTGCTCTGGATCGAAACTAGGTTGACCATCTGCGAGGCAAGTGCCTTACCCTCTTTACTGTCATGCCAGTTCCACCCCTCAGTTTTGCTTTTAGTGGAACATTTAATGTAATGAATTAAGAGTAGCAGGTGCTTGAGCCATCAGAGTCCTGAGTGTGCTAACACACACCCCACAGATATTTCCAAAACAGAATCTCCCAGCACCAAGACCACTTCTCTCGTCTTTGGCTCTTCCCCAGCACTCGCTCTCTGCATGCTGCCTGGGGCCACCTGTTTCCAAGCCAGCCAATCTTCTCTGCTTAGCTATAGTTTAAACTTTGACCCCAGACTCTTTCAGTCGTGTGGAAAAGACGGAACTGTTATCGCCACGATATAGCTGGTGGTTGTGTGGACTTTAACTGCTCTTATCGGTTGACTTCAGGACAGTCTGACTCAGTGCTAAGAACAGGTCCCGTTGGTGCTTTTACACATCTGTGCCGTGCACTTCCTGGAGGAAGCCCTGAGTAGTGCCGAGGTCCTCTCTGTCCTGACTTCGATGGGGAGACAGGACGCAGGATGTGGACGCTGGGCTCGAGGCCAAGTTCCGATTCTGGCGTTGAAACTAGCGAAGTGCTGAAGCAGAGTGCCGTGCCTTCCCGCCCCTCAGTCTCTCTTCTTGCTGAAAATCGGGAGTGATGGTATCTGGAAAAGCTGGCGAGTGATGACGATGTTGTTTTTCAGGGGCAGATTACTGGTCGGCACCTTTGTGGCTCTGTCTTTCAACCTGTTCACGATGCTTTCTATCCGGAATAAACCTTTTGCTTATGTCTCTGAAGGTATGTTTTTCATTTCCCGTTAGTGAGAAATCCACTTTGCCTTTCAGGTCTTCTCTTAATAGAGGGTCCCAAAACTGTAGTTTTCAACAGCATATTACTTCACAGCAGGCTGGACTGGCAGGGATGATGTGTGCTGACACAGTGTACCTAACCCATAATCCGAGTCAGATCTCAGGTGTATCACCAACCAAAGAAAAGTTTGTTTCCCGCTTTGTAAAAGGATCCATGTAGTTAGTAGAATAGATGAGTTAATTGCAAATAATTATATTGTTAGAATTAAAAAACCTTTCTGGGGCTGCAGAGATAGTACGGTGGGTAGATCACTTGCCTTGCACACAGCCAACCGGGTTCGATTCCTGGCATCCCATGTGGTCCCCTTAGTTCCGCCAGGAATAATTCCTGAGTGCAGAGCCAGGACTAATTACTCCTGAGCATCTCCAGGCGTGGCCCCAAAACAAATAAAATATAAAACACAAAAAAGAACAATAGAACACAAAGAGAAAAATGGCGTATTGAAATCAGGCCATATTAATTATTACATTAGTTGTAAATGTAATAACTTATTCTAATTAAAAGGCAGAAATGAGTGGCTGGAGAGAAGACAGTAGGTCGGGTGCTTGCCTTGCCTGTGGCCTACCCGGGTTCACTTCCTGCCATCCCGTTTCGTTGTGTCTTCAGCATCACCAGCACTGATCCCTGAGCACAGAGCTATGAGTAACTCCTGAGCATCCTATCAGGTGTGGGCCAAAAAATAAAAAAAGAGGAAGGGGGAAAAACCTCCTTCTTGCAGTTGGTAACCATGTATTTAATAATACAGTCACGGTCACGATCCTCCGTTGTTCATCGATTTGCTCGAGCGGGCCCAGTAACGTCTCCATTGGAGACTTTGTTGTTACTGTGTCTGGCATATCAAATACTCTCGGTAGCTTGCCGGGCTCTCCGAGAGGGGCGGAGGAATCGAACTCGGGTCGGCCATGTTGGCCGCTTGTAAGGCGAACGCCCTACCGCTGTGCTATTGCTCCAGCCCCCATGTATTTAAAGTAGCAAAATTTTATTTCTTTTGAAATAAGTTTCTGTGTTTACCCATGTACAAATTCAAACGGTTTTTTTTTTTTTTTTTGCATCAGTGGTCTGAAATATTGGGATTTAAAATTATTTTTTCAATTATTTTTGTTTGTTATTTACTTTGTTTGGGGGACACACCTGGCAGTGCTCAGGGCTTACTCCTGCCTCTGCACTCATTTCTGGTGGGCTCAGGCGACTGACCATGTGAGGTGCCTAGTTGACTGTGTGCAGCAAATGCCCTACCTGCTGTACTATCACTCCGGCCCCAGTACTGGCGTTTTTTTTTCTTTTGGGGTCACACCTGGCAATGCTCAGGGGTTATTCCTGGCTCTGCACTCAGGAATTATTCCTGGTGGTGCTCAGGGGACCATATGGGATGCTGGGAATCGAACCCTGGTCGGCCGCATGCAAGGCAAACTCCCTCCCCATTGTGCTTTTGCTCCAGCCCCAGTACTGGCATTTTTAATCAGTAGCTTGAAATCTCTTGAATGCTCCAAGTGTTAACTACTGCTTGGTGGAGAATGGAGGTAAAAACAGAAACAGGTCATATGGACACATTAAGCTCAACTCGGTGCGGTGGCAATCTTTTCAGGGCCCACGAACTTGAGTACCAGGACTGTGGGAAGGGAAACCTTTCCAAAATGCCCATTTATGCTTTTTCTTCTTCAGTTTTTGGCCCACAGCTGGTGATGCTCAGGGCTAACTTCTGCCTCTGCACTTATGGACCACTCTTGTTAGCACTCAGGGGACCATATGGATGCCACAGATCAAATCTGGGTTGGCCACAGCAAGGCAAACGCTGCACTATCATTCTGACCCCTAAACTTATTTTAAAGTTGAAGAAAGCACATTAGTGGTGTATTCTTCCATATCGATCATTTAGGAAAGAGCATGTATTTGGTAGTGGTGTATTCTTCTGTATTGATAATCCAAGCGTTTTCTTCCTTAAGCTGCCACTACGAGTTGGCTCCAAGAGCATGTTGCAGATCTGAGTCGGAGGTAAGTGTTACGGAGTTCCATGATACACATAATTTATGGGTTGGTTTTGTTTGGGGTCCAGCCCAAGACGTGTTTGGGGTTCTCCCTATTCTGAGCCCAGGGAACTGAGAGTTGCCCAGGATGATCTTGGGGCTCCTTCGTGCAGTGTTCCCTCTGGCTTATGGCTCACGTCATTGAAACGGACTGTGTAAGGCTCGCACTCGGGGAACTTACGTCATTCCATGCCGATGGTAACACCTGAATTTTCCAGATCAGATTCTTAGGCTTAAAGGCGATCTCTCCCCAACGCCCAATTAGGTCAGATTGTTACTTTCCTTTCACCATTTCTTCCTTTTTAATTTATCAGACAAAAGACTTTTAAGAGTGAGAGCCTTTCTCCGGAATCCTCTTTGCTTTCTTTACAGTGTTTATGATTCAGTGGTGGGAGAAAACCAACACTCTGGTGTAGGATATGGTGTTGGGCCACTGTACGTGTGACACCCCGTCATTATAGCACTGGGGACCACAGTGTCTCAAATAAGATGCCCTTTAGATGCTTTCGCTTTGGAGCAGTGCTCAGGGGCTATTCCTGACCTGTACTTGGGTCATCCCAGCTGGTGTTTGGAGGACCATATGTGGTGCCAAGGATTCAAACCTGCTCTAAATTTGATTTTTGTTTCTGGACCACATTTAGTGGAACTTGGCTTAGTCCTGGCTCTGTGCTCAGCGATCACTCCTGGAAGGGATCTGGGGGTCATATCTGCTGCCGAGGATCGAACCTGGGTTTGCCATGGACAAGGCAGGCACCTTACCTGCTGTACTATCTCTCCAACACCCTTAGATCTTTCTTAAAAGTGTATAGTTGAGGGGGCCGGAGTGATAGTACAGCTGTAGGGCGTTTGCCTTGCACATGGCTAACCCGGGTTCAATCTTTGGCATCCCATGTGGTCCCCACCAGGAGTAATTCCTGAATGCAGAGCCAGGAGGAACCCCTGAGCATCACTGGGTGTGACCCAAAAAGCAAAAAAAAAAAAAAAAAAGTGAAAAAGTGTATAGTTGAATTTATCTATGTACGTTTGTTTTCCTCAGTATTTTGTGAGTTCTAATGGTAGCTCTGTTTGTTTTTTCATAGTTTATGTGGGATTATTCCAGGACTCAGCAGTATATTTCTTCCCCGGATGAATCCGTTTGTTTTGATAGATCTTGCTGGAGCCTTTGCTCTCTGCATTACATATATGCTCATTGAAATTAAGTAAGTATTGTTTGCTGTTATACAAGTTTCCAGTGGTGGGCATCAGCCAGAAGGGTAGGCTGAAGCTTACTGCGTTTTTGCTTCAGGCCGGGTGAACCATGGCCCAGTCTGGCCTCAAGGGTCTTCATCTGAAAAGTTAAGGGTTATGGATCAGGTCATTGTTGTTCACTGCAACCTGTAGTTGAGGCTAGGTGAGTTTTTAAATTCCTGACGATCCACCCAAGGGGGGACACTGGAGGGATACCGCCCAGCTGCTATTGCTGAGAGGGGGAAGAGAGGAAATAGAGGCTTTCAGGAAAGGTAGTGGTGGCGGGGACGTCACACCTATTGGTGTTGGGCTAGAACTCGGGGCTCCTCCATCCATGAACTTTAGCCTTTGAACCACAGTCCCAGCCCAGACTTATAGTTGCTTTACACTTAACGTGTGTAACTAATGGCTCTGTACCGACCTCTTGAATATTAATGTTTACCAGATTTAATGTTCTTAAATTTTGGGGATGTCGGGGGAGGTGTTTGGGCCACACCTTGTGGTGCCAAGCAAGGGCTTACTCCTGGAGGTGCTGGGAGGACTGCATAGGGATCGGACTTGGGACCCCGAATACAGAGCAGGCACTGGGCCTCTGGGCTGCCTCCCTGACAACTGTCTTGCTGGGATTGTCATTCTCACGTCTCTATTTGTCTGGATATCTGCTGGGGCTTTTGTTTGGGGGTCACACCTGGGTGTGCTCAGGGACAACCCCCAGTTCTGTGTTTGGGGTACCCAGTGGTACCATGGGGCCATGTGGTGCTGGGATTGGACACAGGCTTCCTCTGCGCAAAGCACGCCTTCAGCCCCGTGAGCTTTCTCCAGCCAGTCACCTGCTAGGTAGCCACTAAAATGATCATGCACAATTACAGGCCTGGACATGTATTTTCACTTTTCAACTTCCCCCTTTCACACTTTATTTTTAAGAATTAAAAGTGTTTATCACAGAGCCTGGCAAGCTCCCCGTGGCGTATTCAATATGCCGAATACAGTAACGACACTAGGTCCCATTCCCCTGACCCTGAAAGAGCCTCCAGTTGTTGGGAAAAGATGAGTAAGAAGAGGCTGCTAAAGTAACAGAAGCCAGCCTGTAGCCTTGGTGATGAATGCTGAATTCCAGCTGTTCTTGAGGATTGCTGTTTTCTCGCAGTAATTATTTTGCTGTGGACACGGCCTCCGCCATCGCCATCGCCCTGATGACCTTCGGCACCATGTACCCCATGAGCGTGTACAGCGGGAAGGTCTTACTCCAGGTATGGGTGCTCCTCAGTGGGCGTGCTCAGTGCTCGGTGTGAGCCGGGGGATGGGCGCGGGGGTGACAGGGTGAGAAGTGGGGTAGGCAGCCTCTGAAATTTGTAGAGTAAGAACCAGGTACAATTCTGGCTCTTACTCTACGTATATAGTGTAGAGTAAGGCCCAGAATAGTGCATTTTTTTTTCTGTATTTGATAGATAAACATGAATGAAGTACATTTTTCCTCTATTAGTGTTCTGAGGGAAATGGTTTTCTAATTTTTTTCCCCTCAGAAATGTGCTTTGGTTATTATTTTCTCAAAGCTTACTCCTTGGGGCTAAAGCAATAGCACAGCGGGTGGGGCATTTGCCTTGCACACGGCCGACCCGGGTTCGATTCTCAGCATTCCCTGTGGTCCCCTGAGCACTACCAGGAGGACTGCCTGAGTGCATGAGCCAGGAGTAACCCCTGTGCATCGCCGGGTGTGACCCAAAAAAGAAAAAAAAGAGCTTACTCCTTACTCTGCGCTGTACTCTCACTCCACACCAAAATAGTTCTTGAACCTTGAGGAACATGTAGATAACGCACCTGGGTAGACAGGTGACCACAGGGGCTGGAGGTGAGGGGGCTGTGCCCTTCCTTCTCTCTCACCTCCTGGCTTTTCTAAAACCCCCGGGAGTAGGAACAGTGGGCTAATAGTTGAATAGTGCCACATGCCCCAAACAAAATGTGTCTTTCCTAAAGAGATTTTGGCTGGTTGGATACTCTTCTCGAGATAAATATAAACACTGAGCGCTGACTGCTGCCTGATTCAGTTGCCCCATTCGGGGGCCCTCTTAGTCCCCTTTCCTAAGTCGAGAGGATGCATGTCACACCAAGCAGAGGGGGGCGCAGACCCTTTGTTTCAGGGCCGTAGTTGTGGAATCTTTGGGCCCTGCAATCTGTATGCTGTTTCTCTTTCCCCCCCAGACAACACCACCCCACGTAATTGGCCAATTGGATAAACTCATCAGAGAGGTAAGACAGAATAGCCAATGAAATCGTTTGAACTTAAAATCAGAGATGCCCAGTATGGGTACAAGGAATGTCAGACAAAAACAGGGAGGGGAGCGCCTTGGTCAGCGCAGACTATGGGAATGGGCTGACCTGGCCTTTGGCGGCTGAGCGTGCCGTTGGGTACGGCCAGACTGCACACTGAGCGTGGTTCGGGGTGTGACTGACTGCTGGGGGCGCTGAGCAATCACCTGTTCCTGTGCTCCTGCCCAGGTGTCCACCTTGGACGGAGTTTTGGAAGTCCGAAATGAACACTTCTGGACGCTGGGCTTCGGTTCGTTGGTATGTTTTCTGTATATGACTTAAGTAATTATTTTTCAAACAAAAAATATTCTCATAAATTATTTTTTATGTTTGCTTTTTGTTGTTGTTGTTGTTGTTGTTTTGGGGCCATATCCAGCAGTGTCCAGGGGTTATTCCTTGCCCTGCACTCAGGAATTACTTCTGGTGGTGCTTGGGGGGATCCTGTGGAGTGCCAAGGATCGAACCCGGGTCAGACATGTGCAAGGCAAAGACCCTGCCCACTGGGCCCAGTATTTTCATTAATTCTTTATGAGGTTTTGATTCCCAACTCTTTCGCATGTGAGGAAATGGGGCTTGGCTTAGGCCATATCCTCAGTGCTCAGGAGCTAATCCTGGCTCCGTGCTCAGGGGACCCTGTCCAGTGCTAGGGATCGAACCACATGGGCAGACACATGTCAAAGGAGTACCTTAACCTGTCTCCTTGGCCCCTGATCTAAAATGTCATGGATGGGGGTGGTGGGTGGGATATTGGGGACATTGGTGGTGGGACAGTACACTGGTCGAGGGATGGTTGTTCAGTCGTTGTATGACTAAAACCCAATCCTGTAAGCTTTGTAACTATCTCACGGTGAGTCAATAAAAAAGATCTAACGAATTCAGTAACCTAGTTGAGACTAATTGAGGGATAGGTAAAGGCCCTCCCGTTGATCGTCGATTTGCTCGAGCGGGCCCAGTAACGTCTCCATTGGAGACTTTGTTGTTACTGTGTCTGGCATATTGAGGGATAATTTCCTTTTTTTTCTTTCGAGCTGTCTGATGTGGCTGGAGCGATAGTGCAGTGGGTAGGGTACTTGCCTTACCTGGGGCAGACCCGGGTTTGAACGTTGTCACCGGACCTCAGCAATACGTGTAGTTCCTTGAACATAAAGAGATAGGACAGGGAACGAACCCCAGTAGGCCGTGTACAAGGCAAGCACCCTACCTGCTATACTCTTTCTCTAGCCCTATCCTGTTTCTTCAAGCCTTCTCTTTCTTGTCTTTGTTTTTGGGTCAACCCGGCAATACTCAGGGGTCACTCCTGGCTCTGTGCTCAGGGATGACTCCTGGCAGGGGACCCTATGGGATGCCGGGGATGGAGCCTGGGTCAGCCGCGTGCAGGACAAACGCCTACCTGCTGGCCCTTCGCTCCAGCCCCCACCTGAGCCCCTTCTCTTTCTTGTAATTTTTGTCCCTTAGGCTGGATCAGTGCATGTACGGATTCGACGAGATGCCAATGAACAGATGGTCCTTGCCCATGTGACCAACAGGCTGTACACGCTGGTCTCCACTCTCACCGTCCAGATCTTCAAGGATGACTGGGTCAGGCCTGCGCTGGTGTCTGGGCCTGTGGCTGCCAATGTCCTGAGCTTCTCAGACCAGTATGTCATCCCCATGCCACCTTTAAAGATGGCCGAGGACGTGAACCCCGTGACATCCACCCCAGCCAAAGCCAGCAGCAGCCCTCCTCCAGAATTTTCTTTCAATACGCCTGGGAAAAATGTGAGCCCGTTCCTTTTTTTAAACACACAGACAAGACCTTACAGCATGGGCCTTCCTCATGGACACTTACCCTATAACAATGTGCTTCATCAGGGACTTGGAGCGCCAGGAGCTGGTGCCCCTCAAGAATTCAGGACTGGATTTACCCATATACCAAGTAGATATGGGACAAACAATAGACTTGGGCAACCAAGACCATGATCAACTCAAGTTTAACTTATTTTTATGAGGACTTTTGACCCCTTGGCTTCCAGTTTATTTAGTAATCCTCCTTTGCATCGACTGTTCAGTCATTTAAACCTTGGAGAACAGAGGTTTGTTCACATTGAGTGAAACAGTGAAACTATATTTTTGTAAAATGTGTTCGGTTGGTGAGATTTTAAGTAGACTTCCTTTAGAAAATGTGTTTCTCCACATGTGAATTTTGCCCTTTGATTTTCTACCTGGCTGCACTGTGATAGGATATTACCGTTTGGAGAGAGCCATTTGATTGAATGAATATCTCTTTATTGAAGAATATAGTATTTTCCCCAGTGAAACATAAGCATATATCTCAAATAATGAAAACTGTTTTGTTTTGAGGTCCTCCTGAATTATGTCTTGCAAAGGAAGAATACTTTCTATTTAATTAGAAATTTTAGAACATAACTTGTTATCCAGCATAATTTAAAAAATTTTAATTACCAGGTTTTTTTTAAGGTTTTCTAATTAAAAAACAGTACATTTAAAAATAGTTCATGGTTCTCCAAATGTTTTATTTTGGTGACATGAATTCCAAACTCTTTGGTGGCAGGCACTGGAAGAATCCGTGTTTTCTGAATTTCATTTAGTCAAATTTTATCCCCTTTTCATTAGTTGACTTTTTAAAGTTCTTGTTTTCTAAATAAAATATGTCAAAGTTTACCAAATTGTATAGCGTTCCATTTGTTATATGGAATTCGACATCTTTTCAAAATTGAAGAATCTTAGTTTACAGTGTATAATTTTACCAAGACATAATGATTGTGAGATTCCAGAGTCCTGGACATTACAATGGGCAGTTTCTAAAGTGGTTTGCTTTGTCAGTCACTGGATTGTTAAGTATCATATCCCAACAGCAAATTTGTTGAAGTGCAAGAATCACGTTTTTTGGTATTGTTTTGAGCCACAGTTGGTGATGCTCAGGGGTTACTCCCGGCTCCGTGTGGCCATGTGCAAGCCAAGGGCCCTGCCCCCTGTACTGTCGCTCCCCACCAAGAATCACTTAATTATTTTACTTTATTATTTTTTAATTTTCCTAACATAGATTAAGGACTTTCCAACATAACCAGTCTAATGTAAACAAATAGAGGTCACAAGTTGCATGTAGGGTTTTTTTAAATGAATTTTGTGTTTTGGATTTTGTTTTGAGGCCACACTAGGGAAAGCCTCGACGGCTCTCCCTCTCGCCACCTGTTTTCATTGGACTCGGTCCGCTTGCCCACCCGGGGCAGCCCAGGCCATGGGCGGATGAAGGAGGAAATGAGGGTCAAGCTGGTTGATGATCAGTAGCCATTTATTTCATTCTCCCCACGCGCCTGTTCCAGTCTCCCTGAGCCCCTCATTCTAGTCTCACGCTGCCCCTCATTCTAGTCTCACGCTGCCCCTCATTCCTGTCTCCTTCTATCTCACTCATCTCATCTCATCTCTCTCCACGCGCCTGTTCCTGCATTCTTCCCCTACGTTCTTCTCCCTGTCCGCCTTGCTAGTCTCTCCGCGCTCCATCTTGCTCCCTGGTCTCTCGTCTCTCTCCAACTCTCTAGCACTGGGGGTAGTCACCAACCCTGGTACCCCCCACTCCACTACCACAAGCATTTTTCTCTTTTCTTCTCTCTTACTTTCTCACTTTCTCTCTCTCTCTCTTTCCTTTTGGGCACTATGGTTTGCAATATAGGTACTGAAAAGTTATCATATATATCCGTTTCAGCACTCAGTTCTTTTCCAGAGTGAACATTTCCAACTATCATTGTCATAGTGATCCCTTCTCTATCCTCACTGTCCTCCACCTCCCTGCTCCCCTTTTGTGGCAAGCTTCCAACGTGGACCAGTCCTCCTGGCCCTCGTTTCTACTCTCCTTGGGGGTTAGTCTCATACTATGTTTCTTTATATTCCACAGATGAGTGCAGAGTGCGGTCATTCTATGTCCGTCCCTCTCCGTCTCACTCCTTTCACTGAGCATGATCCTCTCTAGGTCCATCCATTTATAAGCAAATTAACTAAATAAGTTGGTGGGTTTTCCTTAGGAAGAACTCAGCCGCTGCCTGCTCTCCAAGCCTGTGTTCTCCTTGAACACGTACCTTGCTCCTTGCTTCTGTTTCTTTGCTGCTTATTTCCACTCTGGGGAAGCCCGTGTTCTCTCTCTCCTATATTGCCCTTCTCTCCTTGCACATGTTCTTTTTTTTTTTTTTAATGTAGGAGTACTGCTATTTATTCAGCCACTGATGAGGCTGACTGAATTAGGCATGAACTCCACTCCTTGCACATGTTTCATAGTAGGTTTTATTCAATAAAAACTTCCTTGTTCCATAAAAAAAAAAAAAAGAAAAACTCAGCCACCGGTAGTTCAGTTATTTCATATCCAACAAATACTGATTGAGAGCCCAGTCCATGCTAATTGCACCGAGTAAATGAGTGTACAGCATTTCCATTTTTGTGACCTTCTGTTCTCAGGCTAAGGGGAACATGTGGATGAACAAGACCCATTTCACAAGCTGTTTATTCTAGCGGTCAGGAGAGACCCAGAACTTGTACTCTGCCCCCATAAGTGCTCCTTCTTCTGTCCTGAAGATGGAGCTAAGGAAGCAGATGGTACCGTAGACTGGGTTGGTATTGGAGAAGGAGGAGCAAGTTTAGAAGGGTGAGTTAGAGCGCTGGTAAGGACAGTTTCCAGCCGTACATTGTCATGTCCTTTCTTCCTTCCTTTTTCTTTCTTGGACCACACCTGGACACTCGAAGGGCTCACTCTTGGCCTCACTCAGGGATCACTCCTGGTGGTGTTCTGGGGACCATATGTGGTGCCAGGGTTCAAACTGGAGGTGGCTGCATGCAGTTCAAGTGCCTAATCCCCTTACTATCCAGCCCTCTTCTCTTTTTACTATAATTCTAAAAGCTTACTTTTGGGTAGGGCCACATCAGTGGCGCTCGAGGTTATTCCTAGCTCTGTGCCCAGGAGTGACCCCTAAAATGTTCAAGGGAGCATATATGGTGTCAGGGATTTGAACGGGGTTGGCCGTATCGAAGGCAGACATCTTAACCTCTGTACTATCTCTCCGGACCCTTTTTCTCTAAGTCTCTGAGCAAAGAAAGTAACGGGGTCCTCCATCTGTCTTCAAGCCCCAACCCCGGTCACTCTTTCGAAGAAGTGACCAGTTTAAAATCGCCTTTAATAACACTGAGATCATAATCATCAAACTCCCACCCAACGAGCCTGGCTTCCTGCAGAGAAGTTAAACTGTGCAGCACACGGCCGAGTTTCCTGACCAGTGGGGCATCGGGCAGGAAGCTCTCAGAGCTGAAGTCAAAAGACACCAACTGCTCAAGATTCTCCAGTACGCCCAGGAAGGCAAACCATCCGTCACTGCTCACACAGTTTCCCGCCAGATCCAGCTGCTGCAAGTGCTTCAGAGGAGTCTGCTCCAGAAACGCACCTGGGTGGAAGAGACAGAGTACTTAGTAGGAGGCAGAATTGGTTTTTGGTTTGGGATCATACCCGGAGCTACTCCTTGGCTGCTCCTTGGTTGTTGCTCGGGGAACTGCGTAGTGCTGGAATCGAACCAGGGTCCCCCGTGTGCGGGGCAGGCCCCCAAAGCCTGGCACGGTCTCCCCGGCTCCTTCGACTTTTGTTGATGAAGAATAAGGCTGCTTCATGTTTGTTTCCATCCTGTCACTTTTTTTTTTAATTGATTAGTCTTGCTTTATCTATTCTTATTACGGATTTGTGGTTTTTTGTGTGTTCTGGATTTTTTTTTTTTGCTTTTTGGGTCACACCCAGCGATGCACCAGGGTTACTCCTCACTTTGCACTCAGGAATTACTCCTGGCGGAGCTCAGGGGACCATATGGGGTGCTGGGAATCGAACCCGGTCAGCCGCATGAAAGGAAAATGCCCTCCCCGCTGTGCTATCGCTCCAGCCCCGGGGGGTTTGTTTTTGGGTCACATCTGGCGATGCTCAGGGGCTAGTCCTGACTGTGCACTCAGTAATTACTCCCAGCATTGCTTGGAAGACCATGTGGAATCCTGGGGATCGCACCCTGTACAGCCATGGGCATGGCAAGTGCCCTGCCCTCTGTCCTATTGCTCCAGCCTATTACTCTCTCTCTTTTTTTTTTTCCTTTTTGGGTCATACTCGGTGATGCTCAGAGGTTACTCCTGGCTTTGCACTCAGGAATTACTCCTGGTGGTGCTTGGGGGACCATGTGCGATGCTGGGGATTGCACCCCATTCAGCCATGTGCATGGCAAGTGCCCTGCCTTCTGGCCTGTCGCCGCAGCCCGTTACTCTCTTGAATTCATTTGCGCGTTGACTTGTGGGGGCACCCACATGTTGGACTGTGGGGCGGTGCCGGGGATTGAACCCAGGACTTCCATGCATAAGGCATGTGCTGCACTGCTGAGCTGCCTCCCAAAGGCCTGTTCCTCTTCTGTATTCTCAAATTTTAATTTAGGGTGGGCTACTGGGCCACACCCATCAGTGCTCAGAGGTGCTCCCAGCTCTGTGCTCGGAGGTCACCGTGGTGGCCGGGGCCAGGTGATGGTAGGGGACAGGCCAAAGCATGGGATCAGCGCTTTGAGCTTGTTCTCTCTGGGGCCCCTGCAAATCTTTAAAAAAAATAATTAAAGCTTTAAATTTATTGTTTTATTTTTGTTTTGGGGTCACGCCCTGTGGGGGGGTGTGTAAGTCCTGGAGGGCTTGGGGGGCCTTATGGTATGCTGCCGGGGATCAGGGATCAACTCGGTTGGCTGTGTACAAGGATAACGCCCTCCCCATGGTACTATCTCTCCAGCCCTAAAGCTTTCAAGTTAGATTTTACTATGTTTTTGTTTTTCTTTGGATTGATCTATAGTCTTATATTTATTATCTTGGAATTTTTTTTGTTCTATTATTTTTTCTAGCCCCTGACACATCAGAGCCTCATTCGTTTTTTTTTTTTTTTCTTTTGGGTCACACCCAGCTATGCTCAGGGGTTACTTCTGGCTCATACACTCAGGAATTACTCCTGGTGGTGCTCGGGGGACCATATGGGATGCTGGGAATCGAACCCGGGTCGGCCGCGTGCAAGGCAAACGCCCTACCCTCTGTGCTATCGCTCCAGCCCCAGAGCCTCATCATTTAAAAGAAAAAAAAATTTTTCTTTTTTGTTCTGGGGCCACACACACTGGTGCTCAGTGCTTGCTCCTGGCTCTGACCGAGGCATCACTCGTGAACGTGCTCTGGGGACCATGTTTGGTGCTGGGGTTGGACCCAGGCCCGTTGCCTCCACAGTGAGCACCCTCCCACTATACTGTTGCTCAGAGCCTTCTTCCATTCTAATACCATTCAAGGCTGATTTTCCTCTCAAGTCCTCCTTTTGCTGAAAGTCACATGTCTTTTGATACGTAGTATTTTATTTCTAGTAGTAATTATGTAATTTCTTCTGTGGCCTAAGTGGAAGGTGGAAAAGTGAGAACAATCCAGGCTTAGAGCATTGGGGGTGAAGTAGACCCAACCTCTACGGCTAGTTTCATACCTGGCCTCCGACATCGCTTTTCTCCCTGCACCCCAGTGAGTCTTTGTTTAATGAGAGGCTCCACGCAGCATCTGCTTCCTACATTTCACACACATCCACCCCTGAATGACACTGCCTGAACTGACTCGTGATACTATGGGCCATGGGAGTTTCAGTAATCGTGACAAAAATGGGAATAGGAAACCCAAAGCCAGCTCTGATCTCAGACAGTGACTGACCACTAGGAAATAGCCAGTATTGGGCCCAGAGCCATAGCAGAGCTGGTGAAGGACTTGCCTTGCACGTGGCTGACCCGGGGCTCGAGGCCCTGTGTGTCCCATAGTGTCCTCCAAGCAACACCGGGAGTGAGCCCTGAGTGCAGAGCTAGGAGTAAGCCCTGAGCATGCTGGTGTGGTCAGAAACAAAATAAAACACACACACACACACACAAAACCCCAAAGCTCCCACAGCCAGGGAGATAGTACAGCAAGTAGGGCAGCTGCCTTGCTCATGGCCGACCACAGTTTGATCCCGACATCCCATACGGGTCCCCGAGCACCTCCAGAAGTGATCCTGAGTGCAGAGCCAGGAGTCAGGCCTGTGGGCAGATGAGGCAGTTAGCATCTGGAGAGACAGCCCAGTAGGCTGTCACGAGGCTTAGCCTGCAGGACGCCTGCCTTTCCGTTCCCCTCACTGCCTGTGCACCCCTGGACCACAGCTGGGAGGCGTCCTGAGCACCTCCAGCTGTGACTCCCCAGACAGATAAAATCTTCCCTGCCAAGCCCCTCCTCACACGTGACCCTAATCACACATCCACAGCGGCCCCCTTAGTCTAATTGATTAAGACGCACAGTTGCCTGACGAGGCTGCTTAGTGGCCTAATACAATCCACCTGCCTTCACTGCCAGTCAGAGTAAAGGGGCCTGGCAGAAGGGAAGCCGGGGGCCACAGAGAGAGTCCAGCGGGGACGGCATTTGCCTTGCACAAGACTGACCCGGGTTTGATCCCCAGAATTCCAGATGACTCCCTGAGCACCGCCAGGAGTGATTCCTGAGTGCAGAGCCAGGAGGAACCCAGGAGCTTTGCCGAATGTGAACCCAAAAGCCAAAAAAAGCCAAAATAAATGAAAGAAAAAAGAAACGGAAGCCAGATACAGCAGCTGAGAGAGTCACACCGGGAGACGAGGAGGAGGCGGCAAGGGAAGGGAAGACCTTGGAGTTGGAGCACCATCAGGTAAGGCGAAATCCACGGGTCAGCTCAGGACTTGGGGACAAACATCTGCAAGCAGTTCCCCGCAGGGGAGTGACTGGGAGCGCTGGTTCCCTGGGTCCGAGTTTCAGTGAGAGCAAGTCAGGTTTCGGAAGGGGGTCGCGACTGGGCCCCACGGCAAAGAAACAAGCTCGCAGACGCACCGCGCGCTTCAAAACGCCTCAACGGCTGTCTGTCTGCATTTATTGGGGGGATATTTTTCCTTCGGTTTTGGGGCCACACCCAGGCTGCTCAGGGCTTCCTCTGGGCTCTGCACTCAGGGGTACTGCTGGGGGAGTTGGGGAACCACCTGGGGTGCCGGGGATGGAACTTGGGCCGGCGCATGTCAGGCAAGTGCCTTACCTGCTGCCCTATTTCTCGGTCTCCAGCATGGCTCAACGGCTCTGCTGAGAGACGGGAGAGGGTTCGGCTCCTGGTCTACTGACCAAGCCCAGTTTTACCCTGAGCACAAAGCCAGGAATGTGCTTTGTGCTTTGTGGGGACCAAGAAGGACAAAAGGGTGGAATGTCAGGTCTTTACGCCACAGCTACCTCCTAGACCTGTATTTCTCTACCAGGGGCCACCCAGTCCCCAGTGGGCCCCAGGATAGCCAAGAGGGGCCACAGGTCACACTAGCATCCAGGGGGTCATGGGTTGGCATGGGGAAGCCAGTCCGGGGTGGGGTCACAGGAAGGAAATGAGGTTGGAAGGGAGCACGGTCAGAGAACATTGAGGAATGCTGGACTGGACCAGCCCCATGGGCAGTGGGGCAGCTGTTGCTGGCCTCTTCCAGAACTCCGGGATCCTCCCCCCAGGACCCTCACATCCCAACTAGGGCTCACTTGGGTGCCGACAGTGGGCCACCCAGGTGGCAGAGGTGACCTTCCCAGGCTGACCCCTGAAGATGTCCAGCCCCGGCTTCACTGTCCTGCTGTTCCAGCCACTGCCACTGCCAGGGGACAAGTGTCTGCGGTGCGGGGCTGGGCCGGTCCATGTCAGACCCGGCTGTACCTGTACATCCTCAGGTCCCCTCTAGAGAGAGTCACCTTCACCTCCACGTGTTTTTGACACCTGACAGATGAGTTCAAGCCACAGGAAGTTCCGAGGGAAAGGTCAGGAAGAGGAGGACCAAGGTCTGGTGCCCGGTCGAGAATGTAAACGGGTTTCCTGTCATCCAGGTGTAATGCTTAAAGTCTGGCAGTTTTGGGGGCTGGAGCAATAGCACAGCAGGTAGGGCATTTGCCTTGCATGCGGCCGACCCGGGTTCAATTCCCAGCATCCCATATGGTCTCCTGAGCACTGCCAGGGGTAATTCCTGAGTGCAGAACCAGGAGTAAACCCTGTGCATCGCCGGTGTGACCCAAAAAGCAAAAAAAAAAAAAAAAAAAAAAAAGTCTGGCAGCTTTTTTGTTTTGTTTTCGGGACCACACCCAAGTGCTCAGGGCTGACTCCTGGCTCTGTATTCAGGCCTGACTCCTAGCTCTGTGCTCAGAACTGACTCCTGGTGGGGCTCAGGGGACCGTACAGGGGTTCTGAGGATTGAACCCGGGTTAGCCATATGCAAGGATCCGCGTACTACCTGCTGACCTGTTTCTCCAAACCTGGCAGGTTGTCAAATCATTTTACTGCTCCGCTTCTGCGAACTCTAGAAATAACTGTATTAAGAGGGAGGAGGCAGAAATAGAGAGAGGAGCAGAAGGGAGTGTGGCAGCTCCCAGAGGAAGCGGGGCCACGCGCCTGGTGCGCTCGGGCTGGCGGGTGCACCCACCTAGAGTCCCCATTTCGGCGTCGGTCAGTTCCCAGTTCTTCAGCCCCAGCGTGGTGAGCTGCAGTGTGTGCTCCAGCTGCGGCAGGAGGCGTGGCAGGGCCCCTCGGAAGCCACTCCCGCACGGCAGCCTCAGCTCCGTCAGACGCTCCAGAATGTTCAGCCTGTCAACTTAACCAGAGGGCAGCTCAGGAAGGTGCCTTATCTCGAAACCCATCCGAGGGGGCAGAGACAGAGCTCAGAGGCCTGAGTGCGTGTTTGTAGGCAGGAGACCCAGGTTTGGTCCCAGGCACTGCTGGGTCCCCTGAGTGAGACCTTCCCAGTGTCCCCAAACATCCTTGAGTACTGCTTTGTGGTCGAAAAACCAGAGGGGGCTGGAGCGATAGCACAGCGGGGAGGGTGTTTGCCTTGCATGAGGCCGACTCGGGTTCAATTCCTAGCACCCCAGATAGTCCCCCGATTTCAAGATAAGGCACCTTCCTGAGCTGTCAGGAGTAATTCCTGAGTGCAGAGCCAGGAGTAACCCCTGTGCATCACCGCTTGTGGCCCAAAAAGCAAAAAGAGAAACACCAAACAGAACACAGTGACAGAACACAGGGGTGATTTGTGGGCGACCTTCTCCTCCTCAGTGCTCCACGAAGCCCGCATTTGGGGGTTGCTATTTTCTATGGACTGCATTCTGGAGTGTAGAAACACAGGCATCTTGCTTCATCCTCATTAAAACACTGTCTTTGTGTAGATTTTTGGTGTTTCATTTTGATTTTTACCTTTGGTGTTTGGGCTCTGTTCAGTGGTGCTCAGGGCTTGCTCTTGGGTCTGTGCTAGGGGTCATCCCTGGCAGGACTAGTTTGGGGGATTGTATGTGGTGCCAGGAATAGGATTGGGGATGGCTGCGTGCGCGGGAAGAGCCTTAGACCCTGCATTATCTCTTCAGCCCCTATAGTTTTATTGTTTATTTTTTTGGGTCACTCAGCAGTGTTCAGGGATTACTCCTATTGGGCTCAGGGGACTGATGTGGTGCTGGGGATTGAGCCCAGGTCAGTTGTGTGTCAGGCAAGTACTGTCTCTTTGACCCCTACATTTTTTTTGTTAATTTGGGGGGTTCAGACAGTAGACAACAATATATATATATACATATATATATATATATAAAATTTGATCACCTGACATCCCATTACTCATTGATTTGCTGGAGCAGGCGCCAGTAACATCCCAGTCACGTGCTAGTGTAACCAATGGAGTCTGCTTGCTCCAGGAACACGAAGAGCCTCAAATCGTTCGTTTAGGGTCTTGACAAAGAAATCTGACCATCCCGTAGGTAGGCGGCCACGCGATCTTTTGACATCCTGTGGAATCAGTTGGTAACAGCTCTAGTCCAACGGTCATCTCCAAATCGTATTACATGTCCAGCCCAACTGACTTTCAACGCCTTGACAAACGAGACAGTGTCCCTGATTCTTGACCTTCAACAGAGGTCAGAACTCTGGATTCTTTCTCTCACTTGAGTGAAGTGTGATACTCCAAGCATAGCTCTTTTGATTCCTCTTTGGGAGACCCGAAGAGCGTTCTCGTCCTATTTGCGTAGGGCCCAGGTCTCTGAGGTGTATGTTAGTGCAGGAAGAATAGTGGAATCGAAGAGATGTGCATGGAGCCAGAGGTTCTTCGTCCTCTTAACTATTTCTTCAACGCTCTTGAAGGTGTTCCAAGCCTCTCTCTTCCTCCTGCGCAACTCAGGTGCCAGGTCGTTCATTACATTGAGTTCTCAACCTAGGCACTCATAACTGCTGCATTCAGAGATGTTCATTCTGTTGAGAGTGAATGGAACGTCAGGAACAAGACCGTTTCTCATAAACATTGTCTTCGTGAGATTCAGCTACAGTCCGACATTTCTATACTCGCAGTCGAAGTCGGCCAGCATTTGTGCTGCTTGGCTAATGTTTGGTGTTATTAGAATGATGTCATCAGCAAAGCGGAGATGGTGTAGTTGCCAACCGTCTATCTTCTTCCCATTCCAGTCGTCGCATGATGTTCTCGAGGGTAGCACTGAAGATTTTTGGTGAAATGGTACCACCCTGCTGAACCCCTCTCTTGACATGGATGATCACTTCCTTGTAGAATGGTGAGATCTTGGTAGTGAATTTGTAATACAGCTCACGGAGGATCCTGATGTATTGAGTTTGAATGCCCTGATTGGCTAGGGCTTCGATGACCGCTTCAGTCTCAACAGAATCAAAGGCCTTCTTTAAATCAATGAACGTTAGACAGAGCAGCATCTTGAACTCCTGAGAAACCTCAATGAGCTTGGTTACCATGGGGATATCACCGATCGTGCTGAAACCTTTCTGAAACCCGGCTTGCTCGTATGGTTGTCCTTCATCTAGTGTTCTGCCAATCCTATTCAGGATGACTCTAGTGAACAGCTTGTAGATGACAGACAATAGGCAGATTGGGCGATAGTTGCCAATGTTGTGGATGTCTCCCTTCTTGTACAGTCCTGCTGGTTTTCCATTGGGATGGAACCTTGCATTCGGATAGGTAGCGTGTGAAGAGCCGAGCCAGTGTATTGATGAGTACTGATGGCAGATTCTTCAGGCATTCGGGTCTGACCTTGTCTGGGCCAAGTGCTATTCACTTCTTTACCAACGAGGCGTGTATATATATATATGCTCGAGCGGGCCCAGTAACGTCTCCATTGGAGACTTTGTTGTTACTGTGTTTGGCATATCAAATACTCTCGGTAGCTTGCCGGACTCTCCGAGAGGGGTGGAGGAATCGAACTCGGGTCGGATATATATATATATATATATATATATATATATCGGAGAGTCCGGCAAGCTACCGAGAGTATCCTGCCTGCACGGGCAGAGCCTGGCAAGCTCCCTGTGGCGTAGTCAATATGCCAAAAACAGTAACGATAGCAGGTCTCATTCCCCTGACCCAGAAAGAGCCTTCAGTCATTGGGAAAGACAAGTAAGGAGAAGCTGCTAAAATCTCAGGGCTGGGACTAATAGAGACATTACTGGCACCAGCTCGAGTAAGTCGACGAACAACGGAATGACAGTGATACAGTGATAATTTGGGGGGTGATATTGGGGATCAGCAAGGCATGTGCTCTACCCCTGAGCTCAACCCCATCTCTCTCTTTCCTTCTTCCTTTCTTGTTTTTGGGCCACACCCAGCAGAGCTTGGGGGCTGCATCTGGCTCTGAGCACGGGACTTGCTCCTGGTGGTGCTCAGGGCTCATGTCTGCTGGGGATGGACCCCGGCCCCTGCATGCAGAGCTTGTGCTCCATCCCTGGAGATCTCCCTTCCGCTCTCCTTCTGGAGATTTTATTTTATTTTACTTTTTTTTGTTTGTTTGGGGGCCAACCTGGCGGTGCACAGGGGTTCCTCCTGGCAGTGCTCAGAGACCAGGTGGGAGGACAAGGATTGGACTGAGGTTGGCCGCGTGCAAAGCAAATGCCTACCTGCTGTCGTATCACTCCGGCCCCCATTTCTGTGGAGTTTAAAGCAAATCTAGAGAGTCGTCGTCGTTTTGTGTTTAACACAGTCGCAGCATCTCTCTCACACCTGTGACATCTTGTTCCTAAATCCCTGAGTTAATCTGTGTCAGGCATCAGGTACTTCAGGGCCCTGGCCTGGGAGGAGGCAGAGTGGATGCGGGCCCAGCATGGCGGCGGGGCTGTGTGGCTCCCCGAGGCCACGTGGTTTCAGGTGGTGTGGGAAAGCGCTAACAGGGCTTCTGGGGTGTGTGTGTGTGTGTGTGTGTGTGTGTGTGTGTGTGTGTGTGTGTGAGCAAGGTGGTAGAAGAAGCTTCTGGAGCTAGCCTGTTTTCCCCGTTGGTAAGTAATCTGAGTTGGGCAAAATTGTCATTCTTACTCAGGTCATGTAGAGCTTCATTTCCATTCTTTCCCAGGTGATTTTCAGATAAATCAAGAACGATCAGTCTGGCCAAATTGTGAAGATTCTGTGCTGGAAAAAAAAAATCCAAAAGAAAAAGACTTTCAGGAAGCAATATAAACATTCAGAAATATTCTTGGAAGAATTTTGAGTCCTTATTTATTAATTTAGGGCTGGAGCGATAGCACAGCGGGTAGGGAGTTTGCCTTGCATGCAGCTGACCCGAGTTCATTTCCTCCATCCCTCTCGGAAAGCCCGGCAAGCTACCAAGAGTATCCCGCCCACACAGCAGAGCCTGGCAAGCTCCCCGTGACGTATTCCATATGCCAAAAACAGTAACAACAAATCTCACAATGGAGACGTTACTGGTGCCAACAGATGAACAACGGGAGGACAGTGCTACAGTGCTATTTATTAATTTATTGGCTTTTTAGGTCATACGTGTTGATGCTCGGGGTTACTCCTGGTGGTGCTTGGGGGGACCAAATGGGATGCCAGGGATCAAACCTGGGTTGGCCGCGTGCAAGGCAAGCATCCTACCTGCTATATGATTGCTCTGGCCCCTGAGTTCTTATCTTCTTAACTGATTTATGCAAACCTGGAAACTCTTCTCATCCTGCTTCTCAACCATTTATTCACTCATTCTTTCATTCGATGACTTACTTGGCTCTATAGTAAACAGGCCACATGCTAAGTTTCAAGCTTCCGTTTTTCCTCTCTGTCCTTTTCCCCTCTCGAAATCAAAATGATAACCGGGAGCCAGAGCAGTAGTACAGCAGGTGGGGCACTTGCCTTGCATGTGGTTCACCCAGGTTCCATTCCCGTCCCCATGCCCATGGTCCTTAAACCCTGCCAGGGATCATCCCTGAGTGCAGAGCTGGGAGTAAGCCCTGAACAGTGGGACCCAAAACCAACACAAACCAAATAACACAATAACCTAGTTCTGAAACATTCCTATTATCCATGGAGAATAAAATTTGACTCCATAGATAAAATTGGCAAAAAAGTAGGCATAGTATGGGGCCAGAGATGTGCCTCAGAGGAAGCCCAAACCTGGAATATGTGAGCCAGCCTGAGTCTCACACACAGACACACACACACACACACACACACACACACACACACACACGTCCATGCTCCTTCTCCAGCTTTTCTCCATAGCAAGTCTCACGAGAGCATCAGCCTGAGCACAGGGCGGTGGGTTCCTCTGCAGCTTCTTACCAAGGGTCTTGGTGGCGTTGGCCGACAGGCAGCAGGAGACTAGCCGCAGTTCTTCAAGATCCCGAGGCTGGGTGGAGAGAGACTTGGCAATGTGATCTATTCCCGTCCCCATCTCAGGCAAGCTGCTCAAATTTAGCACCAGCATCTTCTTCAGTTTTGTTAGGCCTTGCGCTGTCAGGAAGGAGGCGCGTTAGTGATCACGTGCTTTGGAAAGAACCACAAAGCAACAGGCTGAAAAGAAGGTTAAGAATGAGGGAGCACCAAGTAAAGGGTGTTGGGAAGATCCACCCAGGATGGCAGATGCATGCTGAAAGTAGACTATAGACCGAACATGATTTCCACTCAATGCCTCTTTGCAAACCACAGCACCCAAAAGGAGAGAGAGAACAAAAGGGAATGCCCTGCCACAGAGGCAGGGTGGGATGGGGCGGATGGGGGGTGGGAGGGATACTGGGATTAGTGATGGTGGAGAATGGGCACTGGTGGGTACTCGATCACTGGTGGGTATAACTGAAACCCAAGCACAAAAATTTGTAAGTCTACAACTGTACCTCATAGTGTTTCATTAGTAAAAATTAAAAAAAAAATGATCACCCAGGGGCTGGAGCGATAGCACAACAATTAGGGAGTTGCCTTGCATGCGGCCAACCCAGGTTTGATTCCCAGCATCCTATATGGTGCCCCGAGCACAGCCAGGAGTAATTCCTGGGTACAGAGCCAGGAGGAACCCCTGTGCATCGCCGGATATCACCCAAAAAGCAAAAAAAAAAAAAAAAATCTCACCCGACTGGGCTGGAGCAATAGCACAGCAGGGAGGGGGTTTGCCTTGCAAATGGCCAACTGCCGGTTTGCATCCAATGGTCACTCTGCAGACCTGCACCATGCAGAGGTCACTCAGAGGGACGTGACAGGGCATGGTCCAGGCTCAGTGCCCGCCCAGTGTGTGAGAGAAGCAAAGGGGTACAGACAGGGATGCGGTGTTGGCAGGAGAGCTCGCCCACTGGGCTGAGGGCATGCTTGGACCCCCAGCACCCCACCATTCCGAGGGGCAGCTCAGAGCCGGGAGGAGCCCTGGGCACAGCTGGGTGTGACCCTCTCCAGAGACCAAAGGTGGTGGCTTGGCTTGGGTTTGCAGGCACAGGGTTGACTCCTGGCTCTCTGCTCAGAGATCATTCCTGGTGGGGTTTGGCAGACCATGTGGCGTGCCGGGGATGGACCCCAGGCTGGTCACGTGCCAGGCAAGCACCCTCCCCGCTGTGCCATGGCTCCAGCCCAGGGGTACCACTGAGCCCTTTGACGTTGCGTCTCATGGAATTGAGCCTTCTGGGGGCTTCTCCCAGCTCCCTTGAGAGTTCCGAGTGGGAGGCGTTCCCCAAGCAACCTGCAGATCCCTGGCGTGCTCAGAAAGAGCCCGCGTGGCCACAGCTGACGCCGTGTGTTCAGCGGGAGGCAGAGGAGTTCCTAAGTCAGCACTTCACTGCAGATGTTCTAGAACCTCCCTCGCCTGGGAGGGAAAGCTCTGGCAGTGCTCCAGGCTGTTGTTCCCATCCTGGGGCCAGAGTGTTCAGAGGACCAAGTGGTGTTGCGGTTCAAACCTGGGCCCGAGCCTGCATGCCAGCCCCGCCAGAACATCTCCCAGACACCATCCAGGCCTGTGGCAGAGTGTTAACAACTCTTCCCTCAGACTTTGAATCATGGACTAGGGCCTGGAGCCGTAGGACAGAGGGAGGGCATTTGCCTTGCACGTGGCGGGCCCACGTTCAATCCCCAGTGTCCCATAGAGTCAGTCCCCTGAGCACAGAGCCAGGAGTCAGCCCTGAGACCTGCCAGGTGGGGCCCAAATACAAAAGCAAAATTAAAAAACACATCAAGTCATTGCACTTCTAATAGGCAGCATCATTGGTCGCTCTTCCACAGTTCGGAAGTCATACCCAGCTCCACAGCATCTTCCTCGTTCAGTTGAACGTCCTCCAGCACGAGCGTGGTGAGGTTCTTCAGGTTACCCACGTTGTCAGTCAGGCCACCTGCGGGAAAGCCAGGGATCAGACTGAGGCCAGCACTCACTTTTCATTGCTAAGCAGAAGATTTTGTCACTGGCCATAATAGATTCTCATAAAATTGGCATAAAAGGTGTATTTTAAAAAATTTAAACCAATTTTATCGAGGTACCGGTACTTCCAATACTGGATGTTTTTTGGGGGGAATGAGGTTGGTCATACCCAGTGATGCTCAGGGATTACCCTTGGCTCTGCACTCAGGAATTAGCCCTGGCAGGGCTGGGTGTCGACCATATGGGGCCCCAGGGATCGAATCTGGGTCATCTGTGTGTAAGCAAGAACCCTACTTGCTGACGGTCGCTGCAGCCCCTATAGTACTGCTGATCACACATTTCACGGGGATTCCCGTCACCAGAGAAACCGCTTCCCTCCGCCAGTGTCCCTGGGTCCCTCCCAGCCCCTCCCCTTATGTTAGCTCAATTCAATAGACAAAATCTTCAGTTCTGATGGCTTTGACACTTTGTTGTTCTGTTGTTGGGTTTCTTTTTCCCTTCACAGATGGGGGAAAATATCAATTTTGTGTGTGTGGAAACACTGTCACCTCCTGTTCATAGACAAATGAAGCTAATCTCCTGGCATTCCACAAAAGTGTAAGTCGATCAATTTTAGAAAATTTCCTTAAAGGTATATAAATTTAAACAATTACTATTGTGTATAACGGACCAAAGCAGTAGTACAGCAGTTTGGAACATGTAAAATTTAGTAAGAGTGAAGACACTTGGGGTTGGAGAGATAGCACAGTGGGTAGGGCGTTTGCCTTGTACACAGCCGACCCGGGTTTGATTTGCAGCATCCCATGTGGTCCCCTGAGCAGCGCCAGGAGTAGTTCCTGAGTGCAGAGCCAGGAATAACCCCTGTGCATCACCCGGTGTGACCCAAAAAGCTAAAAAAAAAATAGTGAAGACACTTGAGAAAATTTAAATATGAAAATCTGAATAGGTCTAGAAAAGTACACGGTATACTTTATTCTAAGAAAGGAAATGTTGGCTTTTTATTTTAGAATATTTTATAGATAGTGCTTAAGTATCTGCATTAACAAAAAATTGTAATAATAATCTCTTGATGTAAAAACAACCTAATCAGACATAGAATGTTCAATATAAATGACTTTAATTCATTATTGAGAATGTATAAAATCAGGGGCCAGAGTGACAGTACAGGGGTGTTTGCCTTGCACATGGCTGACCCAGATCCAATCTCCTGCAACCCATATGGCCCCCCTGAGCACTGCCAGGTATGGCCCAAACACACACACACACAAAAAAAAAAAAAAACAGGAAAGAAAATGTACAAAATCAAAAGGTGTCTTTCTGGATCAGAGACGAACATCTTGAATACAGCTGATATTCCAAATACATGGAAACAGACTGAAAGCCATAGCAGAATTTGAAAATGATTCTACTCCTGACTTTTCACTCCACAAACATCCTGCACTTTTTAAGTGGACACGAGATGATCCAGTCCATGGAATGAAATATTGTTCAGACATTAAAGAGGGCTGAACAATGGTTGTGTGACAACTTGGAGGGCCAAAGTAGAAGCCAACCTTGGGTCTCAGTGACAGAGGGAGATTTTTTTTTTCTTTTTGGGTCACACCTGGCAATGCACAGGAGTTACTTCTGGTTCATGCACTCAGGAGTTACTCCTGGCGGTGCTCAGGGGACCATATGGGATGCTGGGAATCGAACCCGGGTTGGCTGCATGTAAGGCAAACGCCCTACCTGCTGTGCTATCGCTTCAGCCCTGAGATTTTTTTTTAAGTTATAAGAAAGACTAAGCCAGATCTAGAGAGAGCACAGCAGAGAGAGCGCGTGCCTTGTCAGTCTGTGGCACAGCACATAATCCCCTGGGCTCCACCAGGAGTGATCTTTGAGCACAGAGCCAGGAGTAATTCCTGAGCATAGCCAAGTATGAATCTCCCCAGTCCCCCGTAAAGAAAAGCAAGCAACAAAAAGAAAAACGGGACCGGAGAGAGAGTACAGCAGCTAAAGCGCCTGTCTGGTATGCGGTCAACCCGGGTTTGATCCCTGACACCGCACATGGTCCCCCAAGTCCTGCCAGGACTGATCCCAGAGCACAGAGCGAGGAGTAGATCCTGAGTACAGTGGGGTGTGGCCCAGAAAGACTTGGTCTGAGCTGGGGGTTGGCTCGGCAGGAGAGCACTTGCAGGTGGAAGGCCCTAGGTCCACTCCCTGCTACCCCAGCACAAAGAGAAACAGAGACATGTCCCACTCAGCAGGCAGCCTGCTGATGTCTGGCCTGGTCCTGGGGTGGAAAGGGGAAACTGAGCTCTCGTCTGCCAAGTGAGCTCTGCGTGGGAGTCCCAGTGTCCCTGAGCAGGTGGACATTTGCCTACATCCCCCAGACCCAGGTGTGAATCCTTGGCACCACGTAGGGCCATCCCTGAGCACCATGGATGTGGCCCAACGCTCACCACTCAAAAAACCAAAAAGACTCACAACAGCAATGTGATAGGACCTCACACCACTGAGACTAGCACACATAAAAACAATGGGGGCCGGAGCAATAGCAAAGCGGGGAGGACGTCTGCCCTGCACGCAGCCAACCTGGGTTCGATCCCCGGCATCCCAATAGGGTCCTGTGAGCACCACTAGGAGTCATTCCTGAGTGCAGAGCCAGGAATAACTCCTGAGCATCACCAGGTGTGAGCCCCCCCCACCCCCAAACAAACAAATAAACAACCAGTGTTCGTATGGCATCTTCACTGCCGGTGGGTATCTCGACTGGCTCGACCTTTTTGGAAAACAACATGGATTCTTCTCATAAAACAGATTTGAAACCCAACATGACCCAGCAATTCTACTACTTAACATCTACCCTAAGGACCCAAACTCTATTCAGAAAACTTATTTGGGGCTGGGGCAATAGCACAGCGGGTAGGGCGTTTGCCTTGCACGCGGCCGAGCCGGGTTCGATTCCCAGCATCCCATATGGTCCCCTGAGCACCACCAGGAGTAACTCCTGAGTGCAGAGCCAGGAGTAACCCCTGTGCATCGCCAGGTGTGACCCAAAAAGCAAAAAGCAAAAAAAAAAACCAAAAACAAAAAACCCACATATTTGAGCTTCTGTATTCATTGCCGTGCTCCTCACAATTGCTGAAACACTGAAACACTGAAAGGTTATCATGTACATTCCCTTCCCTTTCAGCACTCGGCTCTTGTCCAGAGTGATCAATCATTTCCAGCTATTATTGTCATACTGGCCCCTCCTCTGTCTTAACTGTCCTTCGTGCCCCCCGCCCCCGACACACACACTTGTGGCAGGTTTTAGCCACAGACCAGTTCTCTCTCTCTCTCTCTCCTCTCTCTCCTCTCTTTCCTCTCTTTCTCCTCTCTCTGTCTCTCTGTCTCTCTGTCCTCTCCTCTCTCTCTTTCTCTCTCTTTCTCCTCTCTCCTATCTTCTCTCTCCTCTCTCTCTCCTCTCTCTCCTCTCTTCCTTCTCTCTCTCCTCTATCTCCTCTCTTTCTCTTTCTCTCTCCCTTTCTCTCTTTCTCTTTCTCTCCTTTCTCCCCTCTCTTTCTCTCTCTTTCTCTTCCCTCCTCTCTTTTTTTTATTTATTTATTGAATCACTGTGGGAAAGGTTACAAAGCTTTCAGGTTTAGGTCTCAGTCATGCAAATATCAAACACATTTCCCTTTACCAATACTTATTTTTTACCATGAAGAACCCCAATAAAACCCCACCCCCACCCCTCCCAGTCCCTGTGGGGCAGATGAATTCTAGTTAACACTCTATCTGCTTTGATTAGATTCATTGTTTCAATAAGATTCACCACTATTATTTAGAGTTTACCCCCCCCCCCCCCCAAATCAGACATGCTGAAGAAGCATTGTGAAGTGATTTGCTTTCTACGGCTGGGTTCAAGAATTAAATGTTGGTTTTGGATTTCTGCTATTTTACCTATTGACCCTGGAAGTATTTCTACTGAAAGTCAGATAGTTAAGAAATTGGTTTCTGTGTTCTGGAGTTGTGGCTGTGCTGGAGAGCCGCTCGTGGGGGCAACTGGTGGCCTCGGTAGGGCGTGAAGGGCGGACCGAAACGCCCCCCCTTCCCATGCCTCCTCTCTTTCTCTTTCTGTCTCTCTCCTCTCTCTCAGTCCTCTCCTTTCTCCCCTCTCTCTCTTTTTCTCTTTCTCTCCTCTCTTCCTTCTCTCTCCTCCCTTTCTCTTTCTCTCGCTCATTCTCTCCTCTCTCTCTCTTTCTATCTCTCCTCTCTCTTTCTCTTTCTCTCCTCTCTTTCTTCTCTCTGTCTCCATGTCCCCTTCTCTCTCTCTCTCCTCTCTTTCTTTCTCCTCTCTCTCCTATCTTTTCTCTCCTCTCTCTCTTCTCTCTCCTCTCTTCCTTCCCTCTCTTCTCTTTCACTCTCTCCTCTCTCTCCTCTCTTCTTCTCTCTCCTCTCCTCTCTCTCTCTCTCTCTCTCTCTCTCTCTCTCTCTCTCCCCCCCTCCTGTGTGGCACCAGGGATCAAATCAGGGTTGGCCGTGTTGCCTTAACCCCTATCCTATCTCTCCGGTCCAGGCTACAACTCCTCCACAGATAGACTCCGAGACTCTATATGTCTCTGCGATTTGGGCAGTGCGGAGGTACACACACCCACTGCATGGGGGCTCCCATGGATGGTTTCACCTGCACACACTCACCTTTTACCATGCAAGCTGCAAAGCTGGCCAGACGTCGTACCTTCTGTTCTGCAAACCCTCCCAAAGACACCCGGATCTAATCTCCCTTCGTGGCTCAGACCCCGGCCTTCCCACCACCCTCCCGGGCCCCAGAACCTGCTGGCAACTTGGAGAAGCTGGCAGCATGGCAAGCTCTGTGGCACCAAATAGGCCCCTGGCCCTGGGCCCCGAGCGGTGCCAGCAGAGGGCTGAGATTTCCCGGTACCTGGCAGCCGAGAGGTCCGGATGGCGTGAATCCGCAACGTTTCCAGGCTGGCCGCAGTCGTGATGCTCTGCTCGTCCTCCGGGGTGAGGGGACAGGCGTCCACCGCGAGCGCCCGGATATACCTGCAGCTCCGCAGGACGGCGCCGAGGTGGCCAGCCAGGCCAGCACAGCGCTTGACCTTCAGGCTGAGGCTGGCGGCCGAGCTGAAGATCTTGGCCAGGTACTTCACGTCTCTCTTGTCCATCCTGCCCAAGTCCTGCAGGGTGACCTCCAGGTTCTTGAACTCCTGCTTCCAGCTGAAGAAGAGAGACACGGCGCGGCTGGGGATGCAGCTGCCCGCCTGCCCGGGGCTGTCCGTGCCCTGGGCCTGCGCCCCGGAGAAGTCCAGCTTGACGAAGTCCAGGGCGCTGGCGCAGTTGGGCAGGTGCTCGAAGAATTCCATCAGCTCGTCGGAGATGCGCCGGGAGTCGATCCACAGGCTCTTGCCGCGGAAGAACGCCTCGAAGTCGCGGCCCAGCGCCTCCTGCTCGGGGCTCTCGCGGAACAGGTGCACGCCGAGCTCGGCGAAGGCCTCCACGTTCCTGGCCCCGCGCAGGTCCTGCTCGGGGGGCGGCGGCGACAGCGGCAGCGGCGACGGCGGGCCGGGCTCGGGGCCCTGCTCCTGCACGTCCGCCAGGTGGGCCAGGACCTGGCGGGCCGCCCGCGCCGACGAGCCGCAGGTGTACAGGAGCAGGCTGCGGTACCTGCAGGTGATGTCGCGCATGCCCCCCATCTGCCGCAGGAGCCCGCGCGCGCGGCGCACGTCCCCGGGGTCGGGCGAGGCCAGCAGCTCGCTGAGCCGGCGGCCGGCCACGTACTCCTGGAAGGCCTGGTGGAAGAAGCGGTACCGGGGCCGGAGCCGCTGCGCCGTGTGTTTGCAGAGCAGCCCCGCGGCCACCAGCAGGGGCTCGTGCGCGCGGGCCACGTCGTCCAGGTCGAAGTCGAAGCGGCGCGAGAGGACGCCGCGCAGCGCCAGGTCCCCGCAGCGCGCCAGGCTGCGCGCCACGTCCCCCGTGGGCGCGCGGGGCCCCCGGTGCCGGAGCTTGCGCAGCAGCAGGTCGTAGAAGGCGCCGAAGAGCGCCGTGGGCGTGTTCCACTGGAACTGGCGGCGGCCCAGCTGCAGCGCGCACGCCAGGACCACGAAGAGCGGCGTCCGCATCAGGTGCCGCAGCGCGCGCGACGTCTGCAGCTGGCGCAGCAGGCCGGCCGCGGGCTCGGGGTCCAGCACGGCGCGGACCAGGGCGCGCGCGCTGGCCTCGTCCATGTCGCCCACCTCGGCCGTGAGCGCGCCGCACTGGCGGATGCGGCCCAGGCCCTCCGGGGTGGTGCTGACCAGCACGGCGTGCTTGGAGCGGTGGTTCCGCCGGATGAGCCCGTCCAGCTCCGGGCAGTCCTGGGCTCGGAACTCGTTGTAGCCGTCCAGCAGGAAGAGCACCCGCCGCCCGAGGCGGAGCAGCAGGGCCAGGAAGGGCCGCGCGGGCAGGCGCTCCGGCCGGTCCAGCAGCTGCGCGCACAGCGTGTCGTAGAGCCCGGCCCGGGCCCCCCGCAGGCGCACGAAGAAGACGAGCTGGAAGCGGGCCAGGGGCGCGCAGGCGCCCGACGCCCAGAGCACGGCCACGCGCTGCAGCAGCGTGGACTTGCCCTTGCCCGACTCGCCCTCGAGGATGCAGGGGCTCTGCAGGCCCAGCAGCAGCTCGCCCAGGCTCAGCGGCTCCACGCGCCGGTGACACAGGTCCTTGCGCCAGAGCACGGGCTCCGTGAAGGTGCGCTGCAGGTTGAAGAGGATGTCGATGTCCTCGCCCAGCGGGTAGAAGTTCAGGAAGGACGGGGCCAGGTACAAGTCCTTCAGCTCCTGCGCCAGTTCGTCCAGGGCTGCTTCCGACGGCTGGCCGGGGAGACCTGGCCGGGGAGAGCGAGGCTGAAGCGGGGCCCAGCGAGGCGGGGTGGGCCCCGAAGCCCGAGGATGCAGGGCCGGCGGGGGACGCCCAGCACCTGCGTGGCCACTATCACCATCTCCCGCCCGCCCCTCCCCCGTTGCAAGCAGGCACCGTGGGGACCGGACTTCCCCTGCCTTCCCTGCTGTTGTTTTCTGTTCCGTCAGTGTCCGTCACTTCATCCTGTAGCTCTTGGGTAGAAACTGGAAAAGTAGGGCCAGAGCAAGGCAGAAAGAGAGAGAAAGAGACAGACAGACAGACAGTCAGAGACACAGAGAGACAGAGAGAGCATAAGGCCTCGCCTGACACCCAGCTTCAGGCGCCCTCCCGATCACCACCAGGAATGAGCACAGAGCCGGGAGTAAGCACCTCAGATGAGGTCCAACCCTCCCCATGGAGGAAAATGAAACAAATAAGAGCCCGTGTTTGGGTAAGGAAAGTGGGATAAGAAGGACTGGGGGAGAATGATGGTTAGTAACTTGAACCTTGAGGAAAGCATGCCAAGAAATAGTGACTGATTTAAAGAAACAAGAACGACGTTTCATCAAAAGCAGAACCCCTCTCCTTTGGCCAGTCAGGATCTCTTTAGCATGGTGTTAGGATCCTGGAGCAATCAGGATCCTGGACGCATTTGGGCCAGGGAGTGTTAGGGTTCGGTAAATGTTTGGGTCGTGGAGGTATTTGGCTCGCGGAGGACTTTGAGATGTGGTGTTTGGGTTGCGAAGGTGTCAGGCTCATGGAGGTGTCAGGATCACGGGGGCATCTGACTTATGAAGGTGACTGGGTCATGGAGGCATTGGGTCATGGAGGTGTTAAGGTCATGGAGGCGTTAGGGTCATAGAGGTGTTTGGATCATGAGGTGTTTTGAGACATTTGGTCACAGGTGATAGGGTGATGGAGGCTTTGGAATCATGATGGTGTCTGGGCCATGGGACCTTAGGATCGTAGAAGTGTTTGGGTGACAGGAGCATCAGCACAAGCAGCCCTCATGAGATCCCGAATGATTTCTCAAGGGGCTAATAGTTCAGTTGTCCAGTTGGAGCTGGAAGAAAGACTACACTCAACCCTCCATTTTCTGACTGTCTTGGCTTCACCATCGAAGGCCTCCTTGGGAATTCCTTTTTCCTTACAGCGTCCGAGCTTCGCTCCCCCCGCCCTCCCCCCACTGCCCACTAAAACGCTAAGGGGGCCAGAGTGCCGTCACAGCCCGGATCATCGTCCTGCTGTTGTTTTCTTTCTGTGGGAGAATCGCAAGCCAGCTGGCACTTACTTTGTCCGTTCAAGTCCTGGAACAGAGGAAAATTCCACCTTTCCAGGGATTTGAGGAAGAGGTCACAGGCCTCCGGGCCTTTCATCAGGATCATGTGCACCATCTTCCTTGCTGCTTCCTGCTCCACCTTCTCGCAGCAAATGATCTGGACTTCCTCCGAGTTCAGCACGTTCCACGCCAACAGTTCATCTGAAACTTGCTTTACAACCGTCATCCCCATTCTTTGAATGAGGGCGTTGCTGTTTTCTTTTGTGAAGTCCACTGAGGTGGGGAAGCAGGGAATACGCATGTTTGTTTACTTCTCTGAGATGCATGTGTCAATATCATAGACAGAGCCCGAAGGTCATGCATGCATTTAAAAAAATTGGAACCATTTAAAAATATGGAGATGCCAAATGTTTTGATTTCTGAGTTCAGGAATGCAACCCTCCGGAAAAACTCCCAAGCCCTTCATTACAAAACAAACTCCAGAGGGCTTAACTTGTAACAACATTTTCGGAACCCCTCATATGAGGTCTTAATGTCTTCATGATGAGATACAACAGTAAAAGTAAGTAAAGGTCCTCCCGTTGATCATCGATTTGCTCGAGCGGGCCCAGTAACGTCTCCATTGGAGACTTTGTTGTTACTGTGTCTAGCATCTCGAATACGTCACGGGGAGCTTGCCAGGCTCTGCCATGCGGGCGAGATACTCTCGGTAGCTTGCCGGGCTCTCCGAGAGGGGCGGAGGAATCGAACTCGGGTCGGCCATGTTGGCTGCGTGCAAGGCAAACGCCCTACCGCTGTGCTATACAATCTTCTTTTAAAAATTTTTTGGGGGGGTCACACCTGGCAATGCACAGGGGTCACTCCTGGCTCATGCACTCAGGAATTACTCTTGGCAGTGCTCGGGGGACCATATGGGATTCTGGGAATCGAACCCGGGTCGGCCGCGTGCAAGGCAAACACCCTACCCGCTGTGCTATCACTCCAGCTCCAGAAAATCATATTCGATATGCCAGACACAGTAACAACAAAGTCTCCAGTGGAGACGTTACTGGGCCCGCTCGAGCAAATCGATGATCAACGGGAGGGCCTTAGTGAACAAATTGTTTTCCTTTGACCATGAAGTAAGGCGAACAATCTAGAAGGGTCAGTGAGGTCACAGTGATGAGACTATGGGCCTGGGATTGAACCAATGCTACTGTCAGCTAGCCCTCACTGCGCCTAGTTCCAGACCGTGGTGCTTAAAAACTGGGCACACTGGCTCAGTTTGTAAAGGCTAAAGGTTGGGTTGGTAGCATTTACCAACCTCTAGGGCCTAAGCACCCCCACCATAGTCCACGGCAAGCTAACAATATATGTCAACTTGCTAAACAAGTCATGCAAATACTGGGCTGGGGCAATAACGCAGTGGATAGGGCGCTTGTCTTGCACGCAGCTGACCTGGGTTCAATCCCCAACTCCCTATATGGTCCCCCTAAGCACCGCCAATAGTGATTCCTGAGCACAGAATCAGGAGTAGTCCTGAGTATTGCTGAGTGTGGCCCAAAAACTGAAAAAAAAAAAAAAGATCATGAAAATTTAATGATTAGAGCTTACACAATACTAAGAATTAGCTTCCGCACACGAATGCTTCTGCTTGTGTTTACCAAGGTTGAGAAAAGTATGTGCCTTGTGAAGTTGTTATGAGAGGTCATGGATAACAACTTATACAAAGTAGTATTTCCATGATTTTTAGCCAGTATTATCAGTCTCTTTTTGGGGGAGTGGGATTTTGGGCCACACCTGGCAGGGCTGCAGGCTTACTCCTGGCTCAGTGCTCAGGGATCACTCCTGGCAGAGCTCAGGAACCACATGTATCTCCCGGGATCAAAGCGGGGTCGGCCATGTGCAACGCAAGTGCTGTGCCCACTGGCCGTCTCTGCTGCCCTCCAGAATGTCCCTTTGTCTAGACCAGCAGTGTCTAGCAGGGTTTCCAAGGTGATGAATGTGTTGTATATTTGCCCTGACCACTGGCCACATGTGACTTTTGAGCACTTGAAATGCGGTTGGTGTGACTTTATTCATTTTTATTAATCTAGTTCACTTCTATTTTTTGTCTTTGGTTCACATGCAGCGATGCTCAGGGGTTACCCCTGGCTCTGAACTCAGGAATCACTCCTAGCTGTGCTCAGAGAACCAAATGGGATGCTGGGATTAAACTCGGGTTGGCCACATGCAAGGCAAATGCCCTCCCCGCTGGACCATCGCTCCAGCCCTGATCTAGTTCGCATTGAAGGAACCACGTGTGGCGACTAGACTGAGCAGTGCGAATCTCCACATGCTCATCAGAGTCCAAAGCATCCTAATTAGGTTTTTGCTTAGAGCTACCTCCCGTTTCCTCCCTGGTATCCTGGCAGGTCCAGCTCTCGGCTGTCTGGCTCGGCAGGTGAGGCTGAACTGGTGACGGCCAGGGGCCAGGGGTGAAGCGTCACTGGCACAGCGCATTCCTTTATGTAAAACCTTGGCCATGGGTTGTCGCGTCTGTAACTGCATTCTCCAAGAGTAGGAGAGCATTTGTGGGGAAGTCCCCCTCACCCCCTTCTCCCATATAATGGGAAGGTTTATGTCTAATGCACTTACTTGTTGCGTATTAACAGGTAACAGAAGCTCTTCGCTTTTCTGTGTTCTGGTGGCTGCTATTTTAACCGGACGATCCGAGTGAGTTCCAGCACGGGTGCCTTCTCTCTGGGAAGCAGCTCTTCGGTCTGGGCCGGCAGCAGAACAGAACCAGAGTTAGCCAGAGCCATGGCCATTTTGAACATTTCCCCCCATGCCAAAAAAGGATGCACTGTACGTAGGATCTGACAGTTTTAGATTCACAATATTATTTATTATACTTTTCTATCAGTTCAATATTAAACTGCACACACATTTTACAAATAAAACGCATGAAAGTGTCATTTGCATGTAATAACAGGTAAGGCGCCTTGACAAGTCAAACCATCATCTATTCCTGATCCAGAATATTCTGTCACAATGCCAACTTCCCCTGTGCTCCTTCCTGTTTCCGCTGATGTGGTTTCTCAGACTAGAGAAACTTGGTAGCATTTGCCAATCTCTAGGGCCTAAGGACCCCCACCACAGTCCACTGCAAGCTAATAATGTATGCCAACTTGCTAAACAAGTCATGCAAATACTGGGCTGGGGCAATAACACAGTGGATAGGGCGCTTGCCTTGCACGCAGCTGACCCTGGGTTCAATCCCCAACTCCCTGTATGGTCCCCCTAAGCACTGCCAGTAGTGATTCCTGGGCACAGAATCAGGAGTAACCCTGAGTACTGCCGAGTGTGGCCCAAAAACTGAAAAAAAAATCATGAAAATTCAATGATTAGATCTTATACAATACTAAGAACTAGCTTCGGTCCATGAATGCGTCTTGTGTTCAACAAAGTTGAGAAAAGTATGGACCTTGTGAAGTTGTCGTCGTTGTAAAGGAGAGCAAGTTTCACCTCTTCTGGATGTTCATACAGATAGGAGGATGCAGTTGCACCTGTGGGGGCTGGCTCTCTCACATCCCGCTACGACTCTGAGGATGGGCCTGTTGTCCAGGGCTGGGTCAATAGCACAGCGCAGGGGGGAAGGCGTTTCCCTGGCATGCGGCCGACCTGGGTTTGATCTCTGGCATCCCATATGGTCCTTGAACCTGCCAGCGTAATTCCTGAGCTGGTGTAAGCCCCAATACATGCACCATCACAAGAACCCAGGGCAGATCAGGGACACTTACCTGATGCTTTAAAATGCTTCTTATGGGGATGGAGTAATAGCACAACCAGTAGGGCGTTCGCCTTGCACACGGCTGACCCAGGTTCGAGCCTCAGCATCCCATATGGTCCCCTGAGCACTGCCAGGGGTAATTCCTGAGCGCAGAGCCAGGAGCAACCCCTGTGCATTGCCGGGTGAGACCCAAAAAAAAGGCAAAAAAAAAAAAGACTTATTCTACTTTTAGGGCCACACCCGGCAGTGAGTGCCCAGGGGCTACTCCTGGCTCTGTGCCCAGCAATCATTCCTGCTGGTGCTCTGGGGACCCTATGCAGTGCCAAGGACCAAACTGAGGTCAGCCAACTACAAAGCTTAACCTTGACTCCTTATTATCTCTCTGGCCCAGTGTACTGTGCTTTTGGGTGACTATTTTATTTATTCAGTTTTGTTGTTGTTGTTGTTTGGGGGATGTGCCTGGAGACGCACAGGGTTCTGCTGCACTTCGAGATCACTCCTGGAGGGGCGTGGGGGGTCCTATGTGGTGCGGGGCTCGAACCCAGCTTGGTAGCTTTCGAGGCAAGCTGCCAAGCTGGGTTCGAATCCCGCACCACATAGGACCCCCCCCACGCCCCTCCTCTAGCCCTGTCTTAATGCTTTCTGCTCCCGCTACTGGGTAGTGAGTCATCTGTGCCGCTGATGGCGCTCTGAGGACAGAGGAAGTGTGAAGGCCATGTGCCCGGGGCAGTCTGCAGGCGGACACCGAGGCTGTGGATCGTTTCAGAAGGAAACCAGAGTTCAGCAGGCGGTGCAGAGGAAGCTTGTAGGTACAGTGGAGAAACCACAGCCCACGGCTGGGGGCAGCTCAGGAGCTGGACGAGGCACACCTGAGTGTCAAGGTCAAGTTCACTGGAAGGAGAAGCTGCTACTCTCTCTCCCTCACAGCCGGCCCAAAGCGTGTGTCTGGGAGAAGCCAGACTCTACGGACGGGGTCAGAGCTCAAGTGAGACCAGGAAAAAGGAAGCCAGAGAAGGAACCGCAGAAGTTTCCTGTATGAACAGAATAAACGCATCCCAGACTTGGCCAATTCCATCAACTATCCCCCGAATCAACTACAGGAACCATAGACAGGAATCATAGACGGCTCTAAAGAGGCTAAAATTTGGGCCCGGAGCAATAACACAGCGGGTAGGGCGTTTTCCTTGCACACGGCTGACCCAGGTTCAACCCCCAGCATCCCATATGCTCCCCCAAGCACTGCCATGAGTAATGCCTGAGTGCAGAACCAGGAGTAACTCCTGAGTATCACTGGTTGTGACCTCAAAAGCAAAAAAAAAAAAAAAAAAAAAAAAAAGAAGAAGCTAGAATTTGACGTCAGGGGCCAGGGAGACAGATCAGGGGTCTGGGGAACATGGCTTGCATGTATAGGGACCAGAGCTGGCAGACTTGGGGGACCAGATGGCATGCTGGGCGTCAAATTTGGGTCAGTCACATGTAAGGCAAATGCCCTACCCACTGTACTATCATTCTGGCCC